AACGTAGACACACACACACACACTCCGAGATAGGAATAAGAGAAACAAGCTGCAAATTGGCCTAGGTCTCCTTTGGTACAACGCGTGGTATGCGCAATGCGAAAAGCCTTTAATGCTGACGTTGTCGTCTGCGGATGGCGTGAAGTTGGCAGAGGTCCTGCCAGCCTGCCTGCCATCCTGCCTGCCATTCTGCCTGCCTTCCATGCCACACGCCATCAGGATACGCTACGTGCGTGTATCGGAGTGTATCGGTGAGTGTGCAGGAAAGCAAAACACAGAAATGGTTTTTAACTTTCCGGTTAATTAATTTATTACAGCTTAATACGTTCAATGACTTTTGGCGCCCCCCTCCCCAGGCTTTGCCGCGTTCCGTTTGTCTTGGCTGTCATTTATATTTACCCATTCCTTCCGCCCACCTCTGTTTTTTAGTTAATTTATATTTTTGTGGGGACCATCCCCCTGCCCCTCTACTTTCGGCCATTCGCTCTCTTTCATTTTTGCCCGTATTTTATTCGATGTCTATTTTTAGCCACTGATTTAATATGCGTGCATGCGTGTGCGTGCCTCTCTTTGTTTCGCATTTCTTCGGCTCTCGTTCTCTTTCTGTTTCTTTCTTTTTTATTTTTTTGGCCACATTTCGTCGCCTTGTTCACAAAGGATAACGCCCAGTGGGTGGGCATGCCACGGGCATGGGGGCATCCTCTCTGGAATGGTGACACAGCGAGGACAATTTGTATGCGGTTTGTTTGCCATTTTTCACTTAAACTCCACCAACTCCCCCGCCTTGCGATGCTGCACCATTTCGCTTATGTAGATTTATTTGGGGCCTCTTGAGCGGTCAAGCGTGTCCCGTTTTCTTGAGAGGTTTATGTGCCTGTAAGGATAACGCAAAAGGACACAAAACGCATAGAACGAGCCTCGGCGAGTGGGGTATAAAAATAAGATAATAAAACCAGAGCTGGCTACCGATAAGCGGGCATTGTCCGGCATCGAACGAGTTCAATGGTTACCCAGCACGGCATCAAATCTGTTTACTTCGATATTCATTTTATTTATTACGAACACTAATTTCAACCAGGAAGTACAATAATAAAACTGCTTTATTATTTCACTTCCTGGTTATTTATTCAGTTTATGACTGGACAGTCAAAGTTTTTCAATTACTAGTTTTCGCTTTGGTCTAAGGAAATCAAATTTGTGGCCCACCAAAGTTTCTTGTTATTGAAGAAGACTTTTACAAATATATTTAAAAATAGTGAATATTTGATGTGCTGTTTATAGTACCTCGTTATCTAATATATTATCTTTCAAAATTACCTACCATTTCGGAAATGAAAAGATAGAATAAAACTAATCTTAAGAAGTCTGTAAACGTTAATCGAAAAACCTCCAGAAAAGACAGATTTTAAAGCAAATAATTTCTAAGCTTATCTCTTAAATACCCCTGCCTTTAGCTTAAGCTTCCGGTCAACATTATTTCACAATTTTCACACAGTCCATACCACTGCCCACGTTTCCGCATTATCCTCGAAATAGGAAACGGTGTATTTTGCTCCCCTGGACAGTCATAAATTTATTCACGCAAATGAAGGCACATGTTGGCAGGTTCATGAGTCGGACTCCTCCTTATTGTTGTTTACATTTTACACCCATAACTTTTAGCTCGCCCACGCCGACACACGTGCCACGCCACAAACTGAAAATGGAGAAAACTGTTTCGCTAACACTTTCACCACTTTTGCCCCTTTTTTTCTGATATGGCTGGGAATTCCTTTTTAATATATATATATATAAAGTCCTTATATATCTGCTAACTAGATGCTGTTTGCACATTAACTTCCGCATAGAGAGAGAAGATCCTTTTGGCTTTGCCAGCATAATGCATTATATAAATATTACGCATACGACTTGGTGTACGTAAGCCGGAGGTAATGAGTCCACAGAAAGCAGCTGCAGGCAAAGCATCGCGTGCCCCGCGCACATTTATCAATTTCGTGGCTAAAAGTGCGAGTAAAATGGTTTGTGTTTTTTTTGGGCAGCCCCACAACCGCAGATAGCACCTGCTGCTCCTGGCCGGGGAATAAATCTTTCACTTCCAGTTTGCCTGCAATTAAAATGCAATAAAGGATGCATTTAAATTGCTAAAGTACAAAGTACCGCCGAAGGATAGCGGTTAGTTAGGGGCTAGAGAGAATCTCTACCTCCTTATTGACTTACTCGCTTCCAATGCTCGGCATGCATTTCCGACCCAAGTGCTCAGTTAAATGGAATGTCTGACATGCACCCCAGCTTTCGCCTCTTCTTTGGGCTATTTCAACAGAAACTTGCTGCCGTGCTCTATTTCGGGGTGCATGCAACTTGGGTTCTATTTCGGGATCGCTTTATAAAAACCGCAAGCCATCGTGTGCTCACGGAGCCGACATGACCGCCCAGAGGTGCGATGTCAGGAGGTGGCCTATTGTGGGAATGGTGGCAAAATGGGCAGGTGGCAAGTGGAAAGTGGCATGTGGCAGGTGGCAAGAGGTCGCCGGTTGCGTCAAGGGGACGGCTGTTTCATGCCATGCACGTACTCACTGCACTGTCGAAATTTTCTCGCTTTCCTCGTTCGGTTTCGTTTTGTTTTTGTTTTTCTTTTTTTTTTTGTTTCGCACTTTTGCTAACAGCTAAGAGAAGCTGTTAAAGAGACACATCAGAAGTGAAAAAAAGGTTAAAAGTGCACTGAAGGGGCTAATGGCCATCTGAGCAAACATCTCTCCAGACCACAAAAAGCACAAAATCCGCACTTTGCATAGTCAAGGGATAGGATTCTGATAATGTACTCAACTCTTAGTTGTTATTTTACGCATAAAGTATGTAAAGCTATGTTCATGCTTGTTTTCTATATAGAATATGTTTTCACCAATTTAAACAAGAGAATTGAAAATACCGAAGATTGAGTAAGCGCCTTAATTGAGCTGTTATTAAATTGATTAGTTATTGCTAATATCAAAAAGCCTTTTAAAAAGTTCTTTCCCCATTATTTCCCTTTATTAAAAACTTTTTTTCTTTTCAACTTTTTGCCAGGAAATTTTATTTAATATATCGCTTTTGTAAATGCACATAGAACTGAAACTTTTAATTGAACTACCCCTTTTTGAAAAGGTCAAAAGTAAAACAAGTAATTAAGCAGGCGGTAATTAAATGTTTGCCTTGGCAAAAGTTATAACTGCTTTGATGACTTAGAAGTTCAGAAATCCACAAATCCAGCAGCTTCTCCACTTTTCCCAATAATTATTCTTAGGGAACCCTGGTCCTTCTATCGGATTTCTTCCGAGCTGCCAGAATTTCTGTTTTTTCCCCCCAATGCACTTTAATTGACTCTAAACATTTAGTTGCCTGCCTTTTTTCCCCCCTCTCTTTGTCGGTTTTGTATTCCAGCTTTTTGCTGCATTTTAATTGCTCAATTCCGTTAAGTCAGTTGCTGTTTTTAGTTGCAGCAAAGTTTAAAGTAATTTATGCTGAACCGCAATAAATTGGGGTGGCAGCTGAAGTAAGAAGAAAGAAACTTGGGACGAAGAATGTTCCGTGCATTTTTAGCACAAAAGTTGACCCGAAGTTTGGCATTAGTGCGTACTACTATATCTAAAGTAGATTCGCGTAAAAACCGTAGGAACATAACTTGTCGGAAACTTAGACAGGATTCTATGTGAATGGGTGGGTTGTGTGTGGTGGGAGGTGGTTGGTAGTATTGGTAGCCAAACGAGAGCTGACAAACCAGAGCCCCTCCAGGCGAGTGTTTGTATTTTTATTAACGCCAAACAACGGCCAACAGATTTCGATAAGCCAAACACTTATGGCCACAATAAAATGTCGGCCAGTCTTAATGGGTGTCAACAGCACGGCCAATAATAATACACCCGTCTTGGCCCGCTTCCTTTTTTTTTCCACAATTTTACGAGCACTTTATAACAGTTTAATAGCCCGAACAATGAGTAGCCGTACACCCCACACCCTCTGTCCGTCCACCCCCCCTTTCTTGTCGAACCCGATTGACGCAAACCACTCGAATCGTAGCGAACTATATTGGTTAATGGCATGATGGATATGACACTAGCCCTAGCCCGCAGAATCCAGCAGACGTAAGGAAAAGCCGGAGTATGACGATGGGTGAAGTGACTGAAGCGCGTGTCTAAAGCGGAAGTCCTAGCGAGCACACGTCTTCCTGCTCGCCCACTTCAACTTTCCATCATCATCAGCGTCTCAAGCCGTGATGAACTTAAACAAATATCTGTGACAGCCATCCAAACAGATATATATACAAATATATATATATATATGTTCTATATATCCCTCACACCCGGAGACGTTCCATGGCGGACTTTTGCTTTGAAATCGAAAGCAGGCAGTTTCTGGAGAGGATGGGATGCGATGAAGATGGGGCGAACTTTAATCGCTTTTGACAAAGTTGCCAACAACTGTCGGCCGTCTAAGCCCAGTTTGTGACACGACTTTTAAGTGGCCGGACTTAAAGCCCACAGACGTCATTTCGGGCGGGCCAAAGGTCAAACTTCTAACACGATACCCTCGAGTGCTCTAAGAAAACTTGATATTCCAGCTGAAAAACAAACAAGAAGCCACAGCTCAATTGTCGGCTAATTGGCGTTATAATTATTGAACATTAATTGGCCCAAAAGGTCAATAACCCAGCATCAATCCGTTCACCTTAGTCTCTTACACGGTGATAATGTTTTCTACTACATTGCCATTAGTTTTCGAAATGTAAAAATATAATAAAATATTATCTGGGATATCTAAGATGGCATAGTTTTGACCGAAAACAGTCAATATTAAACTTAAATTTGTAAGACCACAAATCAAAATTAGTTAATTTTTATGGTGTTTAGGGAAATGAAAAATGTATAAAATACACCTTATAAATGCATAATAAGTAACATAATTACTGCATTAAATTAAATCCAATAATTCCTAACAATTTTATGCCTTTCTCTCCCAATGTACAGGTATCCGCTTCGGGCAAAGGCGTGCTAATCACTGGTTGCGAGTCCCCTCTGGCCTGGTACTTGGCCAAGAAACTGGACGACCTGGGCTTTACCGTTTACGCTGGATTCAACACGCCCATCGAGGATTCGGACGAGGCCAAGATTCTCAAGGAGGAGACCTCGGGACGCATGAAGCTGCTGCATCTGGACGTCACATCGGAGAAAACCGTAAGTCTACACACGGCAATGCCCAGAGCTTTTAGTCAAGTTCACAACCGTTTATCCGTTATTATCCTTAGATTTTGGAAGCTGCCCGCTATGTGTCGCAGCATTTGCCTCATGGCGCCGAAGGGTTGTGGTCTGTGGTGCACTGCGCTCACTGGATTGCATTGGGAGAACTTGAGTGGATTCCATTTGCTGTGCTACGCAAGAGCTTGGACCTCAACCTTTTGGGTAAGTGGGGGCGCCACTGTGCTACCAGGATAAGGGCTGCATTAATGCATTTTAAACTTTGCAGGCTCTGCCCGGCTTACCCAAATTTTCCTGCCTCTGGTTCGCCGTGCTCATGGTCGCGTTGTTTTCCTGACCTCCGGCCTGAATCGTGTCCCATCGCCCGTCAGGGGAATCCAGAATGCCACTCAGGCGGCCGTCGACTGCTTCGCCGCCTGTCTGCGCCAGGAAATGCGCACCCGTGGTGTGGATGTGTCCGTGGTGGCGGCCGGAGAGTTTGCCCCCGGCAACGGCTGGCTGAACGAGACCGAACTGCGTGACCAGGTGAGAAAAGAAGCTAATAGCGGCATTGCACTAATATGCAGCACATAATGGTTTACACTGAGAAAAAGTTGTATCCAGTTTGGTATCTAAAGTTTATTGATTGAGAGAACAGCTAATATAAAAAGTAACCTAACAGGGGTAATAAAAATATATAAGTAAAGTCCTTTCTTGTCTACCTCAAGACACCTTCAAATTTTATGAAACCCTTAAGTTCCTTGACTTTTCTGCACGTGAAACAGCCTTGTCATGCTTTTAGTTTTTTACGATACGATAACTATAACCGAGCAACGGGGACTGCTAAAACAGTTTTGCGGGGAACTCATTAACTTGGCTTCCTTCTATTCTATTTCCCCCTGTCATATTTACCGCAGGCCAAGCAAATGTGGAACCAGCTTTCCTCCGAACAGAAGAAGACCTACGGCGAGGATTACTACGAGGCGGCCATGACGTCGGTGGAGAAGTATTCACGCCAGGTGAGAGAGATGGCTACCCCATGGAACGTGTGTCCATTGGCTAACGAGTGTTTAATCTTTATCTTTATACCATTCCTACAGGCGGCCGATATCCAGCCCACGCTGCGTGTCCTTATCGACGCCGTTACCAGGACTTTCCCCATGGCCCGCTACACACCCGTGACAGCCAACGAGAAGCTGCAGATCTTCCTGGCCGAGCATTTGGCCCCATCCCTCTATGAATCCGTCTATGGCGAACAGAAGAAGTTCGTCTATTGAGAAACCCATGCCCAGATCCTTTGTCCACCTTAACGGCCTGATATTGTTATTCGGAAATTGTTATTCATTTATGATTTTCCCCGAAATCCAAACGTCCTGCTCCTTGGTGCGCGTGAAGGACATCCAAAAAAAAGGAACTGTAGCTAGGAGCACTGTTCGTGGAGCTCCGCCAGTCGATGAGCATTTACGTCCTTCTCTCGATTATTCTTGTAATTTCCCCCCTTTTAACGGAGGCGCCTTGCATAATATTATTTTCTTTAGTTGCTAGAACGAATTGTATAACGATGAATAAACTGAAATGGAAACAATAGAAATCTGAATTTGATTCTTTCACTTCACTAAATGCATTATTAAAGGAGTTTTCACTGAATGAGAGTAAGTTAAGATATATTTCTCATGGTTTTCAAATGAAGAATTTATTTATTTCTTATCAGAATATGAAGTATATGAAGAATCATAAAGCTAAACTTAAGCTGATTTTGGTGAGAAGAAGGATTTAAGTATTAGAAACTGAACCAAAAAGTTTTCAATTAGGATGAGTTGCCAACAATCAATAGCCAATCTCAGCTTTCACATTGTCTCCTTTTTTGCTCTTTCCACATATCTTCTCTGAAGGATTTTTCGAATCCTGTTAATTGCTTTTGATTGACATTTGCCGAGTGGTCCGAGCTCGGTCCTGTCATTGCATTTTATGGTGCGATTTGTGAGACATCAGGCTGCATAAGCAAGGCCTCTAAGCTACCGCCTCCTCTCTCTTCTCCTCATTCCACCGGTAAAGTGGTAGTCTAAGCTTAAGTGCAGTGTCAGGAGAACAGGAGCCAACTTAGTCGAGTGACATGATGGCAGCCATGGAACACGAACACGAAGAAGCGCTCATAAAAATAAATTCAATAAATTTTTAATGAGTTTGATTCAAAGCAACAATGACATTTCCGCCGTGACGGAAGCCAAGGACTTTATTCTGGGCCAGGATCTCAGGTGTTGGAAATTCCCAGACCGCCCAATGAGCTGTTAAGTCCGCTGTAAGAAACACCAAGAAGTGCATAACTGGGGCATAAATCTGCCATGGTTGTTAATGTAATCCGCAGCTGGCAGATATATCCATATATACATATTTACCACCTCCACCCCCAGGTGGCGCGTTCGAACTTTTTTTTTAAGGGGTAAGCAAAAAGGGTGCCAAAACAAAAAAGTTGCATGGGAAATGAGTCGGTTAGCTAAAAATACATATGTACAGAGCATTATATATATACATCTGCCAGCCAAGGGCAACCAACTCTGACCAATGCTTTCCGCATTTGGCTGGCATTCCATGGGTTTACCTTTATCTGTCAGCTTTCCCGGTTGTTTTTCTCCAACCAAAAATACATACACCTTTACTCGAACATATTATACTCAGCCATGTGTAACACTTCCTGCGCTTTTGTCACCAGTCCAGAAATTATCCGCATTAAAAATTTGTCGCATTCTGTTGGTGTGTATCTCTGTGTGTGTGCGGAATTCCGTGCGAAGGATGATGCCTAAAGGTCCAGCCAAGGATTCCGATACGAGTGATTGTTATATGGAGGAAGCTCTCTGCCTCATTTCCATTATTCCATTTGCATTTAAAACTTCGACGCCTGGCAGGGATTCCCGAGCATATTTTATGCTCACAGACCGGAGAAACTTTAACATGGAAACAGAATTCGGACTGGCCGGCGGGTGATGAGGAAACTATGTTTACCATGTTCTACATTTATTCTCTTTTTTTTGGCTTACTAGACTTGTTTCCATCTGAGAGAAAGCCGAAAGTGCAGCATGTGAATGAAAGGGGGAAATTTAAAATGTCTGCGATTTCCGAGAAGTACTGGTAAGCTAATAAAAGGCTGGAATCTGAAAGGGAAGCTAAGGCTCTTCCCATAATTAAAAGTTCTCTCTATAATCTAGTAACAGGAAATGTAAATGCATCAGATTAATAGCACTCAAATTAGTAGAAAGCACACACAGCTTTAAGTATTAGACCATTTCTTAAAGTAATTACTACCGAATCGATAAAGGAATTGATGTATGGGCTCTACCCAGAAGCAAAGTTGCCCATCCTTGAAAGGGAAAAATAGTTGCAAAATGCTCTCTATCGACCACATCAAATCCGGAAAAGTAGCCGAACTCAGCACATAAAATCGCATTTTATTGTTTCGATAAAAAGTAATTTTCACACATTTATCCATTTATTTATTTTGGTTTTTCGTTTCGTTTCCTTTTTTTTAAGTTACAAATTACAATTTTCCATTGATTCCTGTGGACACAACGTAAATGTGAATCGAATTAAATTCAGGCTTCTATGACCCTTTGAATAAAGTGCAGCAAATTGTGCTTGTTCATTGATGCAGCATAAATACAAAAAAAAGGTGGGTAAAAACCCTTGTATGTGCCTAGGGTGAAAGTTTATTCAATTGCTAATTGATTTAATTGAGATTCAATTACAGTACATTTTTGTTGCTCCCTAATAACCCAAACTGTGTGACATTCACAAGGATTCTGACTATGGAAAATATATATATTTTATATATCTATTTGCCTAGATAAAATCTATTCTGCAATTCGTTGATCGTCCGCTGAGTGAGGTGAGGTGAGGGCTAGGTTATCTAAGTCTGGAATCGAACCTTAGAGGCCGTCCAGTTTCTTTGGCTCATAAACGGCTATTGGTCTAGGAACAATTAGCGGCTGATAATAGACATTCAAGGTGAGTTTGCGACTACGACAATGTGGTCTCGAAAAATACACAACTTTCAGATCTACGGATTATTGAGATAAAACCAATCCAAATCGGTCGCTTCAAGTGCCGTCATCAAAACGTTTTCCAAAAATACTCCAGCTAGCCATATAAACTCGTACAAATTCCATATATACAATTCTCAATACACACAGTCCTCTTCTTAAGCTACATTCTTCATTCGTTTTGGGGTGTTTAAGTACTCCCATTTAGCAGGACAACTCCGTGGATCGTCTGGCGGCATCGCTTCTCGCTGAATATTCGTTGTCCTTGGGCTCACGCCCTGTAATATCCACCAGGGAATTGGGATCCATGTTCGACAGCTTGTCCAAATCATCATCGTTCATATAGTTCGGCTGCAGTTTGCTAACCAACTTCCTCAACTTTTGAGCATCCAGCGATGTGCGACGCAGATTGGCATTATAGTCGCTGGGCTATACAGGGGAAATGGGTGAAATAGATGGATTGGTTGTGGCCCAAAGCCAGGATAAAAGGGCAAAACAACTCACATCGCGCCACTGCTCGCCGGGAAAGACGGCAATCAATTCGGCATTTGGCTCCAGAGTGCTGAAGTACTCTTCGTCATCGACCTCGGTGCCATCGCAATCCAGGTGTATCGCCGGCTGAGCTCGCTCGAATTTCACTGACACCTTTACCCGCAACTCCGACAGCGTTGTGGCCACAACAGCCTTGCGGATGTTTCTCGTGATGTCCTTGATCTGAAATGAAGGCGACGGATTACTACGAATTTTACGCCGAATTCACGCCCTGTATTGACATGCCGGAAATTGCATAGCTGTGATGGAGAAGGCTTAACTAGTAGTAGAACACTGAGAGAAATGTCCTTTGAATTTTAAGTTCTTGCAGTTTTATGGTTTATTTTGGAGATTTTCTTGATAACGTATATTATACTGTACATTTAATATACTAATATAAAACCATTTCTTATAGTTTGATAAACGATCTTTCTTTTACAAATTTCTAGGCTTTTTCCAGTGCAATATTTGCCAAACGGTGGTGCATCTTCATATTGGTATTTGCCAAAGAATTTTTAATAAAATCCAAGACCGTGTTATAGTGTTATCAGCTAAAATTTGTTATGAAGTGACAGGAATTTTCGGTTTGACTTGACGTTTGGCCCACAAAAGAAGGCAATACGAAAGAATAATTCGCTATAAAATCTTTCAAAAAGATTCCCAAAATAGGTAAGCAGCTTTACCATGAAAGTGATAATATTATTTGATCCATTGCAATGTAAAAGCCAAAGCCGCCCATGTTTACTTAGCCAAAAGTGTTTGTCATAGTCAATTGTTTAGCCCTCACACACACACATTTTCTCCATTAAGCTAGAGCAACACAAAGACTGAAACATTTGTTTGCTTTAATTTGCAAAAGGAGCCCCAGGACAGACTGCCTTGCCCTCACAGCTGTCAATAAAAACAATATGAAGTTAACGAAGCGCGGCGACAAAGATAAGAGTAAGGCGAAGGCGCAGGTTAATTGTAATGGAGATATGTATGGAAGTTCTTAGGAAAAGGTAAATGGAATGGCAGCACCACAGCCAGAAGCAACAACTAATCAATTTATCATTTGCCATAACAATAAAGCCAACGAACAATGGGAAGGTCAAGGCACAAGTCGGCACACCGGCATCCGATTATATTTTTCTACCTTTTTTTCTGTTTTTCTTTCTTTTTTTTTCTTAGGGCTGAAGTCGAGCCGAGCCTCTTGTTTGAGCCTAAAAGATTGCTACTAAAATATTTAAAGCATAATGCTGTCGATTCCAAACAGGCTGCCAAGGTCAGCTATGGATGGTTGAATGGATGGATGGATGGGTCAAGCTAGCAAAAGGTAAAAGAAAACAAAACAAGAATAAGAAATGGTCAAGCGAAAGGGAGGGGGCTGTCAAAAAGTTGCCAACGCCTCTATTGTGCCACCTTTTTTTGGCATTACGTATAGGCCTTGGAGTGCGAGTGGATATACTCGAATATTCTGATAAATTGCCAAGAGGTGCGACTTGTTTTGACAGATCTTCAGGTGTCTCCAGTTGACAGCCGACTGTCAAGCGGTTTGTGGCCATTTAATCGCAACATTCACAGTCTGCATTCAGAGCAAAGTCATCAGTAAAAGAGACCTTTCCTCTTCTTTTATGGCCCATCAATCAATCCCCCGCTCAGTACGTCTGCTAAACCAATTATACGATGCTTAGGGAATCCATCAAATGGCCAACGCCATTACGTCTGGCCGGAGTCTGGAGCTCAGTTGGCTCTGAAAGCCAGCCAAGCCAGCCACAACAATGAAAATTTATCAAGCATTTAATGCGAAATTCAATGGGGCAGTGGGTGTGACCCATTAAAGGCCGTGGGTATTCGGTATTTCTCTGCTGAGCAGTGGCAATTGTGTATCCATTCTGGGGATACTCCGTAGCCATGGACAAACTATTCAATCAGCACCTCATTCCATCAAGTCTGGGCCAAATGCCAATGTCCTGCGGCTTTGTTTGCTTTATACCACTTTTTCGCCTTTGTTAGCCCTTCTCCGTTTGCTGCTGCCAGAAAGTCATTATAACTTGGCTTTCTTAACTGCCTGACCCAGCACCCCCTGTCGAACAATGTATATTCCCACTCACTTCTCGAATGGCCGCAGTTGAACTTTGACTTTTTGGTCAATCCCTTCAATTGGCTGCCATGATTTCATCTTGATGCACTTAGTGTCTCGGCCTGATTTGCGGTTACACTTTTTGGGGCAGTTACAGTCTCTGTTCACGAGGCAGGTAAATATTTACCAACGGTGCGGTTAGGCTTTCAGGGGATTTTCCCTCGCATTTTTGTTTGCCAGCGTCCACCGTCAATATTGCCCCTGTAAATTCCACGTTTACATAGGGTGAGCAGCAGTAGTTGCAGAACAGCAGCGGCGTCATTAGGACAGGCGACAAACAAGCCAGGATCATGACAAGGACAATGCGCAGGACTCACTGTGCAGTCATGAATTCGCCATGAGACATCTGAGATGTGTGCTGGCGAAGGGAAACTGTTGTTCAAATAGCACTTAGGGCCGGTCAGGAAATGCAAATTACGCAGGATGTTAGCAATTATAGAATCCAAATGCGAGGAAACCCGATTTCTAGGCTAGGTAAATGGAAGCCGCTGTAATTTCAAATGACCCAAGGTCACGGCTCCCCTAAATTGCTTTGATGTGCCTGCGGTGTCCATTGTCCAGGCTCGTGTTGCCTGCTTTCGGTTCACAGCATTTATCGGAGACATTGGGGCACTAATTTCCCCTGATTGCCATCAGAATGCCATAGCAACACGTTGTTAAAGGCACTGAGAAAAAGTAAGCTACTGACAATGATTTTACAAATTATTGGTCTAGCCATTAATAACAATAAGTATAGTTAGTAAAGCTAATGATTATTTCCTAAATAAGGTTTAAAATGCATACTTCGAAGTCTACTTCCCTTTCAGCTCAGTAAAATCTGTTTCGATTATCACGCTTGTCAGGGAAATTAATATTAATTTTGTTAAATTACACACAAAATAATAAATCCAACACTTTCCCAACACAATCACCGCCATTATTCAGATATCATATAAATAGAAGTCACCAAAATCAATGACATTTTCCTCAGTGACAGATTTTGTTCGGAGGAAATCATTAGCATCGTTCTTTCATTCGAAGTCCATGGGCCATGATGAGTTCTCAACTGCTTTCAAAATCGACGTCGCATTCCACACTTACACGTACTTATTAGCTTACTTATTACAGGGGACAGCGGGGTGTTGTTAAGTTGCACGCTTGCCTGGACATGAATAATGCTCGTTTATTTGGCTTAATGCGCAACGTGGCGTATACGCAATGTCTCAGTCTCAGTCTTAGCAAGGCGTATTCTCTGAAATGTTTGCTCTTCGTTTTTGTTTGTTTGTTTGTTTGTTTGCCTGCCTGCTCTTGCTTGTTTGTTTGTTTGCCTGCTTGCTGATGTCGTTCCATGCGGCATGTCTGCAGGTAATTTAATTTCCGCCCAACCCCCCACCGCTAACCTTTCATGAGAACCTCTCCATTTGGCTGGATCAGACTTTATTTTTGAGCCATTTGCATTCCCCGAAAAACCCACACAAAGGTGGACCCTGTAGGTGGACATGAAAAACGCATTTGCGCGTTAACCCAACGAAGGCAAAAGGGAATGGGATTTTCCTGATCCAATGAGATTTGTTTTACTGGAATTTAATTTCCTGCTAGGACCAGAAATGTGTTGGGCTACCACAGAGTTTCCTTGAGGCTAAAAAAAATAACGATTTAAACTGCAAGCAGTGTAAAATAATATAAATGCAATCAAAAAATTGCGCATTCAGATGGGAAATGCATGTATTTGAACGGTTTATTACGTTTAAGCAATCATAGAACTTAAAATGGAATAAAATCATTAAGTTTCTCTTTGCCATTTAAAACTTTAAATTTGTTTCGTGTTTCTAAAACTCACAAATATAAGCCTAACGAAAACCCAATAAGAACACCCCAAAGTTAATCATTTTAATTCCAAAGATTGAAGCTCTTCTGAGTATCAAGAGCTTACCACCACAGCCTTCTAACCAAACTTCGTGTGTTGGCATATTAATAGCTCACGGATTATCACCCCTTATCTTAATGCCCACTCGCATTCAGTTCCTTGTGCAATTAGTCAAAGAGATTAAATCTCCAAGCATTTCAGTGTTTTTAATCAGGGACTTAGTAGTCCCTGGAAATACTATAGCCATGCGAAATGGTAGACAAGATGAGAGCTTATTAATTAGCTGAAATGTGCATAAATTACTCATGCGTCACGTGGCCGAAGTTCAGCCATCATCAGTCGGTTGCCAACTGACAAATGACATCGCGTTTCGGGCCACATCGAGCTGTCAATTAATTGCTCTCTCCTGGCAAATTTACAGCCACTTGATAGCTCGTGAAGCTCATCATCCATTCAGTCGAGGAACAGATGACCAGATGCCGATCTTTTTGGCCAGTTTATATTATTATGGCGGTGGCTTTAATGCCGTTAGCACACAATAAATCGATTAGGTTGTGCAGCTGGCGTGGCCAAGATGGCTCGTTATCGTTATCGCCGCCCACAGGCGAGACGGCTTAGATGTGGGCGTGGCATTGAAGGTGATTGGCGAGTTGGGCATGGGTATGATTGGCCTGTTTGGCTGAATGGCTGGCTGGCTGGCTGGCTGGCCCGGAATGATATACGAGCCACTTTGGCGCCCGCATGCGGATACTACTATTTTATCCAGCTGAACAGTTTGAACATTTTAATTAAATTTCAATTGTTGACCAGCTACACAGAGAACAAAAATTGGTTAATGAAAATTTAACTTGATAAAAGGTCCAGAAACTACGCAAAGTTAACAATTCAATGTCATAAAAACTGAATAAGAAAATGATGATTAATTTTAATTTTCAATCGCAATATCTTTATATCGAAATTTCAATGAAAATGTCCTCTGAAACATAAATTTCGAGCACGTCCTTTGAGGAAAATATAACTTACTGTTAAGGATAAAAATATTTCAAATTGAATACCAACAAAACTTGACAAGGTAACAAGTTAAAATCAGCCTACTGATAAACCCAAAAAAAGACAATATTTTGTTTTAACATTTCATAAAAATTCTTTTAAAAACAAAACCTTAAAATATCTACTTAAAGTTAAGAAGGCTAAATATAAATGCTAAAATTCAAGTGAAAATTGATTTAAAAATATAAACAAATTGTGAGAAACTACCTGTGACCTTATGACGCTTTTTTCTTTGTGCACTAAATTGGCTATGGCCACGCAATCTTTTATAGTCAAATAGAGTTTTGCGTGGTGAAAGGCGAAAGGGGGGAAAAGGAAGTGAAAGGGCAAGGCAACAGCTCTGTTTTCCAGGAATTTTGCCCGTACCAGCATTTTGCAGCGGATTGAAAAGTTGGACGAATGCTTAAAGGGCGAATAAAGCACCGGCAGCAACACTTCAGCAGCAGTGCTGATGTCGATGATGCCACTCAACGCCGAAGGCTTTGAAGTGGCCGTTCTATTCCCATCCGCCGGGGGAACCCCTTCACTTTTTGTTCGCCCTGCTGACCATCCAACTTTTTTTCCACCTCCATTTTGAAGTATTTCACTTTTTAGTTGTTTTGGTGTTTTTTTTTTATATATATAACCAACAAGCGTAACAATAGCAACGCAGTAATCACTTAACGAAATGCTGGCCCAGTTAACACAGAGAGAGCAGGTAGCGTGGCTAAATGCCACAAAGGATGTGAGAATACTATATACCCACCTTGAAAGGCTTGCTGTTGTCCAGCTGGGCGAAGTCCTCGTCGGCGGTGGTGGGCGACGGAGTGGGCGTGGTGCTGCTATGTGGCGATAAGGCCAATTCCAAGGTGATGCTATCCGCTGCATCGTCCACATCGGCATCCAAGTCGATGTCCTCACAATCCGCATCCATTTCGGCGGTGCGTGTGAGAGTACGTTGTCTAGGCGGTGGAGCCACTATTCTGGTCTCAAGATCAGCTTCTTGGGGTGCCACACCGCCTGCAGCTTCCCCAGCTGCTGCCTCTTCAGCTGCCTGGGACATTCCAGCCTGCTTTGTCTCATCCGCCATCATTTCTGGCATCCACTCGAATTATCCTTGTCTCGAAAGTTTGCACGTCTTGTCTGGACTCCTTGCTGCACTAGTTGGAAAGCATGGTCGAGAGAGATTTATGACAAGCAAAATAAATTTAAACGATAATTGAAATATTCTGTATGGCACTCTCTTCGGCGATGTTTCAAAGCCGCTGAAGCAAGCATCATAAAGCTGGCAGACTTTGTGTTATTGTTATTTCAGATATGTATGTTGTTTGCATTGAACAGAACAAATTCATAACGAAATCGTTGTTTGGCATTTGTTTTGGCTTTGATTTAAAAAAGTTTTTCAATTGCTGAAATCACTTTGCTTTAAGGCCACCAGTAAAATAGAGAAATTTCTTTTTTTGCCAAAATAGAACTGAAAGAAGTTATTACTTTAGTTTTTGTGCTTGACTTTGACTTTTAAAATTGTGTGTAGGTTTGCTAATCGATTTAATTTAAGACTTAAACAAATATTTCTTTCATAAAATATTTTAAATATTCTTTCCTTTGGAAGTCCTTCCAATGCTAAGTAAACTGTTTTTCTTTCATTAAATTTTCTTTGATTTCACATGAATGTTTTAGGTTTTGTTATTTTTATATTTTCTCACTAATTATTACTATTTATAATTTTTAATTTTAAGTGATATTTTAGCCATTAAAAATTGAGTGTATTTTAGCTTAATTTGCAAACTTAGAAACAGAAATTTGTTAATTTTTCTCATAATTTATATTTTGATTCCCTAAAATTAAGTTTGACCCATAATACTTTATTTTCAAAATAAAATCCTTTAACCTACCTATTTTAATTATTTATTATTTTTAAAATGAAAACCTCTTTTAATCTCATTTAATATGCTTCACAGTTTCCTTTTAATTAAAAGAACTTTTGTTTACTTTCACTGAACTATAAGGACTAATTTTCCCTCATTACCTTGCCACTTAATTTATTCTTAAAAACCGAATTCTTCACATTTTCCGGCAAGCATCGACCATAATAGTAGCCGATAATTTTAATACGCGATGACTTTGAGCACAGATCGCGTGTGGCAGCTCTACAACAGCCAAGTGCAACAAAAGCCGGCCGAACTTGGAATAAATTGCCAGACGTCTGTGCGTGCTGTATTTAAACAAGCCAGGACTCGTCGAATTTGCCGACAGCTTCGGCCAGAGCAAAAACACACAAAAGCAAAGTCAGAAGGTCCTGCAAAAACACACAAACGGCAAAGTCTAACCTTCGACGAGCTTTGGCCGTGAGAGCGGGACATCGTACAGGGAGAGGATTCTGTTAAGATGCTGTTAGCCAGGCCAGGCTGGGCGTGCCGGGCTCAAAAACATAGGGTCTGCGGTAAAATGAAGAAGAAAACATAAAAAAAAAACTTTGGTCTAGGATCGGGACTCTATGACCTGTGAAGTGGGAAAAGTTTACTGGAGCAGCTGCAAATAGTTCTACTTAACCGGAACCACAAAAAACCCAAGACAAACAACACTTTGTATATAGATATATGTATATAGTCGAGGCGTGCTGGCAAATATAAATATTTCAGGCTGAACTTTTCGGCGCGTAAGGGCAAAGTTTAAAAATGCAATAAAATAAAGTTTGCAATTTGGGCCAAAAAAAACTCCGGCGGGCAGCCGGAAAAATGTCACTTCGCCATAATGAGACTTCTGGCTGCATAATTAAAATACTGAGTTTTCTAGGCAAAACTTTCAACAAAGGTGCATTTGCTTTTGAGGGCGAGACAAAAGCCGAGATTTATTGGCATTTGCATTTCGGTTTTAATAGTTTTGGTTGTTTTTTTTTTGGGGGGGTGGTGGTGGGGGGAAATTGATTGTTTAAAATTCATGAAATTCCCTTGCTGAACGCCGATTGAATTTGTTTCGCCTTTTGGGGACAAACAAAACCGCATGCAAAAATATTTACGAGTATAACTGAGCTGGGCTTGAAATGCAAAAATATTGCGCATACGCCCTGTGGACCAAGGTTAATTTGATTGCCGGCTGCGGAAATCCAGGCATTCAACATCGATTGAACTAAAGTTGAACACGTGACTTTCACTGTAGTCACGTGATGGATAATATTATATATTTTTCTCGTTAAACGCACTTAAGGCAAGCCTTTCACATTGTCAAACTATCTGATGGACATTTATATTTTTAGTCTTTTTTATGTATGTGTGAATTTTCTGCACGCTCATCTGTTTATTCGCCCTGCTGGGCAATCATTTCCGCCCGCCATTTTCCATTTCCACATTTTCCCGCCACCGGGGAGGTCAAATAATTTATGGGACGCGGTCCGCTAATTGCGCATTGGAGCGCGGCGCGAACAACTTTTCGCATATGCAGCAGCAGCATCAGCAGGAGCAGGAGCAGCAGCGGCAGTGGCAGGACCAACATTGCCATCAATTTAAATGCATAGACGGTGTTGCAAATTGAAATTTATGCGTCTGGCATTGCAAAGGTAAATGTGAGGCAGATTGCTCTGCCTTCATCATCAGCTGCCATGTTTAATTGCGATGCATGACCTTCGCAGTCTGGGCAGTTAGATTAATTAACTCGCATGTCGTCGCAAAGGTCATGCTCGTCGCATGTGGCGATGATTAATGGCCCCCGATCCTTGCCGGACCTTTTACTATTCGAAGCTGACCATGTGGATATGTGGCACTTTTTCGCCAAAAAATCTCATCAAAAAACCCCAGATACCAATGGTACGGGTAAATGGCAAATATTTGCGCCTGCTGTCAGCAGTCTAAATGAAATTAAATGGTAAAAAAAAATGGCATTTCAATGCGGGCCAAAAAGAAATGCCAAACATTTCAATTAAATGAAAATAAATGCAAAATGTGAAATGCTAAATAATGAAAGAAAACAAGTACTGACATCGGCCTTGCTGGTATGTAACAAGCAATTACATTCCCTCTTAATGGCATACTTAATTAAGTATTTTGTGTGTCGAACGGGTTTTTTATTGGCAGCAACGTGCGGATGGCTATAATTGGTTTAATGGCTAACAAACCTGTGCGTATTTGCATTTACACTTTATGGCTTAATAGGGAGACTGGAACTGGGACTGGGACCCACAAACATGCAGTATAGTGTACAGTCGAATTGCTGCTCGAACTGCTGACATTCGCCTGGTTGTTCCACCAAGCTTCCCATCTCCTCGAGGCAATTGTTGATACATGGATTGGAGCTCCATGGTTTCGCCAGCTCCCTTTGCAAATCCTGCAAGCTGACTGACATCTCCTGCTGATCCAGTGAAAGGTCATTCGCTTGTATGGCCACCAGCAGCAGCAACTGCATCATGATAAACAAAACGCTTAATTTCATATTTGTGTTTGCCAAACTTGCTTAAATTTCCATTACTGACAGCTGCCTCTCTGGCTTACTGCACTTAAAGAAAAGTATGATAGGGAGAAAGGGGTATATAATGAGATTTTATATGATTATTAAATTTGATATAATTGTGAGATTTCTAACTGTTACTTACTGTTGTCCTTCCTAATCTAGTTACTTATACTACTACCTTGACTTACTTATCAAATAATTCCTACTAACAACGTTTCTTTTTGTGTATAAACGCGTACCCATATCCGCACACCTAATGACTTTCGGGTGGCAAAAGCAAACATCCAAATGAGGCAATCTAAGTACCAGTTTGCGGCTGCCAGCGGCTCTAACTGCACAATTATGGACCGCCCTTGCCGCCCACAAGGTCCGTTGATTTACCCTCACCCCTTACGCCTTCTCACATATATGGGCGAAAAGTGCCACGGGGCGCATTAGTAATGCCCATTGCGGCATCTATTACACAGCGCCTTGTTTATGTGCACCACACACATGCTCTCGAATAAAAATCAACAGCCTGAGGCGACTGCTTGCCCCCGCCGCTACACCACCGTCTCTCTTCTCCTAAGGACATTCTGGCCCCTCGCTACCCTATCCTTGACATTTATTTGGGGGAAATGTGTGTAAAATATATACTACAAAAATGGAAAAAAAAAGGCAAGCAGCAAAAATTGTAGAGAATTATGCCCTCGTTCGGGGAGAAAAGCGACTCGTTAGCCGGGCCAAGCAAGTTTTCATTCGATATGTTGTTTACCCAGCCATGCCCCCTTCCGCAACCGCCCTTCTTTGCTATGAGACGTTTGACATTCGTTCTTCGAGGGTATGGAGTGTTTGTACATATGTACGAGTATGTGTAGGCATGCAACAAGCTTCGACGACCGGATTAGGGAATAATGATGATGAACGAATTTCGTTGCTGAAATCTGATTTGATTTCCACTAAAAATAGTACACTGCCAGGCATTTGGCTTACTAAATTTATAAGACACTAACAATCAGTTAGTGGAAATATTTTTTAGCCGGGATTAATGAAGTTAAAAACTAAGCAACCATATTATCAGCTACAATTCTGTTTTTGAATAATTTTTAAAACTTTTCAATCTCAGGAGCCTTTGACATTGCCTTTGTAACTCAACTATAGCAGTTCGTCATTCACAAATATCATTTCAACGTGAAACATACAAAAAGTGCAGCTCCAAAAATAAGTAAAATAATCTTAAAGCACAATGAGCAAGCCATCCAAACTATATCAAGTAAATATATAATCTGATACATAAGTGACGGTACTCAACGAATTTATATAGTGGTTTAGACTGCGGAACATGTCCGAGACAAATAATGTTATATCTCCGGATGAAAGTGCTTCGCGTGAAGAAGGAGGCACGCCCATGGCGTCAATAGCCGAAAGTAATGGGGGAACTCTTGAAATGAACGAGGCTCCGCCTATATTAATGGAAGTTGATCAAGAGCCAGAGGTGCGTACAGAGCTGAACAACAACATATCAAGTGAATCTCATTTAAATTTAAGGAAATCCAAAATCGGAAGGGTTCGGAAGCCGAAAAAGACTCAAGCCGATCCACTTGTGATTACATGCCGCCGATGCAGCACTTCTCTGATGATTTTACCAGAAAGCACTAAGTTCTTTACATGCGCTGAGGTCAACGGTCGACTTTTTAAAGTTAACGAAGTCTCAGCCAAAACGGTATTAGCGGCTAAAAAACCAAAGAAACGGCCGTCCCCAACAGGAAAGAATTCTAAACAAGTTTGAATATTAAAGATTATTATTGAACTTTAGTTAACCAAAAAATTTTTATCTTTACAAAATGAAGTCCACAAAAGTTAACGTAAAAAATTACTGAGCGTGGGTAAAAAAAAGGTTGATATTAAAGAATTCTTTCTATTGAAAAAACAAATATATTTTTAGTTTTTGCTTAGAAATATATTTTATAAATAAGATCTTACCAAATCAAGAAAAATCAATGCGAAAAATAAACTTAAACTTTGATTGGTTTCGGTCGTTCAGGACTTCCCTCCTTGGTAATTCCTTTAATCTGCAAAGAAAACTTCAAAAGAACTGGGAATTCAAGTGTGTGTGACAATTTCTTAGCCAGCCAGCCACACCTACCACAAATGCCAGAGCACATCAAAAGCAGTCAAAAGCAGAGACGACAAATGTGCGGTTTTAGGTTACATTTTTTAATATTTTTGCGCGCTTTCCGCTCGATGATTTCTTTGACTTCTCCCATTTTTTTTTTGACCAAGAAAATGAATCCCTGCAGGATGATGGCATTTTCCCAAGAGCGCAAATTAAAAGAGCAACCCAGGAATGAAATGTAAAAAGGTTTTACTGTGTTAATAAGGGGTATTAAATATGAAAGAGTCAAAAGGACAAAAATTCAATTCATCAAAGCCAGGGCCACGCCCACAGCAAAGGGGGGACGGCGGTGCTGTCGTCATGCATTTAGGTCACCCGGGAGCTTTGAACTGTGTTAGTAGGGCAACGCAATCAGCTAGCCAGGACCTGCAAACGTCATGGGGTAGTGACGTCACTAAGGAAGTTGAATGCAAAAGAGAATGGCGTCGAGTAATGCAATTAGATGGCAGAAGCAGGAGCAGGAGCAGGAGCAGAAGCAGGAACAGGACTCTCACTCTCCCTCTCTGGAAATAGAAAAAGGGAAATGAAAGGAAACTCTCTTTTGCCAGCGGAAGAGCAGGATGCATTCCACACGCCCTGTTGCACACGCTTTGTATGTTGCGCATACGCCCCTTTCACCAGCCAGCCAGGTAAGTTCACTAAACTTTGCGTTTTAATATTTATTTATTTATTACTTTTTTCCGTGTATATAGTTTGCTTCGGGATTGTTGTGGTTTTTTATATATATTTCGTATCTTGCATTTACTGTATGCCTTTCACTATATTTAATAATTGTTTTCCGTTTGCATTTGGTTGTCGTTTTGGTTTTCGTTAACGGTTTCCCTTATTGCTTATTCGAATTGTAGACAGTTACCAACTTTAAATGGGCAATTGCAGTTTCCGTTATTGTGTTTCTGTTATTGTTTAATTTGCTAACAATGTTTTTTGCTGTTGCTTAAATTCATTTTTTGGCTATAGATTCGAGGGGGCGGCGGAAAAAGGGGTTGGGGGACAGGGAGGATTGGGCAGAAGCATCCAAACCAAACCGTCCCGAACCGCTCAAACCACGACACAAAAAAACCTATTACACATAAATACAGTCAGTCTCAATTGGCCTTTAACGAATGACATTCACAATGGCATTGGTCTAAAAACAATTTTTGATGTGCGTTTCCATACTAACTACTAACTTCGTAACACAATTTACACGGCAAGCAAATCAACAGTGTTCCTGGGACCTGCTTCCAATCCAATTCGGGTTCATTTCGGGTTCACTCTGGTATTTATTATTTGCCTACGCCTGGGGTTCTACCTCAGATATAATACTTAAATCGCTAAACTTTGATTATTATTCATCTAGTACGGCTTGTGGTGTGGCTTGTGTGTGTATATATACGGTTAAATATGCTTCCTCTGACTGTGATTGCTAAAAGACTCTTCAAATCTGTTTTGGTTGTGACCTTTTGAACTCCTTGCCTTGTGTTCCTATGTGTGTATGAGTGTGTTTAAATCTAGTACGTGTATTGTTCGTTAACTTTCATTTGCTCTTAGATACTATGAAGCATTTATCCTCTGTGACTTTGTTCTCGCTTGATTTTGTCTCCGATTTCTGATTTCGCAGTGCGCCTAATTACATGCTACAAATACGATTTATGTTAACCCAATGTTGCAGGACTGATGTCGTCGGTATATCCTCATGGATCTTGATTTTGATTTCCACTCTTCACTTCCATTTTTTTAATCCTCCACCGGCAGACTTCACCTTAGGCTGCCCAAAATGGGCAGTCAGATATCTCCATTGGCATTTGGATTCCTACTTGGATTGGCATTAGCCTCGTTGGCCGCCACTTCGGCAGCTGAGGATCCCAATGCTGCACTGGCCGCAGAGCAAGTGGTGGTGGCCTCACCCACCGTAATCGTTATCGTCGTATTCTGATTGTCACATTGCACTACCTCGATGGTACGAGTATTACTGGTTGTTGTGGTGCTCATCTGTCCACTCTCCGCCTCGTTCAACTGGCGTCCAATCTCCCGGTCAATGGCCTCCGCATCTTCCGGATAGCGTTCCGAGCAGAATATGGCTCCAGCCTTCAGCAGCTTTAATAGATTCAGACGGTCCTCAGCATTCCGCTTGGCACAAAGTGGCCTAAAAAGGATTAACATCAGTATGTGAGTAATATGGTTCTTTAAACTTATTACAGAATGAAGATTTTTATGATATTAATGTCATAAAACTTATTAAACTCACCTTCCCGCATCCTTGAGCTGCTCCATAAACTCTTTACCCGTAATGTCCACCAACGAATTAGGATCCATGTTGGACAGTGAGTCCAGGTCGGCATCGTTCATCACGGACACGTTGCATAGATTGTTCTGCAGCTGACCCACCAGCTGCCGGATGCGTGCCGACTCCGAGTTGTTGGCATCGGTGGTGTCGCCTTCGCCTCCGGCAGCGGGATCCCCATTTCCAGTTCCGCTCTCGTTGCCATGTGGAGTGGTTATGGTCACGTAGTGCGTGGGCTATAAACAGAGTGTGCAGATAGCATTTAATTTAATCTCTCTGGCTTTGGTTCCATGGTTCCTTGGACACCGTGCTCTTTCATGGCATGGCATTCCATGGAATAATGAAATTAGTCATTATGACAGATAAAAGGAGGGACACATAAAATGAATTATCCAATTAAGTGGTTTTCACTTGCAGAAAGGAAAAGAACATAATCTCTAAATCCAGGAATTAGTATTGTACAAAATAATGTTAGAAATCTGATAATGGTTATGAATGAAATAATAGTAATTAATAATAATAATCATAAACTAAAGTAAATAACGAAAAAAGCATTTCTAATATTAAATCAGTAACTAATTAATGATCAATTTAAATTTTCTTAACTCACATCAATCCAATGTTCTCCTGGAAAGACAGCCACCAGTTCCGTGTTCTCGTCAAGGGTGCGGAAGTACTCCTCGTCGTCGATCTCCGTGCCATCGGAGTCTAGGTGGATAGTGGGCAGGTGGTCGCACTTCTCGAACTTCTCCGCCACCTTGCTGCGAATCTCCTCCAGACTGGAGGCGCAGACAGCCTTCTTAATGTTGCGAGTTACGTCCTTGACCTGGCCGTAAAAAGAAAGCAAACCGGAGAAAGGGAATAATAAACCATTACACGTTTACAATTACGGAAACAGAGGCAGTAACAGTTACACATGGCCCCGCTCATCAAATGAATAATAAATTAATGTCAGAAGGGAAACAACTGTGTCCCCTATAAAATATTCACATCGTCGGCACCCAAAATAAAAACAGCAAAAAGTACAGAAAATGGTTATAAAAATACTTCTTGCCTGGAAACCCTTTTTCTCGAGAAAACAACGTGAGCTGAATGGGGAAAAAAAACTATGGAAATATTTAAGTTGATTTTGTTAATTCATTAGTCATTTTCTTCTTTCAATGTTTACTTTTCACTGCTTTTATAGCTATTTAATTAAGCACTCTTTTCAAATTCTATTCCATTAAACAAAAGCAAAAGGAAGACAATGGAAGTTGGCAAATAAATAATGAACTACGTATCAAAATAGATTGTTTTTCATTCCCTCGAAAAATCAAAATGAATAAATGAACGAATTTGCGACCATGTCATGTCCACCTGTCAAAATTCCATTTGCTCTAATTGAGATTTATGGACTGGTTATCCCGCCCCACGAGAGATGTCACCTTAAAGTGCAGCCCACACAGCCGACTTTGTGCATATTTCAGTGGCGAATGTTTAGTTCCATGTGCTCACTTTTCCAGAACTCAAGAACTCGAACGCAGTTTGACATGCACTCGTCCGACTGCGGCGCAAATATTTGTCGTTTTATTCCCTCCAGCCCCCGATTCCTTGCCATATCTTTTTTTCCCTTTTTTTTTTGTGTGACAAGTTATGCATGTCAGCATTTTTTATACTGCAAGCTCCTTCGCGAATGCCATAAGTTAGTGCTGCTCTCTGCGCTGCAAGGACGAAGTCTTTGCCAGGCTCTATTAAACTTGCATGCGATGTTAAATGATGCCTCAGCACTAAGGTTAAACGAAACATAAATTAGACCTGGCCAGGCAGTAGGAGCCATAGCCAGGAGATGGATATTCAAGGAGGAAGCGGAAAAGGGCAACACGACTGCATTCCTACCAGAATTTATAGCCCCGAAACGTCGGGCAACGTGCAACTCCTTGAGGTCCTTCATAAATAATTGAACATGCCCGTGACTAAATGAAATTGTACTCTAGTTTGCATTTCGAACATTTTATTTTACTTATTCGCAGAGCTCCTCCATCATCCCAATAGCCATTTCCCACTGCCAGACACTTAGCTCAGAGGTCGTTATTAAATTATCTTATAAATGCTTAAAGCCAGACAACTTTTGTGCTTCGCCAGCACCAAATATTAATCATATCATGGATGTGGGGTATTCGGTGAAAAACTTTGCAACAATGAAAACTTTGGTGAACTAGTGAAGCATCTGACAAGTGAAAGACGCGGTGGCATCAAAAACAAAAGTATAGTTTCTTAGTTTGGAAACTTGTCAAAAGTTTTAGTTGATCGCATTAGTAGATTTTGTTGGGAATTCCTGACTCTCTTTTTTTTGGATGTTTCAATTCAATTAGCAGTTTATTTAATTACCCTCAAAACTATACAAAGTATAAGAAAGATTTTACAAAACAAAATAAAAATAAACATTGTTCAAAAGTTTTTCAACAAAATACAGAACATGGTCGAAGATTTGTCTGGGGAATATCGTAAACAGAAATGTTTTTAAGTTATATTATGGAAAAGTTTTGTCTGCAAAAGTAGAATGTTGTAAAGGACGAAAAACTATGGCAAGTAGAATTTTATTTATTAAATAAATGTAAAAAACTTATGATTTTTCTTTATAAATGATATAAATGAAGTAATCCTTTTAGATCCGATTTGGGAAAGACAAATCTGAATCTAACCTCTAATAATAATATTAAACGTGCTCTTAGTGGGCACAGAAATTGCTTCTAAAAATTCTTTATCAAAAATCAAAAAAATTTTTAATCCCCGCTTCGAAAAATTCTTCTCTAGATGACCAGCATAGTATAAGCTAAACCGATTTAAATGGATTGGGAAAGCAACTGCAAGCTGATGGCTTTTAAATCACAACTAACTCGAGCTGCTCAGCCATGGGTACCCCAGGGTCCTGAACCACACGTGCAACGACCTCTCCATCGTCTGGCTCCATTCAAAATCAGACGAAGGATACGTGCCAGGGACTCTATTCATCTGCATCTTAGACCGAGAAGAATCCACAAGTCGCAGGACTTGTAAATATTTAATGGGCGTAGGCCGCAGATTTTCAAGTCGCTGGGGAAATTAGGCGACAACTTTAAATTGCTTTCCAACTATGCCCTGCCATTATGCAAATTGTTTAATAAATTATTAACAAAATGCTTTTGCCGGGGGCATGGGCGTGAGCTTGGAAATGGGCGTGGCCGCTGGCTAATTACAGCGACATGTCGACGGGATAAAAAAGTTTGTCCCTTTTTAATGGCATTTTCATGGCTGTCGAGGTATTTGACAGCTTTTAAGCCGATTTGTGTTTGGTGGTTTTTGAATTAATTATTTTAATAAGCAGCGACATTTTAATGGATATACTTGGTTGGAAGGAATTTCGAGAGATTTAACTACAGAAATACTTTACAAAAGTTGTTTTCCATGTTCCACAGACAACTTAAATAGCTTTGCGGTTATTTTTCTGTGGTCTCTTTTGGAACATCAACTACATGCATGTACTTCTGGTGGTTTCCAGCGACCTTAAGCAGTCCTTTAATTCCTTTGAACTGCTTTCTGCTGCTTAAGCGGCAGATAAACAAATTAGTCGAGAAACAAAGGCCCAGCAGACAAGCAAAACAAATGCCAAAAACAAACAATTCCCAATACTCGAATGAAAAATCAAAAAATAAAGCCAAAATAAATACAAATAAAAGCAGGCAAAAAAATATGACTGAGGAAATAAAAGAAATCCTTTTGACTTTGCAAAGTTACATTTTAAACAGTAATGCCCTATTACTGAGCTTTCGACACTCTCTTTAGTCCAAGCTTTTGTCTCTCTTAAGATTCACTCTCTTTGCTTTTGCCCAGAGCAACTTGAAGTTCAACCCAGTTTCCATAAAGAACCAACAAAGAAGAAGCGAAAAAAAAAGCGAACGCAGCACGCGGCCAACAACAACAAAAGCGAAAACAACAACGCCCAAAAATGGGCATGGCAGGAAAATAATGCACGCTTCAAGTCCCATTGTTTTTTTCTAAAGCCTTTTATTTCATTTTAACTACAATATCAACTCACTTTGAAAGGCTTTTTGGAGTCGCCCGAATTCGCTGCAGTTTCCATGGCTTTGTATTTTGCCTCGACTAAATTATTTATTCACTCTAACTATGCACTTAATCTCCAGGCTTAATGGCTTAACATTTGATATTTGCTTTTTAGGGATTTCTCGTTGTTTTTTGGCACTCACACACTGGCATTCAGAATTTAAACAAACAAACTTGAAATTCCTGGCCACAAGCTGCACTTGAAATGGGAATTAAATGTATTTTCTCAGCTCCGCAGCGGAGCTTTCGATGCGAAGAGCGCCGGTTTTGAAATGAGCGCGTGCTGCCATGTAGCATTTGCTTTTATACGCTACCCCCTATTTTTGCGGAGCAGAGAGCCCACTGTTATTCTAACGAATAAATGTTAACACTTCTCTTAGCTGGTAAACTCAAATCATTTATGTTTATCGTCTATTTATAGTATATAATATTTTTATAGATAATATTTATTCTTGGAAAATTGTTTTAATAAGTATTAAATATTTATAGATTTATTTTATTTATTAATAGATATATCTTATTTAAAGGCAATATTTTTACCTGTATTTTATATACAGTTATTTATACTTTGTATAAGTAATATATTTTATTTATTTACTAAATACATATATGGGTAAACTTCATGTTTATAATATCATGTTAAATTTAGAGATAGATTTATATTTATTAGATTATTAGGTAGATTTATTTTAATAAATATTAAAATATTAATAACAGAAATGATATTCTTAAGATTATTTTGTAATAAACCTATTTCTTTTAACACTTTCAGAAATATGCAAATAAAAACCTTAAAATATAGCTTACAAAAGAGCGTATAAACCTAAACCTAGAGCTAAAACCCGTTCTCTTTGCTGACTATGTTGATAACATTTTCCTGTAGCCGAGGCTCTAGGTAGTACAAAGAGTTTGCTAGAACAATCCTGGTTGCACAGTTTACTGGCCTTTAATGGCCAAATGTGCTAATCTAAGTCTCACACTAATCTCTATTTCAATCGGAAGCTGTATTAAGTTTCAATTGGTCCATTGGGTGCCAGGACATTTTATCAGCCCAATGATATCCGGCGTTGTCAATTCTGAATATCCCTTTCCCTTTGGAAACCCGCCCAAAAGAGCAGTTAGACAACGCTTAACTTTCTACTCAAGTGGCCAACACCCATTTAAATCTATATACATCTATTGCCATGCACACATCAACGAACCGTCCAGATAAAGAAGAGCAAAAAGCAAACTTTTGACAAATGGCCAAAATACATGAAAGGAAAGCCAAAGCCGGAAGGTGGCCCTAGATTGGGTTGAACTGAGTTTATACACGGCGGGAAATAAGCAATGTTTTCTTGATGTTTTCATAGTTTTTGATTTATAATTTTAAGAAATATAAATTAATATTTAAAACTTTCATTCATATATTTTTGTTTTAAAAATTATTGCATACTTTTAAGCGATTTATAGCAGAATATATAATAGAAGCTAACTAAAACCACCAATCGATGAGTTTTGGTATATGAGTAGATTTTAATATAATGTATATAATGTAATATTATTAAAAGGTCTTTATTTTTTCCTCTGTAGAACGGAACTGAATAGCCCGGAAAGGAGATGGGTATATATACATAAGTATGAGGTTTCAGAGATGGGGGTAACCTTAAATTGTCATCCTAGTGCGCACCATTGGTTCCTCGGATGCTCCTTCTGCTGCTGGCAGTTTGCCCCGTTTGCTGTCATTGCACTGCTGCATATAGCAACTACGTATCCCAACAAAAGGAGCAGCAGGAGGAGGTGTGGTGGCTGTGTGGTAGTGGCTGGGACTATTTTAAGCGCAGGTCACTTGAAAGGACGCACAAGGACATTGGCTTGTGTGGGTGGCTGTGTCGCAAACAGTTCACAGGTCACGTGCATGCACCGCGGTGCATTGACCACGGAGACGTTGACACATTGGCCAGAATCTGGGTTGAGGCTTCACTCGAAGCCAGGTGACAGGTAATTGCCTCACGGGACAGCAGGCAATAGGCAATATCGATGGAAACCAATAAATCAACGCCTGGCAATATCGTTTACATTGCTTAACCCCAGGTGGTAGTTCAACATCCTTCCATTTAACTGGGTTTTCTTCATAATAAGGTTGTCCTAACCGGATTTAAAGATACTTATTATTTTACTAATAAAAATCATAGAAAGGTACATGGGCTGCAATCGGCTAACAAAGTTTAAAATTAATGTAAGTGCAAAAACTTATGATTCAATAATGCAAAAGTTAAGTTCTACAAAAAACAGCTCAACAGATTGCTTGTGTTTATTAATGGTTTTTCTCTGACCAGACGTTTTAAATAAAACCTAAAAAACTTCCAAACAAAAAGCGGACAAAACTAATTATCTTCGCGCCCTAAAAAGGGATAACATGAGCGATTTAACACAACTAAGTCCTTTTTTTATAACAGCTTAGGACAGCCTGTGAGCTACAGAGCTCTGTTAAATATAATCGTCACTTTCAACAGGACCTCGTTAAAATTCAAGAGGGACTTTCTTCCGCTGACTTCGTTTGAACCTCTTCACGTTGACATTTGCTGTTTGGCGGCGGTAACCTTATGAATATGTAGAAATTTTAACATTGGTTTTTCCAATACACTTTTTTGAAACAATGCAACAATATTAATGGTACTTATTAATGTCCTCTAACACAATCAATAAGATCATTACATAATAACAAAAACTTTATTCGGTCTCAGACAAAACTAATCATATTAATAGTTTTCCAAAATCATCTTGGGCACCACATTCATGCTGGTTAACTCTTGGAAGAGCAATTTGCAAGCATACGGCATGGATATTTTGGAGACATGGGCCGAGGACTTGCAGTAATGACACCAAGAGCAGTAGGCTAATCGTCCGCAAGTCCTGCAGACATCGACCTCAAAAGAATCCGAAGATATCATCAGACGCTCCATAATCAGCATACTAGCTCCATAAGATATAAGGCAATCTCGCTCCATTTCACCCAGACGGAGGCCACCCTCACGACTCCTACCCTGCGTTGGCTGACGCGTGAGTACAGCCTTGGGCCCTCGAGCACGGGCATGCATCTTGTCCTGCACCATGTGCTTCAGTTTCTGGTAGTACACGGGACCCGAGTAGATGTAAGCCTCCAGCGGTGTTCCAGTAATGCCAGAGTAGAAAAAGTCCTTGCCAACATAATTAAATCCGTGGCGTTCTAGTTCCGCCTGAATGTCTTCCACTTTGGAGCCTCCAAAGGCGGTTCCATAGTGAAACTTGCCTTCCAATAGCCCAGCCTTACCTCCAAGCAGCTCCAAGGTTTTGCCAACTGTCATACGAGAGGGAAAACCATGAGGATTCATGATCATATCCGGGCAGATACCAAAGTCATTAAACGGCATGTCTTCCTGTTCAACAATTAATCCCGTCACACCTTTTTGTCCATGCCGCGAGCTAAATTTATCGCCGATCTCAGGAATACGAGTCTGGCGCAGTAGGATCTTGATAAGAAAGTCTTCATCCGAATTGGCGGAAACCATCACGCGTTCAATGTAACTCGGTTCGGGTCCTTTATAACTAATGGGCACAGGGTTGTAGGTAACCTCCGCGGATTGACCCTGCAGTGTATTCATTGAAGTCACTGCCGGCATCTGTTTGTTGATCATGATCTGTTTGTTCTGCACCTGCTCGCCAGGAGCCACAATGCCATCAGTGTCCAAAACATCGTGTGTGAAAAGCACCTTATTAGTGCGAGCTTCTTTCGTGGGACCCATGATCCTATCGAAAGTCTGATTCGCATATCGTTTCACTGTGCACTTGGAGTTTTTGTAAACCAGGCAACGTCCATAACCGCGATCTATAGAGGCCTTGTTTAATATCAAAGCATCCTCGATATCGTAACCGGAGTAACTCATAACGGCCACCGTGGCATTCTGCCCTGCTGGCAGTTTGTCAAAGTTGGTTAGCTCAATAGTCTTGGATTTCACCATGGGAGCGTGTGGATACACCAGATTGTACATCAGCGAATCGATACGATTCTTCTGGTTGTAACCAATCATTCCCATCGCCTGCTTACCCATAGCACATTGATAGGTGTTCCTGGGACTCTGATTGTGATGTGGATATGGTACCAAGCCCGCACAGACTCCTAGCAAAGTGAAGGGTTCGATTTCCAAGTGCGTAGTGCCTTTCTCGATTTGATTTTCATTCCATGCGATTAACGAATCGTTCTCCTCGTTCACATCCAAATACTCGATAAGTCCGTCCAAGAGAAAATCGTCGAACTTGCGAATTCCTCTGTTGAGTTCGTCAAGGTGATGTTGCTTTACCAGCGGACGACCGTTCTCCACAATCACGTAAGGGCGGCACAAACGACCACCATCCGTGTGGATGTAGATGCATCGCTGGGTGTAGGATGTGTGCACCGACACATAGCTCCCCATTCGTCCCTTTCTGCGCATGTAGCGTAGGTTCCTCACCAGGTGTTTGTGGTTCAAGGTGAGTCCCAGAACATTACCATTAATAAAGACCAGAAATACATTCGGATTATTGATGGGGTTTCCGCTCACTTCTCTTATATCCTCGACGCCAGCGTTAAAGGCCACTGTCATTACTGGTCGCTCCTCAACTTCGGTGGTAATGTGTGTCATCAGAGCCAGATTCTTTACCAGACCACAAGCTTCGCCTTCAGGTGTGTCCGAGGGACATAGCATACCCCACTGACTTGGCTGTAGGGATCGAGGACCAGAAACTTTTCGCGTCTTCTCAAACTGCGAGTTCACACGGGTCATCATTCCCAGGGCGGATATGTAACTCAGACGCGACAGAACTTGCGTTACACCAGCTCTTTCCATCTTAAATCGCTTAATAGTCCAATTTCCAGAACTTATAGCCGACTCTAATCCCGCGGTGATTTGTGCCGCCCGCATATGCTTGACCACATCGAACTGGGCCGCCTTTACCTTGGGTATATTTTTGTCCGCAATGGTTTTCAATTCCCAATTCATACGCTTGAACAGATCCTCGAACATCATGGAGAGCAATGAACCAGCCAACTCTAGTCGCTTGTTGCCGTAGTAATCGCGATCGTCGAATAGTGTTTTATCCAGTTCGGCGGCCATCACACGACGCACCATCATGGACACGTAGATTGCTTTCATCTGAAAGTGGAAGTTGTCCACAGGTACGTGAGCCAGGATGGTTGTCAATAGCAGCTCGCGCGCCTCTTCCGATGGAGATTTTGTGGTGGCACTTTGGAAACGCTTGACCACCAGCTTAGAACCTGGGAAAGAAGTAATTTAAAGAAAGAGTTAAAAACAAAAAGAATAAAACATACCCATGTACTCTAAAGCTCTTTGCTGTGTGAAGACTTTCAGATTATACGCTTCCAGAAGGGAGGCACCGAACCTACTCTGCGACTTGGTGTCTATACCAATAAGCGTCTGTATTTCCTGATCGGAGACTACGCCTAAAGCTTTAAATATAACCACAATAGGTATGTCATCCGTCATCGAGTTGTGCTTAAGGTAGTACTTTCCATGTTTGCTCAATACCAAAGTGCGCGATTTCTTTTCATGGGTGGAGGAGGTGACCTGACACTGCACCACCCCGTTGAAGTCTTCGGTAAGCATTTTGTTCCAGGACAACTGTTCCTGTATGAGAATGACCTTTTCCTGACCTCGTACAACAAAGTAGCCACCAGGATCTAAGGGACACTCATTTAGCTTCGACAACTCGAATTCTGATTTTCCGGTTAAGGCGCAGTTGGAACAGCGCAACATGAGCGGCATCCTGCCGATGAGCAAGTTGTTCCGTTTGATCCGCTGGGTTCCCCGCGTATACTCAATGTCTACGTTAATGGGGGCAGAGTAGGTGGTGTCTCTCAGACGGCATTCGTGCGGCGTGGTCGCTTTAGTGATGTTGAAGCCCTCATCGATGTCCGGTTTGCCCACCCTCACGTCCAGGTACTTCAGGTAGAACAGAGGGTCAGCACCACTCGTAACCAGTTCGTTGGCCTTCACAATCTTCTTGATGTCCACGTTGATGAAGTGATTGAACGAATCAATGTGCTGCTTCACCAGTCCTTTCACCTGCAGAAATGCCGGCACCAGTTTCCACTTCTCAGTCAGCGGTTTAATGGGCATCGACCAGTCTTTGCTATCGCCCGGATCCCAGGCGGTGGCTTCCATATTATGATCCCCCATTTTTAGCTCCACCATTACACTGCTTTTATTGAAATTAAATCATCAACAAAACAGCGTGCACTTTTATTTATGAATTTCTAAATCTATCGGATATCGATAACTATCCCATAGTGTTGCTTAATGAGCTATTTTACAACAAATCTAGCTATAATTATAATTCTTAGAAGCGGGAAATTTCAATTCAAGTTTTTAAATTTAAAACTTTATGATTGTTTTGGATTTTATTGATTTAGTTTATTGTCTCTGCCCTAAGCCTCTGTAACACCGTCAAATATTCTAGTAAGTTACTCACAAAATATCTATATTCCAAAAAAATTAAAGCACATTCGTTTTTTATTTTCAAATAAAAAATGCCATCAAATAATCAAAGTGTAACCGTTGCACAGAGTCTAGACCTTCTTCACAATCTGGACCACATCCTCGTCGTTGAGAACGTGTTCAATTCCAACCTTCTGCGGCTGATGCTTCACCGATGATCCCCAAACCAACGCACTAAATGGGATAATAATGGTTAAAAACTATTTATATACAAAAGGAGTTATTAACTCCACTTACTATTTAAACTCCTTGGCGATGGATCGATGTAACTTGTTACAGAAGTCCTCAATGCTGGTGTGTTCGTTATGAAGCACCACAGGGGAGTTGTAGTCAGGCAGCTGGCCCTTAGGCTTGGTGTAGATGCGCTGCAACCGCAGGTACTCCCACATGAGCTCTAGGAGATCGTCAAAGTTCCAGTGATGATGCGCCGAGATGGGCACGCAGTGCGGGATCTTGTAGATAACGTCCAGTTCCTCAATGGAGATCTGATCGATCTTGTTCAGCAGATAGATGCAGGGTATGTAGATTCGGTTGCCTTCGATCACATCGATTAGGTCGTCACTAGTGGCATCATACCTCAGAGTAATATCCGCATTGTGGATCTTGTACTCGGATAGAATGGTCTTCACAAGATCCGTGTCCAATTCGGATTGAGGAACCATGCTGTTCAGATTGATGCCACCCTTGTCCTTCCGCTTGTAGTAGATATTTGGTGGTTTCTTGTTTAGCCGGATGCCAAAGCCCTCCAATTCGTGCTCCAGCAGTTTCTTGTGGCCCAGCGGTTTTAGGCAATCTAACACCATGAAAATGAGGTTACAGGTTCGTGCCACAGCTATCACCTGACGACCACGACCCTTGCCATCCTTAGCGCCCTCAATGATACCAGGCAAATCCAACAACTGGATCTTGGCCCCCTTGTACTTGATGCATCCTGGCACAGTGGTCAATGTTGTGAACTCGTAAGCCGCCACTTCGGAGTAAACGCCAGCCAAATTGGAGAGTAATGTGGATTTTCCCACAGAGGGAAATCCGACGAAGCCCACACGGGCATCTCCCGTCTTGGCAACCTCGAAGCCAGCTTGAAATACGCATTGATTATTAGTTATATGCGAATTTTAGTCCGTAAACCTACCTTCGCCGGTTCCACCGCCGCCTCCTTTGGGGGATATGAGCTCACGTCGCAGTTTGGCCAGCTTTGCCTTCAGCAGACCCAAATGCGCCGAGGTTGCCTTGTTCTTCTGGGTTCGGGCCATCTAAAAGGGATTCAAGAAAATCCAAGAAACCCGGAGATTTAAGAGGAATCCAAAGGGAGGAATCCGCGGGGTAAATGGATGCAAGACAGGTTAGATTCTGTGTGGTCGCGCAGGTGTTCCATTTTCTCACTCACCTCCGACTCGATGGCCGAGATTTTCTCCAAAATTGTGCTCATGGCTGGCTGGCAGTTAAACTCGGTTCACAAAAAACTCCAATTATCAACAAATATGCATGTAAAAATAAAAAAATAAAACTCTCGCGTGGACAGTTGGAATAGTAAACGATGAGTATTCGATATATTCGATATACCCACAAATGTGGCAGCAAACGCACTTAGTATTTTTTTTTACTTTTATTTATTTTTTGTATAGACTAATTAGCGATGGTCACACTTATTGGAATAAGGCCGTTACAATTTGATCTTCAACAAAATGTTCGCCAAGGGTAAAATAAAATAATTAAATCTTTAAAAATACTTTAAAAATTACACAACATATCTCTTCTCCCTCACAGCTAAACCACGCACCCCTTTGGTCAACAGCCAGGCCAAATTCAAGAGTCAACTGACCAACAATTCTTCTCAATTGAATCTAAGCTTTCCAACGGCCGCTCAGCTTTTGCGGAAGAACAGCAGCCAATTGCGGCAAACTAAATTGAGTGTTTGCCCAAAAGACAATAAACTTAAGTATGATGGCTTCGTTGATGAAGTTCCAAAGATTAGGCCTGTAAAAGAGTTCGTCTATAAGCCAGCTCCGAGCGTCCTGGTGAAATCCAGTTGCAAAGCTTCGACAAAAAAGGAAGCACCTGCAGGGTTGCCAAGTTCTCCGATGTCAAAACCAGGACGAAACTTAATTAGTCTGATAGGTCGAGTGGATTTCTGTCTTAAAACCCACAAAATGTATCCGGAAACTAACGCCATTTGGAATGTTTACGGTGAGTTTTGTATTTAACTAATACTAATTTTTCGAAGAGCAAGATAACATCGATTAAAATTATAATAATTCAGGTAAATTGCTTCGCATTATTAATGGAAAACGTGGATTACACACCTTACTAGTGCGTGACGAAGGTTCTGGACCCATTCTTCAGGGAATATACTATGATTTCGAAGGTGTTTTAGGAACTTTTTGCCCAGGCAATAATTATATTATATTATATATTATTTAATATTTAAACCCAACTAAGATCCATTTACAGGCTGCTTCATTCATCTCGTTGGCCGTTTTATTGGTGAAAATCGCTTGCAAACTTTCAAGATTTCCCAGGTAAGCGATATAGACTGGCAGCAACAATTTATGCGCATTGAAAATGTGACAACGTATATTCTGATGCAAAACAATGTGCATAAGTAATTTGTATTTCAGCAAGGTATTACCATATACAGTTTTCTCATAATTTGTAGGCCAGGCACTTATATTTTCTTCATTATATATAAATATGTAAACTATTCTGACCTGGCCTTAACAGTGAAATGTTTCATTTTTGTACTTTAGAATTACTTTAGTAGTTTAGAAATCATGAATAATTTATAATTTGTAAGTAACTTATAACTGTTATACTTAGGAACTAAGTTAGCTTCAAAATGCCCTTTCACGATTCTCAACCAGTGACATTGCACAGTTACGAGGACTACAATAAATACAAAATCCAAAGGGGGCGTTTAAACTCTAATACTGGTGAACTTAATTTACTAAGGGAAAGGAAATGGGTATTCAGTTCTACGAGTACAAATCAAAGTACATGAAAACCGTGACCAGAAAACCGCAGAAGAGAGCACAAAAGTAGCCCAAGTGTAGCGAGGCTGTCTTCTCATCGCGGAAACTGCAAATTGAGGAAAAACAATATACACAATGAACAATAAAAGGTCATTCTTGAAGAGCTTACCGTTTCTTGGAACGCGGCGAGAAGGGCGAGGGTGGATTTACGCCCGGCACCGCGCTGTCTAAGTACACTATTCCGTACGCGAATCCGGCCACCAGAAGGCCACACAGCAGTGGACTCAGCCTGGAGCCCAGCTGGTTCTTGGTGACCCACACCAAGGTCTCGTTCCACCGACTCTGCACCTGGTGGCTAAGCACCTGAATGGAGTCGCCGCTGACGTATGGCACTGCAAAATAGCACAGAGAACTCGTTAGTATCTCAGTTTGGGTGTCGTTCTATTGATTTCAGTGTTATCAGTCTTGGTCACGATAAACACGTCAAAAAAAGCGTTTATAAATAAGGTGGTCCAAATTTATTGGCAAGGAATGTAATCTACCTATGTATGAGGAAATATAAGCATGTAAAACTAAAGAGATGTAAAACTAAAGAGAATAAAAATACATAAATATAAAGACATTACATTCGTCAATAAATACCGAGGTTGAGCTTTTTACAGATTACTCTAACGATAATTATAATTCAATTTTCTACTCAAATTACATTTCTCATTTTACTTAAAATGGAAAAACAAACATGATTTCAATCCAACTGAAAACACTGAGCCACCCTAATGTCTAACCTGCAGCAAATTAAAGGCTAGATTGCTGAACCGTCAGAAATGTAAAATTCGTTATATTTTCAGGGCTTACTTGTTTATGTATTTATGTATGTGTCGCGTGACGAATACCCTAGAGCTAAAAACCGTTAAGCTCAACAAAGACGAATACTTAATAAACGTTGGGCAAACAATTAACTAACTAATCACTCTTCGCTTCAAAGTTGAAGCAACTAATCACTCTCGATCGTTGTTGTTGTTTCTTTTCCAAAGTGAATACATATGCAAATGAGAAGGCTAAATGCGCAACGAACTGTTTGCTTCTTTATATATGTACATATATGTACGTTTTTCGCTATTTGGGGGGTTATTGCAGGGGGAACAAACACCGCTATGAGATCACACGAACTTCAACTATTTATAAACCATAGAAAAAATATAAACAAAACGAGTGAAGACGACGTCACCGCCTACAATTGCAACCTTGAATTTCCACCCCTCCCTCACCTTACAGGGGGATGATGAACCAATAAATAGAAATCCGATAAAACTACAATATTTAGATTTTATTTTGACACACTTACTGGTTAGAATGACGCTTTTGTAGGCTATTATAAGAGCTCCAAAGAGAAGGGCCACTTTTTTTAACCGCGGATCGAAGGCGTTCACCACGCCCACTTGCCCTTTTTCCGTGGGTTCAGGAACGCCCACGTAGTTTTGAACTTTTGGATGAGAGGTTTTCGGCGTTGAAGTATATATCCGTCCGTTCGGTTTGCCGTTTTGTGTACTTCTGAACGCCGTCGAGAAATTCCAATTGGTTTTGTTTTTCCCTTGCTGTTGCTGTTGGCGAGCTGGGACGTCACAGTCGACGTCTAACAGTTTCACCTGCATATTGTTGTTTTGCCGGCGAATGCTTTGTTTTGAATTGTAATTCTTTGTTCGACTGACCCCACTGAACACGGTTTACTCTTTTTTAAGCAAACAAATGTTTATTTAATTCACAATACTACAAAAACAACAAACAATTAAACGTCACACCCCCGAAAAAAACAACGCAGAAAATGCAATTAGAACTAGTGATGAGAAAACGTGTATGCATTGCGCATTAAACAATCGAAACACGATTATCGATAGTTTATTGGAGATCAGAGTTCAAATTTACTTTAACCCCTACCTCGCAATTTTGAATCAAATGAATGGATAACTAATAAAAGCACCAAATATAGACTTTTTAATATTAATGTATATGCTTTTTAACGACAATCTTCCACGTCATGAATAGGTTTTCCGGTTCCCACTTTAACTTTTGTATAATAACCATGTTTATTTGTAATTGAAAAACAGTAATCATAGTTAAATGTACATTTTTTATAATTTAATGTGTGTGTATTCATTTTATTTTTATCTTTGTTGTTTTCTATTTACTTCTTACAACATTTTTAGTTTTCTGTTTTAATGCATTTGCAATGCATTTATGTTGAATTTAACACGATAATTGTATGTATTTTGAATGATGTATTATTATTAACTAAAAGTTAACTGCGATCATAGAAAAGTTAATTTTAATTACATAATAAGGCTCTTTTTACGTTTTCATTACGTTACTTCGTACTTCAACTAATTCGCGATATACTCTCCTTCATTTATTCGATATAAAATAATGACTACAACTAAAGATAAAAAGTTAAATCAAATAATCTGACACTATAAAAAACAATGTAAAAACTTTCTGATTGATAAATAATTACTTTTACAGAGATGCGGTTAACAGCTGATACGACACGTTATCTGAATTTTGTGTTTTTGGTCTTTCTCACAAATTTACAAATTGCGAAACTAAATAGTCCGAATTCTTATTATTTAAGTCTGATCTGCATGATGTAGGTATTAGGTAGTGTCGGTTTAACAACTATCGTAGTCTCCCCTACGTCTTAAATATTTAGTTAACTTAGGCGCCTATACTAAACATAACTAAACTAACAAGTATGCGCTCAATGCAGCATTATTCTGCGCCTCAAATTCCTATGATTTGGCCGTGGTAGCTCCCCCACGAGTTCTTTTGGCCATGGGCTCTGTAGTGTCAGCCGCTCGTATGTTGTCAAACAAATTATTCTCCTAAAAAGTTTTTAGTTTATTAGTTTTAATATGTAATTGTATTCCCACGCTTTTACTTACCTGCGGATTCTCATCATCGAGAATGGATGGTTCTGCCGGCCTTTTTGTAGCAGCTCGCGACGTTGTCATAGCCGTCGTGGCAGCTTTGCTCGTAGATTTAACTCCCAATGTATACACGTCCAGCGGTATATAGACGTCGTTGTTTTGAAAATTCGCCGCGGCAGGCTGTTTATAATACATTTCTGGCAGGGCCAGCGGCATGGAAAATGTGTTCGTGTTGGCATCAAATGGACTGAATTTTGAGTCGATAATGTACATAGCGAGATCGCAGAGCGCCCACATTTTCTGATAATCAAAAAAAATATATATAAATGTGTTAAAATTCAAAAGCATAATGCAATATAATAAGTGGCATACATAGTTGTCGCGCTTGTCCGAGCCCTGACTGAACTCCCGATGCTTTATCAGTTGTAGTAGCTGTTTGTAGAAGCTGTGGACAAACGATTCGCGTTTGGCCATAAGAGGCTCCAGAATGAAACGCAGGCATTTTTCCATTTTGCGCAGCTGAACATAGTCTTCATGATTCGTAAAGCGCGGATCGTGGACCAGCACAGGAATGGCGAAAGCCAGCATATAGTCAGGTAGTAAGTGAAGTGATTGTGACTCCGTTGAACTGTCGGGAGCTGAAATACAATTGAGTTAGATAGTCCAAATACACAATAAAATGAATTAAATAAAAAAATTACACGTCATAGCCACAGTCTTGAGATATTCCCGACGTTTGTTTACATCTGTTTCCGCATAATGACGTACAAGGTCTTGTAATCTGTTGAAAAAATATATTAGCATTTTTACAAAAGAATAGCAGCTAAAAACAACTCACTTTCTGTCAGTCTCTAGGCCAGCCAGCACATACAAGCCCATAAAATCCAGGGGCAAACAATTCCTTGGCAGACTTCTTCCCAATCCCTTGTGCAGTTTGCGAGCAAAGATTTCTCGTACCTCAGGCACCGGATCAACCTATGTGAAATACAACTAACGTTAAATATGATTAAGAAGTTAAATATGAGTTTACTAACCATCAGCTGGGACAGCTGCAAATACTGCTCGGCACTATACTGGTCGCCGACGCCCTTCTGCTCGCACACCTTGAGCATGGCGCAGGCAGCCCCCAGACGCAACCAGGATTTTTCGGCACCGCAAAGGCGGTTCTGGCCGAGGAGATCGCCACGCTGGTTGACAAATGCGGCCAGCATTCGGAATGTCTTCTGAGCGGCATGTTCATCAGTGCGTAGACCCAAAAGCCATCGGGCCATTGCTTTGAGTGCATCCAGCTTACACAACGTGTCAGGCGGCAGTTCTTCTTGGGCACACCAGTCGCTGTCTTCTGGTAGTTCGTAATCCCGCTGCGCCGGAACCTCTTGAATGAGTAGCTCTTTAACAATGCGACGCGCAATCATGTTTTTAATAGGCGTAAGGAAGGCCTGTGGCATATTGAAAGCAATGTGACCCAATGTCACAATCTTGGTGCGCTGGTGCTCGCAGTTTGGAGTCAGTTTGAGGCGGAGTGTTTCAATAATCTCGTTGAATATGGGATGCACTGTTTGAGTAGTGGTGGATGCGCTCCCAGATCCGCTTGCTGATCCATCAGTTGCTGCCGACGACTGGCTGTTCACGAAAATACAACGCACTGCGTGTTTTGCCTGTTTCGGTGTTCCGATCAAAGCGAAGTCCTTGCACACCGGAGCCAGCTCTTCGAGAATGGCCGGTGTGGTGTCGTCAATAAGGGGCTGATAGCGTCCCAGATGCGTAAGAGTCTTGAGCACCAAGGGAGAAACATAGTCATGTTCGTAACTGAGCAGGGAAATTAAATGTCGTAGCGAGGTATCCGTGAAAAAGTGAGCTGAGAAGACATAGGAAAGCATCTACAAATAAAAAGCAAATATATGAATTTGTTATATTTTTCACTCCTTATCTCCTGCATTATAAACTTACGCTTAACAACTTGAGCCCACGTTCTCCCGCTTCCTGTGGGGAGATGCCGATCTCCTCGCACATGGACCCTCCCTGGATGCATTGCTCAATGAGGCTGAGGAAAATAATGAGAGGATTCAGCCAGGGATTAGAAGGCACTTGCCTACGGCTTACCCAACAAGTACGCCAATGGATTCTTTGTCCACCATCACGGATGCCACACGTTCAATAAGCATTTTGACAGTGTTGTAATACAGATTCGAGTGTACGTGGGCGCCCAGCTTTTTCAGCAGCACACCCATCGTATCGGCACACTCCCGGCAGCTTACGTCACGTTTCAGGACTATGTTGATGCAGCGTAACAGCTGGGCATCTTTTCGCAGGTTGTTGCTAAACTGGGTGAGGTACTCGGCTGCCTTCAGAGGATCTGGAAGCAGTCTGCGAAGACAAATCATTGATTAATTAGTAACCTGTGAATTACAAGTGTAAAACCCACTTGGCAATGTTGGCCTGCTTAGCGCTAAGCTGGTTCAAGACGCGCGGCGTAAACTCCTTGGAGTGGTGCAGCTTGATCCAATCACTGACCGTGTTGCGAGTCTTCATTTGGTTCTTCTGCAGCTCCACAAAAGCCTTCGTGGCGTTAGCATCCAGATCGCCCAACAGATGATACAGCTTTTTCATGCGCTCCTCGGGAGCTAGTTTGTATGGAACTAGGCAGGTGATAAGAAGGCGTTCCACTAGCAGGCGATCCTCTAAGCCCACTTTATAGTAACCGTGTAGTATCTTGTTTTTGATCCAGTCGACTCTAACCTTAAGCCCTGTGCTTAAATCGTTAGGCTCGCAGATCGCTCTCTTGTAGATGTACGCTAGACCATTCATCGCATCCCTCCTAATCTTGTACTTCTTGTCCAACGTCCGTTCACGTACAATCTCTAGAAGTTCGGATGCCTCGATCACCAGACTGAAGTCTCGCTTAGCTGTCTCTACAATAGCCATAACGACTTCGTGGCGCACAGCCTCGTCCAGGTCGTGATTTCGAAGCCGTAATTTTTCGGTAATATCGGGCTGAAGATTTGGATGATTAAGCAGGAAGTGCATTGACGACTGAACACACTTAATGCGAACAGTCTCGCTGATGTCACAGAAACGACCGAAGAAGATTTTTAAAAGGCTTTGATACTTTTTTGACAACTGTGAGTCCTTTTCCGAGAACATACGAGCTAAGAGAGTGGTGGCCTCTGTAATAGCATTAAAATGTAATTATTTATATGCAAATCAAAAAAGATTCTGATGAATTACTCACTCAGCCTCTCAGCATCGTCTGTGGACAGCAGTTTGTTCTCTAATTGAGGCAGCACTGAGACCAGCAGGTCTGCATTGATACGGTTAAGCTCGTAGATAATATCGTAGATTTTGTTTGTTATGGACAGTTTCGTGTTTGGCTTATCCATAACCAAAGCACGGTTGAAGAACTATTGATCAAATATTCAATGTCAAATTTTAAAAAACTGTAGCACCATAGGCGAATCAAATATTACCATTTTGATGGTGGACTCAAGAGCATCGCCCGTTTTGGTGAGGAGTTGTTCGGTTAGTTGGCAGGCAAACTTGTTGTTTGATTTATACGGTTCAACAATGTTAATTAGTATGAGATCCAACAATTCCACCGAAAGATTATCGGCTTCTGTGATCAGAGGGCTCAGCACATCCAGAAAAAAGTTAGTAACCTTTGCGCTATGCTGGTCACTGCAGAGGAATAAGTCATGTTAGTACATCGAATCTGTAGAGTGAATTAAAAGGTTTAGCTTACTTGACAATCTTGAAGATGGTACTGAATAACTCCTGGAAAATCTCCTGGCAGTCTTCCAGTTCGAAGCACATGTTGAAGGACTTTACAAAGGCTAAATTCTCTAGTAGATAGAAGTAACGCTTAAAAGAGGGATCGCGCGGATCCTTTAGACCGTGAAGTTGCTTTATAAAAAACTTAAATATAGTTTTGATTTGATCTTGCTCTTTGTAGGGCGCCTCAGGTGCGTAAACACGCAGGACATCCGCCACGCAGCAGGCGATTAGGAGCTGGACATCGCGGGAAGGATGTTGCATGAAAAAGTCATCCAGTAGATGGAGAGCCAATGGAATGTACTGCTGGTAGAGATTATCGTCTTGGTCCATGGTCTGCAGGACATTGGCGAGGGTCTGTAAAAAAGTAATCTGTAATTCCAGAAACTTTTTACGGGGCAGGACTTAGCAGGACTTACCTTAAGGCGCCTTATCAGCTCGTCGGTGCCTAAGTCCTCCACCAGCGGGCGACATCCAGCAGGATACACTATGTCCGCCATCCTCAACACTAAAGGAAGCTACCTAAAAGGCAGGATTCTAAGGAATTAGTGTCAGGTGCAACAATTCCGTGCAATAACAAAAACACCAAAAAAGCGACCCTCAAAATAACATTGAAAAATTGGAGGAGGGTGGCATCACGCACACACAAGCACGTACGTAGCACCAAACATACACATACAAAAGCACATATGTACATGACACCCACACACAGCTACATGGTCTAATCTTATGCAGTTATTTTTTTATTTTCGCAGAAAACAAAAAATAGATAGCATCAAAATTTCAGTGCCCTATACTATGCAATTACCCAATGTTTTATGCTAATCGGCGACGCAGTTTTAGCATTTGCAATCTTACTTTTCACAACGGGCAGGCGGCGGCACAATTTTTTGCAAATTTGCAAACCGCTGCTTTCAATCACCGCCAAACACACGGCTCCTGGATGTCACTGGATTATGAAATGAATATTTGTATCCAATTATTTACGCATGTTCGATTTTTGGAGTTGATTTGCGGCGCGTTTGTTGTGAAAAATAAGAAAAATCGAGTAGCATTTATGCGGAGTGGCACGCCATTAATCCACGCACGGATCGTTGCCAGAGGTTGCACGAAAGTATGGCCAGATTGTTTTCCGATTATTTCCCGTTTTTATTGCAGCTGTTTGCTTGTGACGTGTTGTTGCAGTTAGAGATGAGAACGTATGTCAGTCAGGATAAAGCATTTATCATTTTAAAAAAATATGTTAGTATATATATATATATATTATATATATATATTATCTGTTTTAAATCATATCATTCTAAAAACAGATTAGAAATAATTGGAAAAGTATATATATATCGTGCTTGTGCGTACTGTGAGACGCCCATCTCTAGACTAGCTTGTTGTGTTTGGTAAACAGCTGTGGCGTTGCCATACAGCGGTGCCGAATGAAAGAAGTGCAAACATTAGATAAAGATAATTGAACAATTATTAGCACCTGCAGCCGGCGAACGGTGTAACGGAATTTCCTGCATTCAAAAGCTGATGGCGCGCATGGCAAATACAACGCAGGTGAAATGTAAGAGGCGCAAATAGATGTTCCGGCTGTTTTACATGTTTTGCTTTCTAATCCAATTAAGCGTGTGCCCTGAAATCGGTGATGCGGCGCTTCTGGCCAGTTGTCTACCGTCCGTTGCAGCAGCTCCACATTCCCGAAGATAAAAGCAGACTTACGTAAATATTGCATGGGCAGTGCATATTTAAATATAGATTATAATATAGAGGCGCAATGCAAGGCATTTGCACTTGCCAGGCAACCAAAAGTATTATTGAAGCAATCCAAACCAATATGGAATAGTCAGGATTATGGCTTCCTTACGGGTAGTAAATAGGTGGGTCGAAATAGGGTTTATTTACATAATCCAAACAATTTAATCCTATTGTAATCTCCGAAAGAAACAGATTAGTGTGTCGTGGCTTTGTGGCTCTCACTTTGCTGCTGGTCTTTTTCAACGAGTTTATAGTCTACTACATGGCCCAGTCTAGTTGGCAACCGATCGATTGCAAACTAGGTAAGTTTTAACCCGATTTCTGACTAAGAGCGGCAAATAACCCCTTTCTTCCGCTTAGATAACTGCACGCGTTTGCTGCTGGTTGCTGATCCCCAGATCCTGGGAAACTCCTACGATCGATCATCGCACAGTCCTTTGGCAAGGTACGATTCGGATAGATATCTGGCCAAAACCTTCGAGCGAGCCCTGGCCTTTACACAGCCACACATTATCGTTTTTCTGGGCGATCTGCTAGACGAAGGCAACATAGCTACGGCCCAGGAATACAAACAGTACGTTCAGCGATTCAGACGCATTTACCAAAACAAGAATTACAAAAAAGTAAGCAGTCATATATTTCGATATATCAAAGTTACTTAAGTTTTCAAATATTCTTTGGCATATTTAAACAACTAAAATTAATATCTTATTTTTCAATTAAGATTAACCTCTTAAAACCTAAAAGTTTCGTATGATATCCGCCTTTTTTCAGCGCGTCCATGTGCCGGGTGACAATGATATTGGCGGCGAAAATGGCGACTACATATCCAACTCGAACCAAAGACGTTTTGAGAATGAATTTATGAGTGAAGACCTCTTCGACTATGACAATCACTTGCGTTTCTTCAAGATAAATCGAATGCTGCTGGATTTCACGAATCCGGATAGGGACAACAATGCCGATCGGCTTAGAATTGGAGTATCGCATGCCCCGCTGCTCATTGGCGGTGGACCATTGCTGAGGGCCATCATGAGTGACTTGGATCCACATATCATTTTCTCGGGACACTGGCACGAATCCAGAATATTTATTTACCCCTCCACCAAAGTGATTAACTTCTATGAAAACGCCGTGAGGCACTTCGATCTGAAGGCCCTTAAAGAGCAGGATCACAACTATCTGGAGATAATGGTGCCCACATGTTCGTATCGTATGGGAAAGTCTAAGATAGGATTGGGCTACGCGGTGTTGGGTGAGTTATAATATACGCTTATTACATTTTAGGATGGTATTAACCTTTTTTTTTTGATTTTAGAAAACTACAACTTGAGTTATACAGTTCTGTGGCAACCGAATCGCTTTATCCTGCTCTTCACTTACGTCTTCTGGGGACTCTTTGTCATCTGTGGCGCCGTAGTCTTCAAAATGATGACACGCTGTCCATTCCGCGTGGCCAAACGACAGACGCTCTACAATCGCGTCTCGACCATACCACAATTTTAGACTGCATTTCCCAAAACTCAAGGACAATAAGCCCAAGATTCTCCAAATTTGCTCGAATATATGTACCACTCGAAATGAGATTGAAATTGTATTTATAGACCAATATATCGGTTTAGCCTAGTATAGCCTTGTATATGGCCTAGTCCAAAAGTGATGATTTTAGTTTTGAGTCAAGAAATAAATGTAACCCATGTCCTCCATATTTATCTTGTTTAACTTTGGCAAATAGAAAAAGCTTTTGAATTTTATTTGATTTATAAATAAAATAAATTATTTAAACAAATCCAATTGAAATTCATTTTGGTTTTGTTTTAATTCAATTAACTCAATAAAATACAGATTACGTTATTGTTTAAGTTATAACTAGGAATCTGACCTTTTACGTATACTACTTTTTGTTAATATGGGACATTAAAAAAAGTAGTAGTAGAGAATTAGTACCGCCATCAGCTGTCCTCCCAGGTTTGCTCTCATCCATCTAGAAATACCGGGAAATACTGGGTACAATGCAGGGCGCATGTGCGAGCCATGCGCCGGCTGCCAGCGTTAAATTAGCCCGATGCGGCGTCACTCGAGTTCCGAAACCGAACGCGGAAGGTTGTGCCCTCAGTTAAAGATACCAGCACATCACTGGAAAACGAATCGCTCGAAAGATCCCCGGGCTGTGCGTCTGCGGCAGGATAATAAAGCGTGACGCGTGTGCGTAACATAAAAATAACCATAAAGCAAATGCTCTCCACTCCGGGCGGAGTAAATGAAGTGAGGTGAAGTGAAGCAAAAAAAAGGGGAAAAACAAAACCCGAAACCGACGAAGGCAAACGGAATTCCTTCAAAAATCGGCAAATAAACAAGAAAAAAGAAGAGCGCACACCGGTTTTGTGCGAAAGAAGCGAAGGAAGTACGAAGTGAAATCAAAAGAATTCTTCAGCTCGAAATGGGGCTGAACGGAAGACGATTGTTGAGCTGCGGCCTGGGATTCTTCTGCCTGATCTTGTGCTCTTACGGTTAGTTAAGTCGGCTGACTGACTCATCTTTTATTTCATTTTCATAATTCCTCCATTATCATCTGCCCCTCCAGCCGCGCCTTTAGCTTTTGAGGATGTGAGCATCGCGAAGGGTCCCCAACCCTCGATAACCATTAAGGAACAGAGTCCTTTGCAATTGCCCTGCGACTATCAACTGCCGGATGAGTATCTTCAGAAGGGCAGCGTCATTTTGCGCTGGCGAAAGGATAACAAAACGGTTCGTCAAGTGGAGCTAGGCAGGATGAGCAGCACCACCAGCGAGCCCCAGTTAGAGACCATGTTGCGCGAGGATTCGCGAGTGACTTTGAACAAGGACAGTGGTTCCCTGCAATTTAACAGCGTTTTGGCCAGCGATGCCGGTCAGTATCAGTGCCAGTTGGTCATCGAGGGTTCCGTTGCTGCCAGCTCCAGTAGTGGGGTTCTTTTAGTTATTGAGCAACTAAAGTTTATGCCACAGCCCACCTCTAAGAATCTGGAACTTGGGTCCCTTAGTAAGGTCCATTGCAAGGCACAGGGAACGCCTCCTCCACAAGTCAAATGGATGAGGGTAAGGATTGTTAATTATTATAATATTTAAATGTTTCTATAAAAAAATGATAAGATTTCTTTTTAAATTGCATGTCAAAACTCAAATTTTCAATATAGTCTAATTCCCATCCAAAGAACTTTCCATTTAACACTTACGACCAACCTTATCCTTCTAGGAAACCCAGCTGCCCCTGCCCGTAAATGTGACCGACCAGAATGGCACTCTGATCTTTAACCAGGTCAGCAACGAGCAAAGGGGTCAATACACCTGCATTGCCTCCAACAGCCAGGGTCAGATCAGTGCCACAGTGTCCATCAATGTGGTGGTGGCTCCAAAATTCAGTGTTCCTCCCGAGGGACCCATTGAGGTGGCAGAAGCAGGGACTGCTGTAATCCATTGCCAGGCGATCGGAGAACCAAAGCCCACGATAAGATGGGACAAGGATCTCACCTACTTGAACGAGAATAACACGGATGCGGAACGTTTCTTCCTTATGGACAATGGAACACTGGAGATACGGAATGTCCGGCCGGAGGATGAAGGTCGTTACGGCTGCACCATTGGCAGTAGTGCGGGATTAAAACGAGAAGATGTCCTCTTGGTGGTGAAGTCCAGCAAATCGGCTTCCAACTCAATAGTGACTAGGATTATCATTGTGATCATATGTCTGGCCTTCTTGTACTTCGTTCTGGTACTGGGGCTAAAAGTGTGGTACCGCTACCGTCGTCACATGGGCAAGGTCCAGTTGGAAGATGGCCATCCCAATGGACCGACCGATGGCCAAGAGCATGATCACCAGGAAAATGAACCCTGCTTAACAGAGGCCAACTCCAGTAAGAATCTAAAGAGCAAGCTGAGAGAGAGCACAATCCTGGAGCAGGAATCGCAGGTGGCCGATGATATTGTGTGAGGAGTTTTACTCCCAATTCTGCGGAGTCACTTCTCAGCTACTTTCCATGATCTCGGTCACATGTTACTCCGTTTTGTTGTTGAGAATCAAAAAAGGAACTTGTGAAATCCCCCTGGAAATCTATTTGTATTTATATTTATCTAGTTTATATATCTATATATATTTATATATATATGTATTTATGTATGCATGTGTGTCTGTGTGTATATATCCCATGTACAGTTATTTTTTAGTAGAATAAATATTTTATGGCTCTCATAGAGCTCAATTTTATAGCGCAATCGTTTCAATCTCCTTTCTTATTTTTTTTTTGCGGTGGGCAGGCGTTTTGTGCGGGGCTCGTAAAATTCCTCCGCTCCACTATCGTAAATTCGTAGCCCACTTGGCACGGCCGTAAAGCCCATGGAACCCGGATGAGTGTTCAACAGCTTTTTATGCGCTTTTTATGACGAAAGCCTCACGCATCGGATGACGTGATATTCCGCTGCAAAGGAAGGCAACCCCCCGATAAAAAAGTCATAAAATAGCTCGACATTCTGGCGCTTCTTTAATAGAAGGGATGTTTGTATGTTAAATGAAAATAATGAAAATATTTGATTTTGAAAAAGATCCTTATAAGTAAACTAAAACTTTATAATGTTAAGGATTTGAGAAAAGAGATGTAGAAAGGTAGACATCAGTTGGAAAAAACACTTTATGAATGGGTATATCACCTTTTCATTGACTTCTGATTTTGATTATTTGATTATATTGAACTAGCATGTTAAATGGCCCCCTTTTAAGAGTCCAGAGTCAAGCCCACAATGTCATCACAAGTCATCTTTTGTAGCCAACTTCGTCAAGTGAATTCCCCACAATTGCCGACGACAATTTCTTTCCAATTGCCAGCGTCTGCACTTAATCGCTTCATTTCCATTTCCATTTCCATGGGCATATTCATGCCTGTTCAGAGGGCTTCAATCGCAATTGCCTATGCGTTTTATGCATATTTTATGGTTTTTTATAGCGCTCGAATAAACAGCGCACATCAAAGGCAACTACACATGCGCAGGTTACTCCGCGGCAGGCCGAGCCCAGGCACCAGATAAAAAAGTAAGCGGCAAGTGCAATTAAACGACCACCCCTGCCTGCATTTCCACCAGCCGCCCATCAAACGGAATGGTATGATATGGATATGGCATGGTATCCTATGCAGCACCCCAACTTTTCCTTCTCTCTGTATATATATACATATATATAGGATTTGCCTTTGATCTGCGGCGGCAACGACGACATCGACATGCATTAAAAACTTGTTGTTGGGGGCCCTTCCGTTGATGTTTTTCCTCTTCTTCGATTTTTCCTCTTGGTTTTTTTGGGTGGGAGGTACTTTTTCGCCTTATTTGTTTATAGTAAGTGCGCACGGGGAATCTGGCTTGTGCCTGTTGTGCCCAAAAACACCTTCAAACGATGTACTATGTTTATTTTGTTTAGTCTACGCAAAGGCCGCGTTACTAAAATTTATTTTAATGCCTTCAAATGTTTGATGTTTGCTAGCGGAGCATTCGGATTTGGATTCTATGCCGGAATTCGTTGCAACTTTGGGATGCTCCATAAAATTATACGATTGTGAGGCGTTGAGTTACGGTAAGCAGTTCAAAATAATAACTTAAACATATATGGATGGTTTCTGAATGGTTAGCTGGAAGTTCCAAAAAGATGAAAGGACTTTTGGTTATAAAAGTTACGATTTTGTAAGTACAAAGTATACATCGATTTTGTAAGTACAAACTATTCAAATATCTTAAGATCGTTTTGAAACTTAAAGTACACAAGCCTTATATGACTATCAAGAAGTTGGAATAAGAATAATTCATTTTTAAATCCTTTGTTTTAATCCTTCAGCTGCTTGGTTTTCAAAATAAAGGCAACTAAATGTAATAAGTTAATAAGAATCCAAAAGATTCAAGAGTTAATTAAGCTGTGGCTTCCTAACCGCTCAGAAAGGATATCTGTGACTTATCCAATTAACATATTACCCCTTCACAACCCCTTTTTACAAAAACCAACTTTAATACAATATTATTAACACACCATTTGCAGCTTTGGTTCCTCCGATCGTTTACACCCCAAAATCATGGAAGAATAGAAAAAAAGAACCAAATACGAAACATCAGATATAATAAAACATAAGCCCTACATTTCCAGGCAGGGCATAGCATAAATCTCCAACTTTATGACATCAATAACTGTCGTTCGTCCAAAGTCAGCGGGCATTGGGAAAATGGGAAATGGAAAAGCGCACTAGAGGCCCAACTTTGGATGGTCGGTCTCGGTCCCTTCTGGGCATGGCCAACATTTGATAACCGCACACACATACGCATTTCTACGCAGATATAATCACAAAGGGCCCGGGCTGTTAATCAGGGGCGGGGGTTTCGACGGGGCAAATCCGGAGGGGTGGGCACCAACGCTACCACCACCCCTCTTGGATATATAGTTTATACAAATGGCAACGGCAGTTTACGACTGTTGGGTGTCAGTCAACGCCGGCTAAAGGATCTGCTGCAATTGTTTTTGTGGCTCTTGGGTTGCTGCCTTTCCATTGTGCGGGGTTGAAAGGCCTCGTAAAAAAACAAGCGGAAAACTATAAAATGGAAATATATACTCACACACACACACACACACTAAGGGACTTGCTCATAATCGCACAGTAGCCGTAGACTGTCTTCGGTGCACGGTAAGCACATGATTTAATAGATACTTCTTTGTTACAAGCTATACTAAAATTCTCAACAAGTTTATTGTTTTTAATGGAATTTCAAAAGATCAACCCAAGATTCTAGATTTGTACAATGTAAGGGAATATGCCAGCTTAAATTATAGAATTATTTCTTTCAGTGTGGAAAATTGGTAGTGGAAGTCTCTTGTAGTTTCCCCAAGCCACGGGCGTATATCTGCTCGTAAAACCAGCAAGCCACCAATGGATTTTCCTCTCCATGCCGCCCGACCACCCCATTTTAGCCGATTCTTGGTTTGGTCATTAAGACGCATTATTGTTTGGATTTAAAATCGGGGGAAACGTCCGCTGATGAGACAGCGGGCGGTTAGCATAATTCATTCTGGCCTGATTGCCGACAACTGATAGCTTTTTTTTGCATTGCTAAAATTTCATTTTCAGGGGGATTTAATCAATTAAAATTAAGAAGATATTCAGGCTCAGTTAGTGGAAAAAATTAATAAGGGTTTTTAAAGCTTCATATAATATGATACAATTATTTTGTTATTAGTTTTCAGTTGATTTATTTCTTTTTGAGAGTTTATTTTGTGAACACAAAACATTTTTCTAAAATGCTTAAACCAGGTTTATATCAGTTTAAAAAGACCTTAAACGCAAAAATTAGATTAGTTTTTCCTAAAACATACAGGTATTGAATAAAAATCTATACATTTTTTTAACATTTTCCTTAATTAATAACTTGAAGAGTTCAATTCAAAGTTGCCGCTCAACAAACAAAGGTTTCAGCACGGCAACACTGCCAGAAATACAGGCAAATATAAAATACTGGTCACAAGCTAGAATAATCCTCCAGCGAGAGAGGGAACAATCTACACCCAGTATTTTCAACAGAGAGCAGCAAAAGCCGGTTCCCACCAACAACTTCGAACAGCCGGCAGCGCTCAGTAATAAACAGACTTCGAACGCGTGCAGTTCGGTTCGATTCGATTATATAGATACATATAGATATCTCGCACCATTCTTTTTCGATCCGTTCCGTTTTGCCGAGTTTCCCCCGACCAACGAAATATATTCACCCACCAAAGCCGGTTCGGGATGCAATGGTTCTGCTGATGCCAAGGATGCAGCTGATGCAGGCTGGCTTTTGTATCTTTGGGATACAAATTAAGTTGATTTGTTGCGCTCGCGTTCTCTTGGGTAATTGAACCCAAGTTGGGTTCCTTGTGCCGCGGTCTTCGCCGAGCATTTCATTGCATTTTGTGTATCTAGATACCTTTGTCGGTATCCCCGTCGCTTGTCAATCTGGTCGCTGATAAAAAAGCAAACGCAACCACGAAACATAAACCCAACGTCAACAGAAAAATACAAGTAACAAACAGCAAGTGGCGTATCTGTCCCCGTGTTCGGTTCGGTTTGGTTCGTTCGGTGATAAATGCATTTCATGCGTTCCAACTATGTAAATAGCAATTTAATTTGAGTGTCCACAGTAAACATCAAAAAACCGCCCTGGACTCCAGTCATCACAACCCCGGGTGAATCCCCCCCCGCCATAACAGACTCAGTAAAAAACCCCTGAAAAGGGCAGTCGTCGTCTGTGGCATCCAAATATTGAATATTTACAAATGCGTTGAGTGCATTTTCGAGTGGCCGGCACTTACAGTGACTCTCCGTTGGATGTGCGAGTGTATTCATCGGATTGCCAGTACCATAAAACTCCGATTCTGATCCGATACGACGCGAGTGCTCAATATTCTTGTGCCGCTAATTGAGAGCAAAGGTGTTGAAGTGTTAAAAATATATATAAATATATATATATGCAAATGGCTGCCAGGATGATCTCAATGTACTGTCTGGTCGTGGCTTTGATGATGGGTAAGTGGACTACTATCGGATTAAATGGGTTAAGTGAATGGATTTTCCATATTTCCTCTGGGGAAGGGTGACCAAATTGTAACATCATGGAAGTCTTGCAAACAAATGCTTTTCATTTGCTTCAGGGGTTCGCAATTCGCTTTTATTTGCTTGTTTTGATGTCGGCATTGGGAAAATTGCTTTTGCAACTGGATCGCTGGCAACTTCAAAGGAATCACAACATTTGTATTACGTTGAATATTCGCCATTCCATCTTGAATGAGACCACCCATAATGTGGACTCTATTAACCTTAAGGCTCTGGCATTCACAGGCAACTACTCTTATTACCTTATACTTCGAGGGCTATTTTTTGTTAGGAAGAAGTAAAACCAAAAACCCAAAAGAGCCTTTGTCTCTGGCAATTGAATTTGAAAGGCAAGCGGCGTGCAAAATGACTCAATTAAAAGTCAGCCAGGAGCCACCAGGATGGCATAACTAATTTGGAATAGGAGAAGGTAAAACCAGCGGGAGAGGAAGCCATTTGGAAAATTATGAGACTCAGGACTTTGGGAGTTCAAAATGAAGTCGTTTGGGCAAATATCAACAGCCAGAAAAGAAAAGCAAATAGAGTAAGGAACACACACAAACGGGGGCTAAAACTAAGGATGACAGATGCTTCACATTTAAGAATACTTTTTAAGATAGAGTAGTCAATTTACAACTTAAATTTGAAAATATATATTCATTTACACTACTTCATACTTCAAACTACTTAGTCTATTTTGTTAATGCTTCAACAACCATTAGGATTTTTCTCAGTGCCTTCGCACACACTCTTGAAATGAAAAGGTCTTTCCTGGCAAGGATCAGGATAACCACTTGAAGTGAGACAAGCGACGCCGAAATTTCGGCTAATCAAATATAGTTTACAACAGGGATTACGAGTGGGATAAGGATCGGCCGAGGGAGTGGGGGGATCTCGGGTCTCAAGAGGGACACGATTATGCAAACGGAGGTCCTTAAATACGCATGTGTGTGTTTGTGTGCATGTGTGAGACAGGACAGAGCTGGAAACTGCTGACTGTTAAGTAGCACAAAGGCAAACAGCCGCTAACAAAAGCCAGCCAGCCGGCAGACACCGAAGGAGGTGGGGTGGAAAGGGGATTCGGATTCGCATATTTCAAAATCTGTGCAACGCTACAGAGGTCCATTATTTGTATGGCAAATAATGTGGCTGTCAGTGTGTGAGTGTGTGTGTGTATGAGTGTTTGTGCGAGTTCCTTTTGTGTGGCAGTCATAATTTGTTATTCAAGCATGCAAAATGCTGCATGCAACATGCCAGGCCAGGCCAGGAGAAGCAAAAGCAAAAGCATCGCACATCCCACATTAAGGGCAGCTGTGGCAACTACAAAACTCCCCTTCAACAACCTTTGCCACACCGTTCCGCCCCTTCTCTCTTCCGCCTGTCTGCGTCCTTCGCTAACCTTAAAGACCTCAAGTCGAAAGTCCTCCACAGAGCTCTCTCGCAAATTGCTTGAACTAGCCATGTATATATTTGCTTAGAAAACACGAAAATACAGGGAAAACTCTGCGACTACAGCTGGCTTATGAAGAATCCAATTTATTTAGCTTTGTTTTATGGGCAACTCTTTGATGTTTAAATTAAAGTGATCTAAATCTAAGAAGTTTGACTTTCGCACTGATTAAAGCGATGATATTGATATTTAGAGACTATTATCATACAAACTATTAAGATTTAAGGACTACATTCTATATGAAATTTGATTTGAGATATCAATAAAGGCATATGCCAGTTCATACAAAGTATAATAGTATTTTAATTATGTAAGAGTATTATTCATCACATCATTTTCTTTAAACTACAAAGAAAACGGTCACAAGAACTTTTTTTGCGGCTGAAAGAAAAAATCCCCGAGTAAACCTTCTGAATGATTAGCCCTGTTGTAACCTTTAAATTGAATTCCAGCTCCATCAAAGAATGCAGCCCATCTCTGGCTATTTTCACCCCTGAGAAAACCCTAGATCAAACGTTTGACGGGTAATTGTCAGACACATTTCCACTTTTCATTCAGTGCCTGTGTCTGTCTGTTGACTTGCAGTTTTCCGGCATCGCTTTTCCCAGACAAATACCACACATTCCAGAGTGACAGTTCAGTTCTAACTCCGCTTTTTCCCTGCCCACAATCACGAAAGCAAAACACCAACACAGATACAAAATCAAATCAAAACGCCACCCATGGGGCAAGTTCAAGTGGCTGCCACAGTGGGTTGCCTGATTATTACAACAATATTTCGCATTCATTGTGCTTAATCGACAAATGTTGCCGCACAATTTGTGGCAGTCAAAGTTGGATCTGGCATCCGTATCTGCGTGGCATCTGAATCTGAATTGGAATCAGAATCGGAATCGGAATCTCAAGATGCTGATGAGTAGGAGGCCGCAGCGGTTGGTACTCGTATTACTGCCTGCTGCTGACTTGCTGATTTCGGTTATTCGAGCCAAACAAACGAACTAATTATCACACACACAGACTGGGGTAGAGAGTAAGCGAGAGAAAGGCATAATACACTGAAAAAGATTTCTAGGATGGATCCTAAGGTTTTTCTAACTTAAGTACACGGTAGTACAACATGCAGAAACAGAACCAAACTGGTTATATCTTCTGGAAATCTTTTTTCTTTGCTTATAAATTTAAAGGTTTAACCCTTTGTCGGTATCCATTCCCTCTGCTCTTGGCTGTTTATTTTACTCTCAGTGTATATTTACAGACAGATTGAGATGGGCAGTTGGTCCCGAGACCGGGACTGCCCGCTGCTCCGTGGTTCTGTCGCTGATGTTTGCAGCATCAACACTTTTTCAGTTTGCTGCTCCAGCTCCTGCTCCGCCAGTGCTCCTCCGCTGCCCCGCCCCTTCATCATTTTGCACACCCCTCACGCATTTTCGTGTCCACATCAGCGCAATCAACGAACTGAGGAGCGGGACGCATATTTCTTTAATCGACGCCCAGTAACTGACTTTGTTCCCCCATTCCGAGAACACGTTTTTTCCGCACGGCAAATTAAATCGATTCAGGGGGGTGGCAGTGGATCGAGAAAGGGGCAGGGAAACCATCCCAGAGGATGGAGGGCATCTCTCTACCAGTGTGCCTGGGCCAACTGCCTTTTTGGTTGGGCTTTCGTTTTGCCTGTCTTGTATCATAACACGTCTGCCGGCGATGTGACTGGCATATGAAACCCATGAAACCCTCCTCCTTCATGAGAGCTGTAATGATGTTGTTGTTGGCCCGCTTATTGATTCCCTGTCGTGGTCTTGGTCTCTTGGTCTTGGCCAAAAGGAACACCAGTCGAACCGAAGCGAACCCCACAATCTGAGGTGTTGTCTCAAATTGCTCCAATTAGTGGCCAAATATAATGGTGGCCGTTTTGTAGTTCTTGTTCATGTTCCTTGCTCCTTGCTTCTTGGTTGCCTTCCTTACACATATAATCAAAAATAATTGCTTTTGAATTGCTTTTGGGTTTTCGAGTTGCGGCTTGGGATTAATCTGGCATTCACTTATTCACTTGACTTTTTAGCCTCCTATGGCGCCACTTGCGGTCTTATTTAAACACCTATAATGGGCCAAAGTCTTTCCCAATCGATTACTTTAATATCTTGCCAGCTCATTTGGTAATCGGCATTAAAATGCATTCACAGTTACCACACCTGACCATTGAATTGCATTTTAAATGCAGCAAATTGCATTTGCGGCTGTTGATTTAATATAATAACCGAATTGCATTCTCTCATAAAAAACGAGAAATACACAAATTAAATGAATAAAAACATATTTTCACTCTGAATATGGTTATTTTTTTTCCCCGTTTTTGTTTTTTTATGGCTGCCTTTTCTCCGGGCTTTTAATTATGTTGGCACAAAACTCTGAATACGTTTTTGTTTATTTCATTTTTCATACACATATTGTAATTTTGTTTGAGGACACGCAACTTTGGTCGGCAATCGAGTTGCGGATTTTTAATGCGGTTTTGGGATACTCTTTTTAGGGATTATTTCTTCTTCTGTTAATATTTTAGGTAATATTTTCAAAACATAGTTTGAATGGTGGTTAGTGGAATCTTTCTCTATATATATCTTTTAATTAATAAATCTTATAAATATTTTAATTTTAAAAAAGTTTAGGGCATTTAACTTTTCAAAGTACCTCTCATGTTTCCCTTTACCACCTTTTCAAGTATTTTGTTGCCGCCGTTTTTTGTTCCCTGTGCCCTTGCAAAGCGCTTAACAAAATTACATTTGCGTTAAACACTGTAATTTAAGCAGCTTAAGCGCATTTAATTTGTTTAAACCGCTTTAATTAAACCAAATTATGGTTGATGCACTTTTTTAGTTAATTATACGAAATTGTTCGATTTGGGATAATTGTGATGAGCTTAGGCTGGATAATTTACATTTTAAGGGCTATTTTAAAGCTGAAACTTTACTCTTTAATTAAGTTAATTTTTGCTAACTTTTTATCCTTTTCATGTTCCATTTACAGCTCTTGTTTTGGCCAGCTCATCGCGTTTTCTGCGTCTGCCACAAAGTCAGTCCGTAGTGGAGAACGAATCCGTGGACTTTGAATGCGAATCCACAGATTCGTACAGCAAACTGCAATACGACTGGTTGCATAATGGTAAGCCCTGATTTACATATCCCATGGACGTGCATTAAGCATTCGCGTTTCTTGCAAACCATTCCAGGTCATCGGATTGCGTATGACAAGCGTGTCTATCAAATCGGCTCCAATTTGCATATCGAGGCGGTGCAGCGAACAGAGGATGTTGGCAACTATGTTTGCATCGCGACAAATTTGGCCAGCGGCGCCAGGGAGGCGTCTCCGCCCGCCAAATTGAGCGTGATATGTGAGTAGTTATCCCCCATTCCCAATCATTCAATCCCCATCTCTCCCAGTCCCAGTCTCAGAACCACAATTGCAAGTAATAAGCAAATTGACTGATGGTTAAGGGCGACTGCAAATCTGACTTCGGTTGGGTAAATTAACAAAGCGAAATTGAATTGAAAGTCAACTATACAAAAAACACTGCGAGATATTTATTATTGAAATTTTAAGATATATATATTTTTAAAATGATTAGAATTGCAATCAGTAAAAAGTATAATGGATAAAAAATAATTTTTATAAATGAAACTTAGTTTCCTTTCCTCTGATAGTCTTTCATGTGCTCACAAAACTCCTCTAGTTTTCTCTGCGTGTAATTACTAGGCATAGGGTAAATTCATTTGATTAATGCAGCATTTAATAGCATTCCGTCAGTTCCCCTTCCCCAACCTCTTGTGGCCCACCCCACCCCTGCTTAGATCTGGGCAAACCACAAGACAACAAGAAAAGGTAAAGAGGCATAAAAACGCAACCGAAGCGGACGGAACGCAACACAACAAACCGATGAAAGATAAAAACCGAAAGTTTTGATGTACATGCGTCAGATCCCATGCTAGCCAAGTTCCATGCCCCACACCGCCCTTCGAAGACCCACCCAAGACCCCTTTACCTCTGTCCCTAAAACTACAGGAAGTGCAGTGCAGTGCACAGAATGCAGTCCATGCACCGGAGCGTAAAGAAGAAGACTCAAAGAAAGAAGACTCAGAAGAAACTCACAGAAAAGAATAGATTTCTAACTAATTTGGTTGGAGAATTTAAACTCTCTTGCAAAAGGGAAGTCATTTCAATTTTAAGATTTTAATATTTTATATAATTTTAAAATCAATCAACCATTAATTTTTTTATATCATTATTTCCAAAAAAAATCTTTAAAGTTAAAGATCACAAACTTCTCTCAGTGCATCGATGATTCCCTTCAAGTAGCAAGTGCAGTTGCAGTTCTTGGCCTCGTGTTGAGGCAGCGGCGTCACGTGATTGATGTTCATTTAGTTGCATTTGCCTTTAAGCAGAAAAATGCATAAATTTAACAAACAACTCCGCTGTGCCTCCCCAATCCCCCTTCTCAGCTCCCCTACCCGTTCATATAAACAAAACGCCGGTTTTTATGCACAATCTGGAGTGCATGTGTTTGGGGGTTCTCCTCCTATATAGGAGATATATATGTATCTGGCCGATGCTATCTGCATCTGCATCTACAACTACATTTGTATCTGTAGCTGAGCTGTCAGCGCGGCCACGGCATCCGAGTACTGATCAAAGCCACCCAACAGCAACGGCATCTTCCCTCGTCGGCTATTTATACAACAGCCTCATCTCAAGTGTTTTTAGCTAATTAATTAACTAATTAATTTGTAGTTTCGGGAGTTGATTTTAATTGCCACAGCTTGCTCCCCTCCACAAACAGCTGCTGTTGAAAAGCGTGGAGAGCTTATGCGATGGGGGGGAAGGGGATGCATCTTGGCGCCAGCTGAAGCTAAGTGGGTTATGTGATTACAACCCCCTGCCCAGCTTGCATCAATCTCATAATTCTTGAGCAGCAGACAAAAACTATTAAAATATGCATGAAGCCAAGGATGTGGTGATGGTGATGGTGTCGTTGCTCCTTGGTTTGGGTTCTTAAACGATTTTATTCCTTAGCCGTCGCCATTGTCTCCTGCTTGCATTGTCTTAGCCGGGATTTTCTTGTCTCCATTTTCCATTTTCCTCGGAAATAAGTGTTCAATTAAGCGCGAGAAAAGTGACATTTTTGCTTGCAACATTTAACAAATTTGCGATGGAGAATAAATGGCAGACAAACAGTGGAAAGGAAAGCGAGACTGTAATGTCCTTAAAGAGAAAGAAAATAAATATAATTTCAGAAATTTATGCTTAGGTGGAGGATAGATGGAACAGATATAGGGGGATACGGATAGAACAGGATTAATAACTATAAGAAAAAGTAAATAAAAATATTATAAATATAGAGATTTTGGAAGAAATTCCCAATGAATTTTCTTAATTAAAAAGAGATTCGCTCGAATAAATATTAACACAAAAACAAATATTAAAGATGCTTGCAATCTCAACGGCCAAGTCAAACGAATCCCTTTAGAAAGATCATAAAAACGGGAAGACAAATGCTGACAGTGCCTGGCAACTAACCGATGACTACAAAGAATTAAGCAGACAGCGAAGAAATTAAACAGACAGCAGCGCAGTGGCAATAAAACCAGGACCCAGAATCGAGTCATGGCCAAAACAAGGAAGAAAGCAACCGCGTCAGACCAAAACCAGACGACTGGCTCCAGTGTGTGTGTGTGTGTGAGGTTGAGGAGTCGGCGAAGGGGGAAGGACAAACATTCCAAACATTTGCTCAGCGAAAGGGGTTGTTGGACTCTCAGGACTTGGGAACTCAGAACTGAGGACTCAGGATATACAGACCTAACCATTGAACAGCTGAGCGTTGCTGGTGGCTAAAAGCAGAGGGAAATGTGTTTGTATGCTGAAATGTACGAGGGAAATGAAATGCAACATTAACACGAAACATAAACATAAAATGAGAAATGGCAGCAGCAGCAGCAGCAGCAACAATGGCAACCGAACCGAGCCAGCAAAGTCATAAAAACCAAACAAAATGCAAAGACACACCAAGGACGTGGAGTTCTGAACGGGGATTCGGGGGTATGGGGTTTTTGGCCAAAAGGGGATGTCAGGACGAAAAGCAACCCTCAAATCGACCACCCACCCGGGGCACCCCCATCATCACATATATAGACTTTTGCTGCTGTTGTATCTGTGCTCTAGACACAAGTTCAAGTTGACTGCAGTTGGCAAGTTGGATTTTTATTTTACGAAGCGGTACGGTACGGGGATGGAACGGGATTCCTGGGCATAGGCAAGCGGGAGGGCGCGCGGGGGAAACCGGATAATTTTCATTTTGTGAATGCCGGAAAAACGCATAAAATTTTACGAGCCGAGCTCGGAGAACATTAAAGGGGACGACGACAGGCAGTCAGACAGACAGACCGAAAAACAGAAAAACAGACACGAGCTTGGTAACAGAGAATGTAGCCAACTTTTTGGCGCGCTATCCTTGCCCTTTACACAGAAAAGAAAATTCAGTATTTTATTTTAAATTATTAGATGATAGAGAAAATATTATTGTCCTATTTAAAAGTCTCCTAAAATTTTCAATAAAATATATTTTCTAAAATTAATATTAAAATGTAAAGATAGATCTACCACCCACTATTATTTTCTCTGTACTTCCCTCGACCACTCTTTTTCTAACTCTAGGATTTTTATTATTTTCCTTTTTGGCATTTATTTTACTTTTAGCTTTTCTGTGCTGTTACACGAGTTGATCATTAGCAACTTTTGGGGAAAGCATTACCGACAGGGGCGTAGTTCAGGGAATTCCCCATGAAAACGGGGTTTTGTGCCCTGACCCGAGGTTAAAGGTCACAGTAGCTTAAGACCCCCTTTCCGTAAGCCACTGGAAAGACCAGAGAGCGCAGACAATGTGCGATAATCGAATGTTTAACGTTTTAATTTGAAAAGCGTTTGGGGTAGCTGAGACAACGTCGGGCCAACTTTAATTAAAGATTCGATGATAACCCATCGGATGTCCCATGGTCAGTCGTTGCAATAAATTTTTCCATAAATGGCTGGCCACTGAGAAAATGGTTTTGGGGCGAAAAAAAAATCGAAAATTCATTGATACTGAAATACATTGATGAAAGGCACTCATCGATTTGTATCTGAAGCAAACGATCTGGGAAATAGTTCATTTGTTGAGTGATTATCTGCAAACAATTTTGATACAAAAGCCCCTTTGCATCTGCGCCAATTTGTGAAATGGGTCAATAACTTGTAAGCCGCTTAGTGCACCACACACACCCATCCAGTCAATTGAAGTGAAATGGAGTGGTCAGCTGGACAGCTGGAGAGCTGGAAACAGACAGAAGGGCTGCATAAGTCCATTAACGTTTACAATTACTGCCGGCCACTTCAGAAATGCACCCAGCCACTTCTATGGGCTCCCATTTCACCCATCTTTCGGTGGACATGGGCCACTTGGCTTTATGACAGCGCTGAAAACATTTCCACTCGAACTCAAATCGTCACAACTCTACGCAGGCCGAAAATAATCTATTTTTGATTATCAATTAATTATATTTTCATAAAAGTGAGCGATAAAAGAAAAAACGAAGTGCAGCAGTGCAGCTCGAAAAGAGTTATCTTATCGTCGTTCTGGGAGAACTGGGCTCATAGTTGACGAAATAAGACTCAGTCGGCACACTTATTCCGCCATTGGGGTCTTATGTTTTTTCTAGTTAGAAGAGTAGAAGGGGGAAGGGTATTGGGTATATTTAAGAACCAAGCGATAACAACGATCTGCTCAGCAACTCCCCCGGGCAACTGTCAATTCCGATATCTATAATTCTGCCCGCCTTTCGACATTTACTTCCACTTTGTTTACCCAAGGCGTCTCTCTATTTTTTTTATGGGTCCCAACTCACACCATCGCAACGGCATTCCGGCAATTGTTTACAGCGATTGTGGTTTATGCTTCAGCCAGCGAAAAGTTTAACAAATTTATTTTGTTTCGGAGTCGTGTGTTGGTTTACTTCGTTTTATTTTCCACGTTCCCAGTTCCTATGGTCCTATGTTTACCTCGTCTTGCACGTTCAACGTGTGAATGACGGCCGCCTTCCGACCCTGCCTGTAACTCTAAAGGTCTAGGCACTCCCACTCCCACGCCCACAGGTACATGTATATGTATAGACCATAGGTGTCAAAAGATCTGCAGCCTCTGACGATGCATATACATCAGCCTAATGAGACGCTCGTTAATTAGCGAGACGCGGCTAGCTCGTAATTTGAGTTACAGTTAGGCCACGTTTCTTCTTACCTGCCTGCTGGTAGTTAGCGCAGATGGTCTTTAGAAGGTGTAGTTCCTAAGATCACTGTGCAGGAATCTCAGCATCAGAAAAGATAGAGATTTATGTGAGGTAGCACGAAGAACCCTCCCAAACTCTGTAATTTAAGGTACTCTTTTATGGCCTTTTGTCTTGCTACCGGAAGCAAAACCAGTTAACCCATAAATTATATCATTAACATTATTCTGCAAAGTATGTAACTACCTTTCATTTTAACAAAAACTCAAGAAGTTGAAAGCTTGAAAAATTAAGCTAAGGAAGCCATACATTCATATATATCCCTGACACGCCTTTGTACCTTTTGATTTTAAGTCTTCGACCCATTTATAGGTAAATTCGAGAATCCATTAACAAGATTTCCTCACCTCTGCCATAGATTGCCTAAGCCATCAGTTACTTTCGTGTTTACCATTAGATTTGTAAGCTATGCCCAGCCAATATGCCCATCTTGAATAGGCTGCACACTTTACCTGCCTAGGCTGCTGCTCAGTTCCCCTAGATGTTTGGCCATCCATTAGATACTTTCGCTCGTCGGTTGTCTAAGTGCCAATTAGTTCACTCTACTGTCATTTTAGTCGTAACATATACCAAAAGTTTGTGCCACAGGCCACAGCCGAACGTATCCATCGGTACATAGTCATCGTCAAGCTGACGGACGTGCCCCAAGAAGAGCAAATACACAAACACATTTCAAACTTTTGACACTTCCCCACATCAGAGACGAAGGCGAAGACGATGGCTATGGCGAAGACATGGCTCTCTGTTTATTGAGTTGTTGCTGTCCGGGTTCTGTTTTTCCGACGTTGGCTGCCACCAAATAAGTGTCTACAAATATTTAGAGGCATTTTTTGTTCACTGACTCCGCGGAGACGCAAACAAAACTCGGTGCCCAAACAAGATTTATGTGCATATGTAAATTTTGTCTAACGCGGCCAGCAAACCGCAGCCCAGCAGACCTGGCAAACATTCAGATAGGCAAAGAGGAAAAATATCCATAAAACATACATCAACCATTTGCCTAGTCCGCTCCTTCGAGCCGTAGATAAAAAATGTTTTATGAAAATTATGGCACCATCTCTAAAGGCTTTCTATACTATATATCTACATAAAAATAAAACCAAACCAAAGCAAATAAGAAATGTGAAAAAGAAAACAATTTGAATAAATTATTTCAGTGGGGGAGATTCCAAATTAGAAGTTTAAGGCGAAACATCGCAAGGCATCCGACAATTATCACTCGAGATACAAAAGTATCTCATTCACATCGACACAATGGTCTGCAGATTCACGATTGCAGCTACAAGATATGATGGAAGTCCCGTGAAAGAAAAGCTGCAGGGTGAAAAATGCTTTTCAGTATTTATAAGCTTGATATAAAAATATTACAATTAAGGAATTCTTAAGTGTTTAGTTTTTTAAATATCAAGATGTATTTAAGCCTTTTTAAAATATTTCTCATCTACTTAAAAATATTTAGCATCCAAAAACAAATACATTTTTCTGCTGTGCAACGATTGTGTATGCTAGCGTGTCTGCAACATGACCGGCCACGCCCCTTGCGCCTTCGGCTGCCACTAAAACATAAATTAAACCCTATGCCATAGAACAGAGTTTAGAGAGCAGCGCACATTCTTCTTTTGCACTGCAGTTTTTTTTTTCTCATTTCCCCTTACTTTTTTATGCGCTTTTCTTTTCCGCCACAAAAACTCTTTTCTCATGCGGCAATTGTTGGCAAGTACCGTTCCATTCCGTTCCGTCTGGCCAAGAAGTGGATGCAGCCGGAGGCCAGGAAAATCGAGGGGCATGTGAGCATTTACATATGGGCAGCGAATAGGTGGGGTGGTGGGAGCGTGCGGTGGGTTCTTCCCCTGACTGACAGTTCAATTTATGCTTCCTCGGCACCTTAAATGGGCTGCCAGGCTTCGCCGATAAAGACAAAGATTGCAGCGTCGTGTTCGGCGCTGAACTGACGATAAAATGCACTTAATGCCCCGCGAAATACCCTCGTACTCCGGGGCGTCCAGAGAAGCGGAAAGCAGAAAATCAGAAATCAGAAGAAAAACGAAGTGCAGCGAATTCGCAGAGCCAAGAAAACGCATTAAGGCTAAATGTATCTTCCGGATATATTATGCATATTTATGGAATGCCAGCCTATTCGGTTTCACCGCGTCTGATCAATAACTTGAAGGGGCGTCTCCCTGGCATCGAGAGTCCCGCTGCTTCGAACTGCTGCAGCAACCCTCGGCCTGCGTCTTGCATTAATTCAATTAGTTTATAGCCCACACTCGTTTTACAGCCTTAATCTCCGCATCTGCTCCCTCTTCTACACAGTGAGAAAATATCTGCAAGATTGGTTTTATATTTAATGCCAAAAATTTACATTTTTTAAAATTTTAATGTTAATTAATAAATCTGTTTAACATTTTAATTACTAGACCTCTCGAATCAAAACTTTGGAAAATATTAAAAGAACAAATCTGTTTCTTAAGAAATTATTAAAGTGTCGTTGCAATAACAACAATCTTCCCCATTTCTCTCTCCAGATCTCGAATCGGCCAGTGTGCAGCTGCTGGGAAGCAATCGAAATGAGCTGCTGCTTAAGTGCCACGTGGAGGGCGCCTCCGGGGATGTGGAACCACTGGAAATCGAATGGTATCGCAACAGCGAGAAGTTGAGCACCTGGAAGAATGTCCAGCTGGATCAGCATCGTCTGATAATCCGACAGCCAGGAACCTCTGACGACGGTCTATACCGCTGTACCGCCTCCAATGCCGCGGGTCGGGTGATGAGCAAACAGGGATACGTCTATCAGTCGAATGTGAAATGCCTGCCCAGATTTCCGAGGCGGAAGAACCAAAAGATGATGGATTCATGGGATAAGCAGACATTCCTGTGTCGCGGCAAGCGAGGAGGATCCGGTGGCTTGGAGGCTTTGCCTGCAGCTCCAGAAAATCTGCGCATTGTTCAGGGACCTATTGGCCAAGTGGTCATCAAGGAGGGTGAACCTACAGCTTTGACCTGCCTCTATGAACTCCCTATCGAGCTACAGAACCAACGAATCCAACTCCGCTGGCGCAAGGATGGCAAACTTCTGCGTCAAGTGGAACTTGGAGGTTCGGTGCCCATACCAGGGCACTCTTCTGATTCCGGCAAGGATGCTCTGCTTAGGGAAGATGGTCGACTAGTGATTCACAAACAGAATGGTACACTGAGCTTTGCCAGCATTATTGCCAGCGATGCGGGTCAGTACCAATGTCAGTTGCAACTGGAGGGTCATGCCCCGGTTAACTCAGCTCCCGGCATCCTGGAAGTCATCGAACAGCTGAAATTTGTGCCACAGCCAACGTCCAAGAATCTGGAGCTGGATGCAGTCATTGCCAAGGTGCATTGTAAGGCACAGGGAACACCAACGCCTCAGGTGCAATGGATGAGGGTGAGTAATTAAGATGGTTTTTTTAATATTAAATATTCGTAGCATACTTTTAAGCACCTGAACTGGAGATTACAAGCCTTTGCAGGTTTTTTTGCTCTGAACTCTAAATAAACTCCTAACAAAACAAGTCAAAACCAAGTATCAATCCCACCTTAGACCAAACAAAAAAGGCGATTAACATCCGTTTATTCAGTTATTGCCAAGGTACTTCGGTCTTCATTTTGACAGCTCTCAAATGGGAATGTTAGACACTGGGGCGCCGCATTTGAACCCACTCCATTGCAGTGATGGCCACATGTCACTGACAAATTGAAAAACGCGACATGCGCCGCTGGGCAAACTTTTCCTTCCAAACAAACCGTTTCATATGCAAAACTCTATTGAGTCTATCTGGCCTAAGCACCCTTCTTCTGTCCCTCGGAAAACCCGCTCCGTAGTGCCAGTCATTGAGCGTTTTGTGTTGCCAGCTGTTTGCCAGGGCCAACCAATTTCGGCAAACTGTTTGTCTATTTGGAAACGGACAAAATACAAAAAAAAAAAGAAAAAAGCATAGAGGATCGATCGAACCCTTTCAAAAGAAGTTTTTCATTTGGGCCGAAAAACAAACCTGACTCAAACCTGTTCAAAGTGTTGTGTGCCCTTTTTTGGTTGCTTTTCTGAATATTTGATGAAAACGCACGGCACACGTTGGCAAATTGGTCGGTAATGGTCAGCTGTCTGTTTCTATTTCACACAGACACCGTGCAAAAAAATATTACTTTTAACTTGATATTAACAGATTGGAATTGCATTTGCATTTTTCTTTGATATTCAAATTCTGAAATTTGTAAATGCCAAAGAAATCATAAGTGGTTGATGAGTGGTTTTTCCAAAATATACCCTTTCATATTGAAAACCCTCTTAAAAAGTCATTATCTTTTTTTCCCTGTGCAGGATGGTGCAAATACCTCGCTGCCCGACCAGGTAGAAGTAGATGCCAATGGAACCCTCATATTCAGAAACGTTAACTCGGAACATCGTGGAAACTACACCTGTCTGGCCAGTAACACCCAAGGACAGATTAACGCCACTGTGGCTATAAATGTGGTGGTCACTCCCAAGTTCAGTGTGCCTCCAGTGGGACCCATTGAGACCACAGAACAGGGCACTGTGGTGATGCATTGCCAGGCGATTGGAGATCCTAAGCCAACGATTCAGTGGGACAAGGATCTAAAGTATCTGAGTGAGAACAATACGGATCGGGAGAGATTTAGGTTCCTGGAGAATGGTACTCTGGAGATAAGAAATGTCCAAGTGGAGGATGAGGGTAGCTATGGTTGCACGATTGGAAACAGCGCGGGACTGAAGCGAGAAGATGTCCAGTTGGTGGTGAAGACGACTGGCGATGGTTTTGCTCCAGAGGAATCTGGAGGTGATGGCTTCCTGGTCACTCGAGCTGTACTGATCACCATGACGGTAGCCTTGGCTTATATAGTTCTAGTGGTGGGGCTAATGTTGTGGTGTCGCTATCGTCGTCAAGCCAGGAAAGCCCGCTTGAACGAGCTGAGCACCAAGGAAGCTGGCGGAGATCAGCCGGATGCAGCTGGTAATGGCAAGGGTTCTGAACAGGAACCCTGCTTGTCCAAGCAGCATAATGGTCACAGCAAATCAAGGTCCAAGTCCAGTGGAGATGCCCAAAAGTCCGATGACACCGCCTGCAGCCAGCAGTCAAGGGCCTCCAAAAAATCCGCACACATTTACGAGCAATTAGCTTTACCAAGATCCGGACTCAGTGAACTCATCCAAATTGGACGTGGCGAGTTTGGGGATGTGTTTGTGGGTAAACTGAAGGCCACCCTGGTGACCTCACCCTCTGACAAAGATACGGACACGGAAAAACAGCACAGTAATAGCGAAAATGGAAGTGGAGGCAGCGGCAGTGGTAGCACCACACTGAGTACTCTCAACGAGAAACGGCGCTCCAAGACCTCTATGGATGACATCGAGGAAATCAAGGAGGAAGAGCAGGAGCAGCAGGATCAAACTGGTCTGGAGCAGTTAGTATTGGTAAAAGCCCTGAACAAAGTTAAGGATGAGCAAGCCTGCCAGGAATTCCGGCGACAACTTGATCTATTGCGCGGCATTTCGCACAAAGGAGTAGTACGTCTATTTGGCCTGTGTCGTGAAAAGGATCCGCACTACATGGTAATCGAGTACACTGATTGGGGTGATCTCAAACAGTTCCTGCTGGCTACCGCCGGAAAAGTAAACACTGCCACCGCAGGAAGCTCCTCGCCGCCGCCACTGACCACCAGTCAAGTTCTGGCTGTGGCCTATCAAATCGCCCGAGGAATGGACGCCATCTACAGAGCTCGGTTCACCCATAGGTGAGTTGTTTAAAATAGTGCTGCTAGTTATATTTACGACCTGAAATGACATAATCATATCGTATTAATCATATTAATCATGTGTTATTTATTTTCCTACTCCACAGAGATCTTGCCACTCGTAACTGCGTGATTTCTAGTGAGTTTATAGTGAAGGTCTCCTATCCAGCTCTCTGCAAGGACAAGTACAGCCGCGAGTACCACAAACACCGCAATACGCTGCTTCCGATTCGCTGGTTGGCACCCGAGTGCATCCAGGAGGACGAATACACCACCAAGAGCGACATCTTTGCCTATGGAGTAGTGGTGTGGGAGCTCTTTAACCAGGCCACGAAGCTTCCCCACGAGGAGTTGACCAACGAGCAGGTGGTGCAACGGTCGCAGGCAGGATCCTTGGAGTGGTCGGTGGCTGAGGCGACTCCCGATAGCCTCCGGGAGATTCTGGTAAGCATCCACTTATCGTAGGCTAAGGTTATTTTACAAATATTCTAATAGGCTTCTGTTTCTCTTTTAAAAACGAAATGAATATTAATTTTCTTAACAATTTTCTCTTTTTATTTCTAGCTGTCCTGTTGGGTGTCCAATCCCAAGGAGCGACCCTCGTTCAGCCAACTGGGAGCTGCTCTGAGCAAGGCCATGCAGAGTGCCGAGAAGTGAGGCCAGACTGATGGAGCAAATGCCAAAAAGTAATTCGTAGTATTGTCTGTAGTGTCTGGCCGAGTAATTTGTCCGCTCAGAAACCTAGTCTTAAGTTCGAAGGATGTCTGCGCCTGTTCAACATGCGTACTTAATGGCTACATTTTAACAGTAACTGTACAAATACACGATATATATACACACTATATATATATATTTGAATGGGGATATCTTTGAGAATAGTATTGCGTGGTGCTGCATATATATACAGTATATACTCCTATGTATGCAGCTAAAATGTACATAAAAACTGCCACAAATATGCATTTAAACCAGTTGAAGCATTTCTAGGATTAGAAACATTTTTAACCTTCATCAGCATTTTATGTAATCCACTTCTAAGCTAAATTAGTTCTTAAATTATAAGCATATGCATCACACAAAAACAACGAGCGATTTCAATGTTTCTTAAACATTGCAAGACTAAGCCAAATTTTAAGTTTAGCATTGAGTAAAATAAACAACACACACCCACATATTTTATCACAAAGCCTAGTTATATACTTATATGCATAAGGAGAACCAGCCGAAACAAATTTATGACTAGCCATTTAAGCTTTGATGCATGTTTACAAAACATTTAAATAAACCCGAATAAATAAATTTAACCAAAAAGCAAAAATTCAAAGTCTTGGCTTTATTTCCGAATAAAAAAGCGAAAGCCAAACCCTCGATGGGCTACTATTTTTTACGTTTTTTTCTTATAGGCTTTTCATTTGGCATGGCAAATTTGTTTGAGGGTCCTTTGGGCCCAGCCCAAACGGACTTCGGCTCATTCACACTTCACTTGATTTGAAAAATGAGCGCCTATTGAATGTCGGATTGGGCCGTCTTGCCTCCACGTCTTTTCCCAAAACGATTGACAAACAAACATGGCAATAAACCGTAAAGTTGGCTCGGCTTATTGGGGCTTAAAGTCTCCTCGCTTCCCCGGGATTTGGTTCCACCGGAAGTTCCAGAGCCTACTACGTAGGCAGCCGAAAAAGTTTCCTCGTGCGAAAACTTTGGCCAGGACCAAATCGAAGCTATATTTGCATTTGAATCAGCAGCAAAAACAACACCGTTACACAATGAGTTGCCATTTTGCTAGGCTAGTGGATAGGCTGCTTAGCTTTTCCTGGCACGTACAAATATCTGCCTGTCATGAATATCAAATGCCTACGAAAAAAGGTTGATTGAACAGTTGGAAGCAGGAAGTGTGGCATGAAAAAAAGAAGGAAAGAGTATAAAGGATGTGTCGGTTAAAGGAATAAAGAAGATTTGATACTCTTTTGATGGCTGCTCTTATATCATGTACCTAAAAGGGAAATTAGTTACAACCAAATAAGGTTACTTCCCTGATAACCACTCTTTAAAATTGAAAATCCCTCTTTGATAGCAGATAAAAGCATTAGCGAACAGGATAAAAGCCACATCTGCACTTTGTTTGTACAACTCAAAGGCTCAACTGCATTTGCAATTGCTGAAATTTGCCTAAAAATGAAATGTACGACTCGGCGCGCACATGGCGTATGCGGAATATTTGCAATGTTTGTAATGGAACGACAGCTGGGCAACAAAAGACTAAGCTCGACAGAAGAGAGAGAAACATAAAAATGCCATTTCATATGGCTTTCAATTTATTAATATTTTATACGGGCCACTGGCAGAAAGGGAATAAATAGAGAGCGAAAAAAGGCACAAATGGCTTTGGCAATTCAGGCGTAAAATGTGCATTACTCATACGCCGCATGGGCCAACGGTGGAATGACCTAGGCCACTTTGTTATGCCTTTTACCTGGGCGCACGCATAAATTGCACATTACACATTACGCATACGCACCGTTGGCCAATGCCTGACATACTCACACACCAATAAATTACACATTAAATTTTTTGGTCTACTGTTTACATCTACGCATACAGGCCCACTGGCAAAGCTATCAAGTGACTCCGAAAGCCAGCAGCAGATTGATGGTGCAACTCGCTACCGAGCTGCCTTCTCATTATGGAGTCCCCGAAAAACATATTTTCACATTCATCACAGGGCAAAAGTTTTCGCAGCCGCGAAAGTGGGAAAAAGGGAAACTTCCTGGCTTCCTGGCATCCTGGCTTCGTGGCACATAATTGAAGCACATCGCAGACTCGTTTATAACGCAGTCATCTCCATGGCAATCCTATGGACCTGCGTGTGTTGCAGATTTTTATGGATTCTCCCTCTTGCTTTTTTATGGCATTTTCATTTGCAAAATTTCTGCACAATTAGTGAGAGGGAAACTTTGAATTGTGTTTTTGGGGCATGCTGAATGTGAGACAACTCAAAGGAACACAACCTCCCTTACTTGAATAATTCAAGCTGACACAAAAATAGACCATAACTTTAATTAGTCTTGGCTTCAGAATCTGGTAATTATTCCAAAGTTTTATAAAAACAAAGGATGGTCTTATTGATTTGCTTGAGTACAAACTCCTTTACCCAAAGGTACATGAATATGTCAAACCGTGATGCACCGCTATCACTTAAATGCTAAAATTAGCCTTCATTAACCTACTTTCAAAGGGTATATCACCATAGGATTCAAGTGCCTCTAAATGGTTATGCTGATGGCAAAAAACTGGGACTGTAAATAAATAAAATTCAGAAACTAGAGAAAAAAACTGTTTTTGCGCTTGAAACTAATTGGTTAACAAAATATACAGGTTGCTAAAACTTAATCCTACAATATATCATATAAATCTAGCAAATAATACGAAAAAGGTCATTGGGATGTGGCCGAAGTAATTAGGGATAAACGAGGGTAAGTCCTCCTGCCAAAAGTGATTTGCTCGTGTCAATCTGTGAGTTGGGAGCCCTTAAAGTCGGGCCAACACTTTGCTTTATTTGGACAAACTGTAGCGGAACAAAGACGACATTGAAACAACGCCCATCCACCTACTAAAACCACCCAACCACCTGAAGGGGTGTCTAAAAGGGGTGGAACATGCATTAAACAAACAGCTGAGCCTTTTGTGTTGACTCATTAACGCACAAGCCAGAGGATGGGTGGCAAAGGGAAAAGTTGGTGGGAAAGTAAGAGAGACAGAGCCAGCGAAACGACAGAAATGAAACATCAGGCTGGAGCTTCCCTCCTTCCTCTCAGTGTAATAAATACCCCAAAGTCATAAAAAGCAAGAAGCAACAAAAACAAAGCCAAAGGACGAGTAGAGATGACAGTGAAATTTTATATCCTTGAAGACGTGAATGGATTTATTTCTTTGGCCAATTTTGTTTAACAATCTTTTGGTTTTAAGTTAATACTTTCGTGTATCCTAAAAGAACCTTAAAATGTACCCCTCAAGTAAATATTATTCTATTTAGAATTTTACAATAGAATCTAAAAAGTATCCAAAATCGTAAAATTCTTCCTTATATTTAGCTTTTTTTCCGATGAACTGTCAATCGTCTGAACTTTCATCTCTAGGCCAAACAAAGTGCCACCCCTTGGCCACGTCTGGCAGGCGACACGACACTCGACTTGGCTGGAACGGCATACGGGTATACGGATACGGGGGACAGACCCGGAGTTACAGCCGGATCCGTAGTCGTGAGTGGGCTGGCTTGTTGTGGAGTAACAATTTTCATTTTCAACGCCAAGCGTAGGGCGCAAAAAACGCATAAAATTTTACGAGCGCAGCTAAGCAAGAAGGGAAAGTAGGGAGAAAATGTGGGGAAAACCAGAAGAAGAACCTAGGCAAGGGACAAGGGCAAACGGACTCCCTTGTGTGGCAACGATTCCCTCGGCAAAAGTTTAGCTTTCGTGTTGGCCATAAAATGCCTGACAGGGCTTAGGAATGCAGTTGATTTTGGAATGGAATGGAGTTTGGCGAGAGTCTTACGCCTCAATGGAGTCGGAATCAGCAGTCCATTGGGGGATTTTGCGGCTGATGCTTTAGTTCTCAGCAAAAGGGTTAGCTGGGTTAGCTGGGTGTGCTCAGGTGATGTTCTCCATCGCTTATTGAGTCGCTTTGCGTTAAGTTTTGGAATCTCCTTTTTATGGCCATAACGGTTAAGCGGCATTACCTACGACTCCTCTTGTCTTTTTTTTTGTTGGCCCAAAACGAGATTGCAGCATTGTGAGAATTAGCGGTAAATGAGCCAGGTTAGTGGGCTGAGACATGGCAAAATCTGGAAATGAGGAGTTGAGTTTGGAGAGATAGAGGCGGAAAACAACAAGGAAAACTGAAGACAAACTTTTCTTTTCCACGGGGCATTTAAGTTCAATGAGGTTGGTGAGGGGTTTAGATACATATATTAAACAGGTAATGGGACGTTGGGTAACTGCAAACTGTGAAATGGAAAATGTGATGGTCTTTGGGTTGAGGAAGGAAATCTCTTAAATAAGTAAAGATAATCCTCAACAAAATGCTGTTATAAGTTTGTCATAAATAAAGTCAAGGTCATTTCTGTTTTTAGACGGAAAGAAGCTTCATTAGATCTGTGAGACCTATCCCCAATTTTCGATTAGATTAAGCCCGATTAAGTCCTTTAGTAAGTCATTTCTTAAGAAAAACCAAAAAGAAATTCATGACCAACCTTTTATGTGTTATGATGTCCTTAGTGCCTTATTCATATTGTTTGATTTGCCGCAAATCCTTTTTCACAGTCTAACGCCCCAAACATATTTGGCCTGAACATTTAACTGGCTTTTGCCCTTTAGTCCTGAGCAAATATGCTGCAGAGAGAGAGAGTGGAAAACTTTAACTACACACACCCACAGACAAACGGAAAGTCGGAGAAAGTCTAGCAGAAGGGCAAACAAAAGTAACTGAAAAATTTAGCGCTATGTCAACACATTCCAACAGGCAGCCAGAGGAAAGTCCTTATGCCAAGCTATCCAACCATTTCTTCTCCTTTTTTTAGAGAAACGAGCAGCCATCCTAACAAAAGGACAATGCAACTCAAGTGTTCAACCCAAAAAAAGAAAAGCCAGCAAGGAAGCTCACATGTGCTCAAAGAAATACCAAGTGCTTGTACTGCTCAATGGGCCAAGGGGAGATTTTAATAAGTAGCCTTAACTTGTAGTCATACTCCCCTTCTGTCCCCTTAAATAGATGAAGGACTTTCCCAAACTATTTTCCCCGCTGAGCGGAAAGTTTTCATGTACGTTCGCCACCGCATACAAATTATTTTGGCCAAAAACTTCTAGACCGACTGGAAAGTATTTTAAAAACTTTCACAAACCCCACTCCATTTGTCGGCGATTGTCTTGTGTGAGCTGAGCAAGCTGCTGGATAAATTAAGACACAACCAGGACCACAAATCATTGAATTGAACCGCAGTGCGACAGGATTTCTAGGGGGTAGTGTGTAGCATGAGGGGGTGGCACCCGCGGGCTCAGCTGCCTTTGCCATTCAATCCCATCCATCGATTGGCCCCTAAAGGCGACACATGTGGCAGGCATCCTCCGAAGTTCCTATCTCAACTTCCTTATTTATCCCCTAGTCCTTTCCGCTTCTTTTTTTTCAATATTTTTGGTAATATAATTTCTCGGAATTTTTCTTTCTGCGGCTGCTGCTGCTCGTCCTGAATTTTAATAAACTTGTAAGGGAAGGCCAAGGATGAGTTCAAGGAGAGCCAAAAGGGTTGACACAACCCGCACGAACTTTGGCCGGCAGAAAAGTTGTCGCTTAGCAAATTTTATCAATAATAAAAATGCGGCGACTCCTCATTCCACAGTTTTTCCCTCAATTTTCCAGTGCCGAATTCCTGCCAAGTTATCTTGTCAAGCATTTTTATAGTCTGCTCCCGTCTTGGTTTGCTTTTCGTATTTACTTGGCAATTACTTCGAGTCCGGATTTAATTGAATGCAAAGTAGAAACTGCAACCAAAAACATTTCACTTCTGCGGAGAAGATTGAATGTACATGTACACTGTGAGAAATACTATGCAATTTCTTAAAATATTTGACATTTATTAGAAACTTTTTGCAAAAAAATTCATTGGATTTACAAGAGAAAAAATAAATAGGATCATTGATTCATAAGAAACTTTTATTTTAGTTGCAGAAATTGATTCCAGATCTTTAAAACATATTTCTTTCAGCACTTTTGTCGAGACGCTCTCGTGGGCGAGTGTTGCACCAAACCACAGAGGAGGCAGAAATGTGAAGGAGGAGCTGAAACTGGGATCCGGAGCAGCCTTCACTCATGCTACAAAAACAGAACGCTGCATCTGAGATGGCAACTGAGGAGCAACCAAGGAGTAGGGATTGTGTGTGAATGTGTATGGCTGGGTGTTGGCTTCTATGTCTGTCTGTCAGTCTGTCTGTCGCCCATTTTCAAGTTGCATAATTTTGTTTTCCTTTCACAGCGAGCTAGCTCATTTCTCGCGTCCTCCACAGTCAACCATACAACCTATGCAAGTCATACAGCCCATCCAGCACCACCCACTCCCCACCCCCCTATTTGGTGTGCACATTCTTGGCTGCATTCATACTTTTTCACACCCTTTAGGATTATTTCGTGCATGGCATCTGCGGGGATGGCAACTCGAGAGGCTGTGCTCCTGCTCCCAGCTTCCAGGAGAAAACTCGCAAGCCCAGAAGGAGCAGCAGGAGCAGCAGCTCCTGTTGCCATTTGGCCTGAATGGAACTCGTTTCTGTTCTCATTTCCCCCATTCAGTGTGCTGTGCACCTGCTTTTTTTTAAAGCAATTTAAATTAACAGCAATGACGATGACGACCAAGTCCTGCCGGGAGGAACATTGAGTGAATGTGACTCCGCGCAGTGTGTGTGTGTGTGTGTGAGTGTTTGTTTATGCCCCACGGCCTCCAAGGGGTTGGGCTGTGTTTGGGGGGATGTGTGCGTTCCCGACATGCAATTGGAATGCAATTTGTTATGGGAAGTTAAGTCTCCACTTGTCAGTTAAGTTTACGCTTGGCTGTTTGCCCGTTGTCGTCGTCCTCGCAGGTTGCCATGCAGTTATGGCTCCGGATCATGGCACTTGGCCTCCTCCTGTTCCTCCTGCTCCCCCATGCTCCACCTCCTGCTCATACTCCATTCTTTCACTCCCTGTCTGCGCTTGTCCTTGTTGGGCAGTTAAAAAATAATTAAACTCTTTAAATATTTAAATTAATTTGTGCTGTGCCATGCAGTTGTGCACAAGAAAAATAAACCGAAATTCCTCACTTAATTGGCAGGGACAGTGCTGCTGTTGCTGACGGGGCGAATGAGTGATATTTGGCAGTGGGCAGGAGGTAATTCAAGGATTCTCCTCTATATATATATTCCTACTAATCTAGCACTAGAGGTCTGCACTCGAAGAAAGTATAGAGTGATATAACTCTTACATAATCCGTTAAGTTTGCACTTTATTTATTAGGTTACACAGCCAAATTAATTAAATAAATTTGAAAAAAAAAATGCTTTGGATATTATGTAATTTTATTATCGTTTATCAGAATGGTAATAAACTGCCTAGTAAAATAGGTAATCCGGAATTATCAATACACAAACAGAGCCTTATCAGTTATCATTTTAGTATGGCCATTTTTTATGTTTATGTCTTTATAATATAATTTATATTTTTGAGAATTTTAAACACTTTTCTAACACACTTTTTTAAATATTTAGATCAACACTTTTTACGCTAATATTGTTTTAATAGAGATAATTTTTGTATAATTTAATTTATAAACTTGATAGAACAAAAATCAAATTAATATGTTGATCAGGTGATATCCATATCTAACAATAATTTTTTATAATTTTCTAAGTTAACTACTAAAAAAAAACTGCAAAGCATCATTAACTGTTAGATTCTTCAAATTGAAAAAAGCATAATTATCAAAAAGCTCGAACATCACGAGCTTTGCTAAATAAAAGCTGAGATCGTTTAAAAAAAATGATGAAATTCATTCAGTCATCGAATTCCCCAAAGAGAGCCAAAAAGCTCTTGTGAAAATCCAAAAAGCACTCGAAAAAAGCTATATGCATCGATTTACACCATCAAATCAGTAGGTAGTGCTCAACCGCTTGACTGACGATATCTGCCCTCGGTTACAATTGATTAGCTTTGTTTTCGATAAGAACTGGTATATATTTGGGTACCGGTCAGCCCTGAAAATCAGTTCTTATTAGACTATCAGCTCGCAAGTGCTACAACCTACCCCAACACTACTAATCATGGCTTGCCTTGAAATCTGCCTGGCTCTCTTGGGTCTCGCTCTGTTCATCTACTACTGGTCCATTGGCACCTTCAAGACCTTTGAGAACCGGCAACTACCGTACGAAAAACCCTGGCCATTCTTTGGAAATGTGGCCGCCTCGGCGCTACAACGAATCTCACTGCACAAACAACTCACCGAATTTTACCTGCGCACGCGTCACCAGTAAGTCATTTCTTTTATATATATTTCTATAACGAGTTCTATAAGCTTTTATTTTTTATTCTCGTTGTACAGCAAAGTGGTGGGCTTCTTTAATCTCCGCAAGCCTATAGTCCAGATCAACGATCCCGAACTGATCAAGAAGATCTGCGTTAAAGACTTTGACCACTTTCCCAATCACCAGCTGATGATTACCACCAATGAACGACTGCTTAACGACATGATCAATGTGATGAAGGATCAGCGTTGGAAGCGTATGAGGAACACATTGACTCCAGTGTTCACGGCTGCTAAGATGCGCAACATGTTCACCCTGATGAATGACAGTTTCTCTGAATGCATGCAGCACCTGAACAAATTATCACGTAATTCCTCCGCCGGCAAAGACTTTGAAGTGGACATGAAGTTATTGTTCAACAAGCTCTCCAGTGATATAATCGCCACTACGGCTTTTGGCCTGAAGGTGAACTCATTTGAGAACCCAGAAAACGAATTCTATTCGGTTGGCCAGTCACTGATCTTTTCCACAGCCTTCCAGTTCTTTAAGTTTACACTTTCTGCCCTGGCGCCTAAGCTTTTTACAGTAAGTCCCTAAGGAAGACCCCTAAAGAAACATAGTTAATTTTGGTATTTTACTAGTTCTTCAACATGAAAGTCTTCGATGGCAAGAAAGTAGATTACTTTGTTAGCCTGGTGGTGGATGCCATGAAGCTGCGCGAGGAACAGGGCATCACACGTCCCGACATGATCCAATTGATGATGGAGGCCAAGAAGGAGAGTCAGGATAATTGGACGGATGACGAGATTGTGGCCCAGTGCTTCATCTTCTTCTTTGCTGCCTTCGACAACAATTCCAATCTGATCTGCATTACGGCTTATGAACTACTGAATAATCCAGAAATCCAAGAACGTTTGTACCAGGAGATCAAGGAAACGGAAGAGGCTCTGAATGGTGGTTCCCTGACCTATGATACTGTACAAAAGATGACCTATATGGACATGGTGATCTGTGAGACACTGAGAAAGTGGACCCTCTCTCCCTCCATAGATCGCGTTTGCTCCAAGGCTTACACGTTGACTGATGGAGATGGTAACAAACTTTTTGACTTCAAAAAGGGTGACTTGGTTACCATTCCCATTGCTGGTTTGCATGGCGATGATCGCTACTTCCCCGAACCCAGGAAATACGATCCAGAACGTTTTAATGAAGAACGAAAAACTGAAATCGTGCCATTTACCTATATACCATTTGGTGCTGGACCTCGAAGCTGCATTGGTAAGAATATCTCTTAGATTACACTTTGAAATATATATAATATATATATTTAATTTCCTTTACAGCCAATCGTTTTGCCCAGATGCAGGTGAAGGGCATGCTTTACCACTTAATGCTGAACTTCAAGATTGAGGCTTCACCCCGGACCATTAAAGATATGTGGGAGGAGGCTCGTAGCTTCAGCCTGACCCCCAGATCTGGATTCTATATGCAATTGGTGCCACGCCAATAACCGATTTTGTAACCGAAAAGACTGAATGTGTGATGATGCTTTTATATACTCCGCACGAATATGACAAACGAATATCAGTATTATTTTGTTATACGTGTACGGTTAACACGAATGGAAACAATAAATATAATATAGGAAGTAGGATTTACACAAAATTCATAGGTTTTCTCTTACTGTACAAAAACCAGAAAAACAAGAGACGACTAACAAACTAAGTAAACACCACCAAAACAATGTCCAGAATCATCCAAACGCAGAGCACGCAACTTTTGACTACTGGCGCCAGTTTGGGAGTTAACGCTCCACCCACCGCCCACCGCCCCTTGGTAGTTGAGACTTTATAGCCGTTTACTTTGACATATCGCAGTTGACTTAACCAAGCAGCTCGGCCAGCTAATGGAGTTGAAGGCTTACCCAGTCGAGCTTAGTAATACTGAAAGTACTAAAAACTGTAGCGATTTGGCGATGTGGGTGGAGCGCCTGAAATTATGCTACACATAAGCGGGCCCGGAATGGACTCAGAAAATCAGACGATTTACATGCAGGCAAAATGTTGATTAGAAAATTAATTAAGGCTTTTACGATGGCACCGAACAACCGGGCTCTGAGTCCTCACTTCTCCATTCTCAGTTCTCAGTTGGAAAACTTTCGCTTCGCCGAATTTACGACATTTTTATGACGGCCTGCCATGCGAGAGGGGTTTTTCCTGTGATGGGTGGCTCGTTGGGTCGTAAAAAAAGTGCGTAAAAACTTTCTGTCAGTGGCAGGAGCTCCTTTTTCCAGCTCCGGCTGATAAAGCAGACTGCTGTCAGGGCATTCAATGCTCCTCGAGCTCCTTATTTTCCTGGGCGCTTATGCAGATGGGCTTCAGCCATAAACTTACTCCCAAAATTTCTACCAATAAATAAATTGTGCGCCGAATGTGTGAAGCCTTTCATTCGCTTTCAGCTAGCTCCTTGTGGGCGTCAACACGCCCACAATTTATTTTTCGAGGTTTGGGAGGTGAACGAACCCGTACAGGCAAAGAAAAATAATGAGATTTTATAAAACAATAATAAAATTATTATAAAATAAATAAATAAAGCAAAAAAAGTGTATTTAGGAATGGCATTTTTTTGCATTCATTTACCCATTATTTTTATATTTAGTTTTAACAATACAAATTTCATGTTTAAACAATTTTGACTAAATCTTTAAGTGAAATTAAATTTTAAATATAAAAACCCATAAGTATATCTCAGTTTTTTCTATTTAGATGGCTTTAGCTTCGAAGCTCGATTGGTGCCATCAAGGATCTACCCAGTTATACAGATCCCTGCCAAGCAAGCCCAGGAGCAACCCCCAATTGAATGCAACAAACGACGAGGGGAGGATTTTTCGGCTTGGCCCTGCCACTGCACAATGGCAGAAGAGAACTTGACGAAATCATTACTTCGCCCCGACATTTATTGATGCCATAAAGTTGAAGATTTATGCGTTGTGGCAGTCGCACAAAACAGCCAAAAAGCACCCACCCAGGAGCATTGCACCCGGCAAAAGGGGAAACCCACCCGGCTACAAGGACATTGATACCCAGTTCCCCCTGACCAGGAATAACGTCCTGGCTACGTGGGCATGTCAAATGCTTCGTGTTTTGGCATATTGCAGCACAGTGGGACACGGAGGAATAACCCATTTGTCCTGGGGATCGGATTGGGTGGAACACCCTCTCCTTATCTACCCCACAACACACACACACACACAACAGCGTGTTAATTTATTTAAATTGACTACGTGCAAAGTTTACTTGCGTCTTGGGCCCTGCCACGCCCCCAAGACTCCCCAAGCCAATGGGTAGAGATTCATGGGGGAACCGTCTCACTGTTTGCACAAATTTCACATTTTACTGCTCTCCGACGACGTTTTTGTCTTTAAATGCAAACCAATTCTGCAGACTGAAGACAGGAATGTGTGACTGAGATTCATGGCATGACTATAACCGACGCTTTCAATGAGCTACTGTTGATATTAAGGGTTCGGGATACAACAAGATTAACAAAAATTATTACTTATTAAACAGGAAATTCCTTGAATTAAAGCTTTCATAAGTTTTTCTTTCATATATTTATACTTTCGATATTATTCACAAGCTTTTAAATTTAAATATTAATAATACATCTTTTGTCGCGGCAGTTTGTAATATCTTACTGCTTAATATTAACTCAGTAGATATGGACATGAAATTCAGTTAGTTAATAATCCGTATTTATACTATAAAATATAATAAACGAAATAAATATATCCTATTACATTTAATTATTTATTTGTTTTGAATATTATTATTTAACTTATAATTTTAAAGTGAAAGTGTAATCCCAGTTTTCGTTCTATAACTATCGCCGCGAAAGGCAATTTCCTTACTATTGTTTTATAAATAACTATTTAAATAATAGTATGCGTAAGTTTTCTTAATAAAATAATTAGTAATAAACAATTTTCCTTAGCTCGCAATGGCATAGCCTCACTCAATTTACCGTAGGGCATTTGGCAAACGCTCTCGCATAAAAACTCATTTGAAAGAGTGCCTTGCCTGCTCGGCTGCCTTCGCTGGTCGAGAACGAAGTGCAGCAGAGACAACAGCCAAGGGTGCTTCTCCAACGGTGCCCATCTTACTCCTTCTCTAGTTCCGGGAGAGGCGCGTTCAAGTGCACATTGGCTGCAGGCTGGAATGCGCGGGCACAGCTGCTCCTTCAACAATTCGCGTGTCAACAATAAGCGCAATAACTTAAGCTGCATTCAATGTGGTGAGCTGCAGCCCGAGGCAGGTGATGAATGCTCCTCATCGTGGAGGAGACCAGCAAGCTAATTAACTGGCAAATGGATTTCATCTGGCAAACACTGGCCACTTGTGCTCCGCTCGTTCCACTTATAAAATACAATCTCAACAGTTTGCTTTCACATTCTTCTAGTTAAGTCAGATCAACCTTCTATGGTTCATGCAGTATGTCTACTTTTTGTGCTCAACTCTCAACAGCTTTAACAATGGTTTTAAGGTTAAGGGTAAAATAAACGCCCAGCTTAAACTAAACGTTTTACAAAGCAAAACAAAATGAGTTTACAAAAACATGTGTATATATAGTGGTGTATATAGATGAATCACAAATATTTTGATCTACAACTCGGGCAAAAAACTAAAAGAATTATATATACATATCAATGCAACTATATAAGATTATACGCTAAACTAAACAATAAATTTTAATGCACACACTTGAACGTGTTCAGTTGACTAGATTGAACTGCCGCTGTTCTCTAACTCGACTGCTACTATTTCAGAGGATTGTTCTTCAGAAAGTTGGCCAGCAGAACAAGGGCAAACGATGTCGTCAGGAACAAACTACCGGGTATAGAACGCCGAACGGGTAAATTGGGATCAAGTTCTCGTTGAGCAAACAGCTCGACATCGGCCTCATAAGTCTCGTAGTTATTCCAATGCAGGCATCTCTTCACCGCATAATCCCAACGTTTATAAAGAAGTTCTCGACCTAAAAAAGGAATCTGTTTTAATATATTTTACACATAAGTCCAGAAGTTCTTTGATAGAAATAAGAAGATCTATTCTGATATTATTAAAATGGTCATGTACTTACGATTCTTTGTGGTTGTGGGCGAAAAGACATCCGTGGGCGGGGCGTACATTTTCACAGCGTACTGCAGGGACACCACTTTCATCGTCACGCCCGCGGCTATCATAACACCCAAACCGGCAGGCGAGGTAGTCTGCGGCCGCTCAAGCATGTAGCCAATTATGTCCGCGATGAACTGCACTAAATGCGAGTTCTCGGCGTAATCACCGCCAAACGTGAGCACAGGCTGCATGCAGGAGCGGTCCCAGTTGGGTGTGTCTCGCTTAAAAGCCTGCAAAACCTCAAATATCTGGAATCCGGTAGCCTCGTACGCCGCTTGTGTTATATTTTCCGCTGTGGTTTGACTAGTGAGACCCAATATAATGCCCCTAGCATCATGTCGCCAGTAAGGAGCATACATTCCATGAAATGCGGGAACGAAGGTGATCTCTGATCTTTTGGCCGCAAGTCCACACTCGGCATTCAGCATGGATGAGGAACAGGAGGACGAGATCATGGAGTTTTCGCCGATGAATGTGTTCAGGGACTCCACCACATTATCGTTGGAATTAATCTCAGTGTTAATCTGCAGCTTATCTCGCAGCCAGGTCACCGTAGATCCCGCATTGGAAATAGCCCCCTCGAGGGTATAATTGGTGGCCTCCTTCTCACCCAGCTTGTGCGCAATGCCCGTTATCAGTCCGTTTGCCGAATCCAATCTTTCCTTGGCTGTGTTAAGCAGCACAAAACAGCTGTCATCCAGGGTGCACACATTCTGTCCGGCCTTCACACAGAGTTGACCCAGCAAACTGGCCGGTTGCTCTCCCATCATGCCCGCTATGGGAATTCCCAGCAAAGGACCTTCTAGAACATAGCCGAATATCTCGGAGTTGGAACGTATGCGAGGCAGTATATTTATGGGCAGTCGGAAGAACTGGCAGAGCTTGGGGTCCCATTGCTGCGTAGAGAGGTTCATGAGTGAGGTGAAATGAGCGTTGGTAAGATCCGTGGAATGCACTCCTGTCTCCACGCCGCCGGTGAGGTTCCACAACAGCCAGGAATCCAGGGTGCCAAATAGGCACTTATTCTCCTCAATGGCACTGGCTACAGAAGGAACATGATCCATCAGCCAACGGATCTTAAGAGCACTGAAGCAGCTGCTGAGAGGCAAGCCACTGCGGTACCTCACATAGTCCACATTGTGCCGGACATTGTGGAGCAGGGTCTTCAAGATCGGCGTGCTGCGACAATCGGACCAGCCGATAGCATTGTGCAGAGGCTGACCCGTCTGCTTATTCCACAGCACCGATGTGCCGCGTTGATTTACGATGCCCATTGCAATAATATCATGTGGATTGATTTCAAGTATCACCAGGTTCTTATAGGCGGTCTGTAAAATTAGTCAGATTATTTTCCTGATGATGATATAACCCTTCGATAAGCCACCTCTATGCACTCCTGCGTGTTCTTCCATATCTCGACAGGATCGTATTCCATCCAGCCTGACTGGTGGACAATCTGGCGCAGCTTGAGCTCATGGTAGGCCAGAACCTCAGCATTTTTAGTTGAGTAAATCTATGGAAATAGAATCTGAGTCAGCGGTCGTTTTCGGCTTCTTAACCTTCTTACCAGAAAGCGGCAGTGCGTGCTGCTCACGCAGGCGACGCCGATGAGTGCTCCAAATCTGCCGTAGCGCCCGTTGGCCATCTTTTGCCAGCCCGGTGGCCCGGTGGACACGTGCTAATTTGTGTTTAAACGCTCCAGCCAAGGAAAATGACCAAGCTGTGTTTTGTTGTTGTCGCTTTTTGGAACGCCAATATTGTCAGTGTACAGTGTGACCTTTTGTGGTTAGGCTTAAAATCCCAGCTGATAAGAGTTCCATCATGTTAAGGTAACGTTATTGATTAGGTTTTTACATTTTAATTTTCTGGTTATACATTTAAATAAATGGTAAATTAATATAAAAAATATTTAAGAATTACATGTCAAATGTAGATTTCTTAATAAGTTTGTTCAAGGTTTTCTTTCTTCTTGAAAATATGACACTGCTCCTCAATACTCTAAACCCTGCCGTATTTAGCTTTTCACCTTCTGGTCACACGTAACATTTTTCCGGGCCCTTTTCCACGAAGCAAAATAGAAACAAATTTCCTACATTTCATGCTAAATTGGTCCAGGACCGTACTACCATGCTCATGAGTCGAGCGCTTTGCCGGAGATTGCTGCCGCAGGTGGCGTAAGTAAGCGGGCGGCGTCACAGTTCCCTATCCGTACTAACCCAACAATAACCAACAGCCACAGAATTCATGCGAATGTGCCTGTTCTGCGGATAAACTCTGGCCATCCGGCGGCCAGGTCCTGCCGGCAATTCAACAGCAACCGAAAACAGAGCAGCAACCTAAAGCCGACGACCGGGGAACCTGTGGCGGCGGAGCAAAACACGACGGTGCCGCTGAACAATGTGATCAAAGCGGTGGCCTTCACAGGAGCAGTAAGATTGGGTACTAGACGACACCTTTTCAAAACTTATATACCCTTACATTTCATCTTCTAGTTTACGGTGGGCTGCTTTGCGGGCGCAACCATCCTGGAGTACGAAAACACACGAAGCCTCATCCTGGAAAAGGCGCGCCAGGCGAGATTCGGTTGGTGGCAAAGTCGCTCAATGGCGGACCGTGACTACTGGACACAGCTGAAACAGGACATCCGTCGGCACTGGGACTCCCTAACGCCGGGAGATAAGATGTTCGCCCCCATTTTCCTGTGCAATGTGGTGGCCTTTGCCATGTGGCGGGTGCCCGCTCTGAGATCCACCATGATGACATACTTCACCTCAAATCCAGCAGCGAGTAAGTGTTAAAATTTAATGTTATATGCAAAATATGTGAGAAGTAATGTCACAAGGGGACAACTTTGCGAAATAACCATGATCTATAAGCAGATAGATTTCATTATCTATAAAACAAGGGAATGGTATTGTGTCCTTATCATAGTAAGTGGGATACACCCTTGAAGTGTTAATAAAATTATATAATAATTACAAGGTAATTCGCCTATAGTTTTAGGCAAAAATGCTCCGATTTAAGTAAAAAAGAAAGGAATTAATCACATTGTTATATATAAATAATATTATAATAAATAAACACTCACTTCGGTAAATAGTTATATAATTAAATTATCTTCCTTAACTGTTCAAATTATATGTACATGTAGTTGTATAACAATGTAGTGGTCTAACAAATTCTGTCTTCAAAAAACATTTGAGAATTCAAGGTTTAACCTTGAAACTAAAATCTTTTCATTTACCCGCAAGATTCGTACTAATGAATTTGTTAACAAAAAAAACTTTCTTTGTGCCTTTGCAGGAGTCGTCTGTTGGCCCATGTTCCTCTCCACCTTTAGCCACTACTCCGCCATGCACATATTCGCCAACATGTACGTGATGCACAGCTTTGCCAACGCAGCGGTTCTGTCGCTTGGCAAAGAACAATTTTTGGCAGTCTACCTCAGTGCCGGTGTCTTTTCCAGCCTTATGAGCGTGCTGTACAAGGCGGCTACGAGTCAGGCGGGGATGTCGCTTGGTGCGGTAAGATATCTCTAACTAGAACTAGTAAATATATACTTAAAGTTCATGTTTCAGTCCGGAGCAATAATGACACTGCTGGCCTATGTATGCACACAGTATCCGGATACCCAGCTTAGCATTCTGTTCCTTCCCGCGTTGACATTCTCCGCCGGAGCCGGCATCAAAGTGCTCATGGGCATCGACTTTGCCGGCGTTGTACTGGGTTGGAAGTTCTTTGACCATGCGGCGCATTTGGGCGGCGCCATGTTTGGCATGTGAGTTTAGTGTCAATCTCTTTCCTGATTATCTTGTTAAACTACCTGTAATCCTCAGCTTTTGGGCCACGTATGGAGCACAGATTTGGGCAAAGCGTATTGGCCTTCTAAATTACTATCACGATTTGCGCCGGACGAAGCAAAAATAGTACATGATGAGTGGGGGACGGCCAAGTGAACGGACGGGGAGCTGAGGCTACGGAGTGTTAGCAACTAACACTCTGCTGTGACGATAAAACTGACTTCGGTCTGCCTTAGCAGTTCATTGAAATGAGTTAAGTTGAATAAAACGTTAACATCCTGTAGTCATCTGACTTCTCGGTTCTTTTTTGCCGCGGGAGGTTCGTCCTTTTGATTTCTCCGAATGCGAAGGTGCACTTCGTGTTTGCGCTGCAGCATTTTCTCTCTAAGTTCTTCCAGAGGTTCCCGTTCTGGAGCGTAGGATATGTGTAAAATGCCCCCAAAAAACTGATGAGCGTCGAGCATCCTCTTTGCTCTTCTGGCCACCTCCAGGCGTTCGAATTTTACGGCAAACACGTCCGTAAAGGCTTCCAGCTCCACTAAAAATAGTTTTATTACTATATACTATGTTTTGGAAATTATTTAACTAACTTTTTGAAGCCATCTCCGAAGTTATGCAAATGCAAGATTGTAGTTTTCCAAATCCCTGTAGCTTAGTCTTGAGATCAGCTTGAAGATTTATTTTAGGCACACCAAAAATCAGCAAATGACGCGATTCGCTGGCCACTGTATAGACCTAAAGACATTAATATTTAAAAGAAATAGGCCAGAATAAAAAATTACTATACAACCTTTACGGCTTTTAGTTCCCGTCCCTGACGGTATTGCAATCTTGTTGTGCAGTATTCCAGCCGTTTGTGGTGCTCAGAAGAAGATGTATGCATGTTTTATTAAGAAAAAACAACTTGTTTTATATTACTTTTGTTTATAAATATATTTAGCCGGCTATTTCACATAAATAAACCGACTATCGATAACAATTGTATGTCAGCTGTTATGCTATTGCCCTGTTAATAACATGAAGGGCTGAAATGGAACTCACTCAAAGTTCTTGGATTGAGCAACTTTTGCACCTGTTACATTGAAAATATTGAAATTTAAAATGAATGTTATTGCATTTAATAGCTTTTGGAATGACTATGGTATATGAATATAATTCAAAAATTTGACTTGTACTGATATATGTAAGGGCACGGGCATATAATTTTCAACTCAAAACTGTTGAGATTGAGTGTTTTTTATCAGCTGCTTTAATTGTGGAATAGTCTATGGTTGTCAAAATGCTCAACAATTGCTTAAATACAATTATTTGAAACTATCGTTTGAGAAAATGAAAATTACTATAGTTTTAAAGCTTTTCCATAGCCATGGTTGATAATATCTCTGGTAGGAATTTAAGAGAACTATTGTTACTTATGAGAGTTCAGTCAAGGAATATTTTTGTTATGAATTTAAATATCTTGGTTGTCTGTTGTTCCCTAATTTTCGGCAGCCCTGACTTTCCCAGCATATTCCCATCTCTGAAAATGGCGGCAAATCGAAACAGTTTGCCGCCCGGCATAAAAACCGAGTTCGCTGCATTCGCAAGATCATTTGTCACTGAAATTTCGAACCCTACGCTAACATACACCGTGTTCTTGAAGTGAATTTTATCAAAGATACAGCTGGATAAAAATAAAAATAAAAAAAACACATCAGTTAAGACTAATCCAATCACAAACAACACTCAAATGGCGTCCAAGGAAAACATTGCGGACAACATGGAGAAGTTCTCACTTAAGGTAATTGACACGCGAATTAAGTCGAAAAGTTCGCAGCTATACATAGATTTATGTATGTGTGGATTACCAAAGAAAATAATACGCAGCAAAAAAAAAAACGATCATGTTATGCATACTGGCATTTTTTGTTTATCTTATAAATAGAGCCCCAGCAAGAAGATTCTGACGGAGAATGCCAGCAACGTTCGCAAAATGTCCATTGGCAACGAGACCAATGGCCAGATAATCAAGGAGTCCTTGGCGGAGAATGGTGTCGGAAAGTCGGCCAATTCCCTCATGGAAAAGTCAATGACTCCCTTCGATCCATCGCTGGAACCCCTGTTGCGCGAGAATCCTCGACGCTTTGTAATCTTTCCCATTCAGTACCATGACATCTGGCAAATGTACAAGAAGGTGTGTATACCATATTTATCTACTATAAGCGTATGTTTCCATTAGTGTTGGTGGTGAAAATTGGGTTTTTGGGCGGCAAAAACAGTGGAAGGGCGGGCGTTTCCAGATAAAGCGCGCCAAAAGCCGGTCACGTATACAACGTGTTTGATTGCATGAATCAAACTTTACGATAGCTGCCACAAGCAACCCCTTCAATCTCCGACCCTTACGCTGATTCACTGCATCATTGTTGTTATCCAATGCCAACACGCTTTCATTTTGGCGGGAAAAATGTTTCACAGATGCCAAGTACTTACAGAAATAAATACATTTATTATTATTTCACAACTTCAATTTATTTGTTGTAATATTTTTACTGTTTTCAAGGCCTGTTTTTTTTAAATAAGACCGTGACTTCCCGTTAGTTAAGACCATTTGAATAAATCTCCCACTTATGTATAAACATGAAACAGTAATTTTAAATAATATGCCAAAATTCTTTTACCAGGCTGAGGCTTCCTTCTGGACTGTGGAGGAAGTGGATCTGTCCAAGGATCTGACGGACTGGCATCGCCTAAAGGACGACGAGCGTCACTTCATCTCACACGTGCTGGCCTTCTTTGCCGCTTCCGATGGAATCGTGAACGAGAACCTGGTTGAGCGATTTAGCCAGGAGGTTCAGATCACTGAGGCACGCTGCTTCTACGGTTTCCAGATCGCAATGGAAAACGTGCACTCCGAAATGTATAGTGTCCTGATCGACACATACATCCGAGATCCGCATCAGCGGGAGTACCTGTTCAATGCCATCGAGACGATGCCGGCTGTAAAGCGCAAGGCGGACTGGGCGCTTTCCTGGATCTCATCCAAGTCAGCCAATTTTGGAGAGCGAATTATCGCCTTTGCCGCCGTAGAGGGCATCTTCTTTAGCGGCAGCTTCGCCTCTATTTTCTGGCTAAAGAAACGTGGCCTGATGCCGGGCCTGACATTCTCCAACGAACTTATATCCCGGGACGAAGGCTTGCACTGCGACTTTGCCGTCTTGATGTTCCAGCACCTCGTGCAGCGACCAAAGCGAGAGCGCATCATCGAGATTATCCGCGACGCGGTGGCCATTGAGCAGGAGTTCCTTACAGATGCCCTTCCCGTAAACTTGATCGGCATGAATTGCGACCTGATGTCCCAGTACATCGAGTTTGTCGCAGACCGTTTGCTGGTGGAGCTTGGTGTTGGAAAGATCTACAACACCAAGAACCCTTTCAATTTCATGGAGATGATCTCGCTGGACGGAAAGACAAACTTCTTCGAGAAGAAGGTGGGCGAGTACCAGCGTATGGGAGTGGCCACTAACCGCCTGGATAACGTCTTTACCCTGGACGCCGATTTCTAGGGCTGGCCCCAGATCATCAATGTCGCAATTAAATCCTATTAAGGGCTGGCTTCTCATCCTTTATGTTGTAATCAGACGGCTTTAATGTGTAGTCCGTTTTAATTTTAACCTAAGCTAAGAACTATCACTGACTTTCTGCAGAATCATTTACTTAATCATTCATTACTGGGAACACTTCATTCAAATTGCTTACCCACATAAATTTTAAAAGCACTTGACTAGGAGTGAGTTTTATTCGAATTCATTGTACATACAACATTTTAAATAAATTTATACTTAGACAATTATTAAGCACTTAAAAAAATGGTGTTTCGATTTTCGGGAGCTTGCTAAGATGTGTGAAAGTAGTTCTTATAATTAAATATTTTACACTCAATGAAACAAGGATGTTGCACATAAACGTGAAACGTGCAAAATAATATTAGGAAATAAATTTAAATGGTCATTAGATTGAGTCAAAAAATTTAATATTTTGGTTTGAAGTTATCACCTGAACATAACATATGTTAACAAGTCTCTTAACAGTCTGGCGCAAATGTAAATCAACAGGTAATTTGTTATTGGTTAGTTATATTTAAAGTTCAAAGAAAAAACAAATTACTTTTATAAGACCCAATCGGAATTGAAAATATAAAAAAAGTTTCGTTATTCATAAGGATATATGACATTTCTAAATCAGTTAATAAATAAATATTACAAGAGTCGTAAGATGCCAGAGATGCGCTTATTTCGTGTCGATAGTCACGAGGGTTGGTCTACGCTATCTACACAGTTCTACTATCAGCTGACTAACGAATTCGGGGTCTTTATCAATGTCTATTCCGTTACTCATGTTTCCTTGCGACTTCTAGTAACGGTAGTATGTGAAACATACTGGGGCACGATTCGATAAGCAGCAGTTTCGAGACGGCCGCTGACCGGTAAGAAGCTTATCACGGAATTGCTAATAATATGCGACCAGTGAAGTGCGGACAAAAGACCAGCAAAGTAAATTGACTGACAAATGAGCATCTCATGGAATCCGGAAAATGGTGAGGAGCAGAGCGCCCTCTTGGCAGCGGACAGTTCCGCCAGCTCGGGCGCAGCTGCCTCTGGGTCCGACGAGGAGACAATCACTACCAGTAGAGCTGTCAGGAACAAAACCAAACTGAGAAAGCTACAGCGCAGAACACGTATACCGTTGGTGCCCAGGATGCTCAGACGCCTTGGCTGTTACACGCTGAGTGCCTTCGTTGTCTTCCTGTTGCTCCTTGTCTACCTGCCTCTTATCTATTTGGATGTGCACAAACGTAGTGGTAGGACAATGGATTCCTTAATCCCCACATGTGTTTTAAGACCGTTCAATTGTTATTTTTTCAGCTGGTCTGCCCGACTGGACGTTAGAGACCTCCCGCAGCATAGGCGACTATCTAGATTCCGGACATAATACGGCCCTCATTGTGCCGAGGGACTTTTGCCGAAACAAGACTTTCCTGGTAATCGCAGTGTGCACAGCCGTGGGAAACTTCATTCAGCGACAGACCATCCGGGAGACTTGGGGAAACACCACCGAGTTCAACTACCCAGTCTTTGTCAAGCTACACGGTCACCTCAAGGGGCACTACCTGCCACTAATGCCGGAGCGCCTTAAGCTGTATGGAGACTACCTAAGCGGCGAGGGCGACTCATTAACCGCCTCTGTGCGCATTGTCTTTATTGTTGGCCGCCAGAGAGATGAGGATCTTGTCGGAAACGAGACCCTGACTCGCCTTCACAGTGAATCGGACCGATACAACGATATCATCCAGGAGAACTTCGTGGACAGCTACAACAACCTCACGCTCAAATCTGTGATGGCTCTTAAGCACATCACCCGCAGTTGCTCCAATAGCTCGGCTTTCTTTCTCAAGTGCGACGACGATACCTTTGTGAATGTGCCGAACTTGCTGCACTTCTTGCTCGGAGGCACAATACCTTTGTACAACGACACTCTAGACTATCACGATCGATCTACCTACTTGGCCACGGCACCGCAGAATCGATTAAAAGCCATCAGCGAAGTGATGTACGGCCATCAGTTCTGCAATGTGGTGCCAGTCAGCGAAGTAAGCAGTAAGTGGTACATGCCCTCGTACATGTTCAAGCCGGAGTCGTACCCCAAGTATCTTTCTGGAGCTGGCTACCTGTTGTCTATCGATGTGGTCCAGCGTCTATTTGATGCCTCTTTCAATACGACACTAGTCTACTTGGAGGACGTGTACATCACTGGGTTGTGTGCTCAAAAGGCCAAGATCAGTCGCCACCACCACCCGCTCTTTAGCTTCGCCCACTCGAAACAGTTGTGTGCTTTTAAGGGTAGCATCACACAACACCAGATGAAAGACGACAGCATGGTTGTCGCCTGGAACCATGTGGCAAACTACTCTATCAAGTGCCCGCCTCCGGAGCGCTTCTTTAGCCAAATGCGTCTTCGCAAAAGGCCTAATTGTTAGAAGGCTCATGATATGCCTTTCATCTCTTCCTGCTCTCTGAAGATTTCGACATAGTATAGTTATTTTGCTTTGGTACAGTTTTTAAACTTTGAGTTCCTGAAATTAATTGTAGACCTGTTTGGGCTAATATAACGATTTCGTTGTAGAGCATAATCAGCTGACTTGCTTGACAAGCAAAGGTGATATAAAATAGTGTTTAAAGATAAACCTTTTGATTCCTCGAAATTTATAACTATTACTCAGAGTATTCCTTCTTTTTCAAAAACAAAAAGTGTACAAAACTCATTTAGTGTTAAGGCGTGAGAGTTTTTTTAATTGGCTAAAGCCTATCACCCCAATACTCCATATCATTGTTAAAAGTAATGCACAAACGAAATAATGGATATAATTGGAACCCTGAAACTTCTCAGATTTTTAGAAATGAATCCAAGAAATAGACTTTATAATAGAAATATAAGTATTTATTTTCATACATGAGATCTAATACCAGATCTATTTAAGTATCCTCTAATTAATCACTTTTTATTTCTAGTGCTCAGTACTCGATCTAATTTTTACGTGTTCAATACTTCCGTGGGTTCGCATAATCGGCTTCTCGTAATAAAAAGCCCATTTGATTCACGCACAGAATGTTGATAAAAAAAATGAATATCTAATTATTTTGTAATCGTGTGATGGAAGAAGACAAAAGTTTCTGAAATATCTAGTTGTGTTTTTGTTCAATGCCGAATAAAGTTCCAAAAACTATCTACCTAAATTTATTTTAGTTTGCAGGTGTATATATTTTATACAATGGAATTATATTTCTAAAACATTGGCTTTTCCTTGGATGTCAATTGTATTCTTCATATTATAATAAATGCATTTTAAGTTCTTTGAAGATCTTAGGCAATTGCAGCAGCCCCGAGTTCTCGCAACAAGGATTAGGAGGCTATTTGTAGCAAGGTACAAGAACATTGTGACGCTTATGCTTTGGCTTTATGTGTTCAACAGGCTATATAACGTCATAAATGATCCAAGCAATCGAAATGGTAAGACAATCAATAAATGATACGTTTATCCTAATTACGCCTTATTGATAGCTCCTCTGAGGGGATGGGATCGTGAAACGCCTAGGAGTATAGCAGATTACTTGGATCCAGCAAAAGATACGGCGATTTTAGTCCCGCGAGAGTTCTGTCGGAGCAAAGCCTTTCTGACCATCGCAGTGTGCTCAGACGTAAAAAATTTTGAACGGCGTCGTGTCATCCGTTCGCTATGGGGCAATTCCAGCGATTTTAATTATTCTACCTTTGTGAAGTTACATGGTCACCTTGAAGGGCATTATTTGAACGTTTTGCCTGACCGAGTGAAACTGTACGCTGAATATCTTAGTGGCAAGGGTGATTCCTTAAAAGCATCTATACGGATCGTTTTCATAGTGGGCCGCAAAGACTTGTCATCTCTCCTTGAAAATGAGGCTGTTGCTAAGGAGGCAGAAAAGTATAATGATATCATTCAAGAGAACTTCATGGATACCTATAATAACCTGACCATCAAGACTGTCATGGCGATGAAGCACATTAGTCAGAGTTGTCTCAATACAACAGCATACTACTTCAAGTGCGACGATGATACCTTTGTGAATGTTCCTAATGTGCTGCACTTTTTGCTCGGAGGAACGATTCCGGTGAACAAAATAACTGCGAATTACCATTACGCCAACACGTACAAGGTCACTTTGCCAATAAAACGCTTGACGGCTCGCACGGAGGTTATGTATGGACGGCAGTACTGCAATGTGCCACCGTTGACCAATAAACTCAACAAATGGTACATGCCATCGTACTTGTTTCGGGGCGGAGTATATCCCAACTACTTGTGTGGATCCGGCTATCTACTATCTATCGATGTAGTGCCACGTTTGTACAAGGCTGCACTAGGTACCAAAATGTTTCACTTGGAGGATCTGTTTGTCACCGGCTTGTGTGCGGAGAAAGCTGGAATCAAAAGAACTAATCATCCGCTTTTCATGTCCTTGTTTCCAAATGATGAGAATAGGATGTGCACTGTTAAGGGATGCTTCACCGTTCACCGCGCAAAGGATAACTTAATGTGGGATGCTTGGTACGATGTCAATAACTACAGCGTAAAGTGCCTACCGCCAAAAAAGAACTTCCAGTCGAAACTGCCGAAGAAGCAAAGATGTTAAATTTGTATTCATTTGAACTTAATAATAAGAACGATTTTGTCCAACTATTTAAATTGATAAATAGATGTGATGTTTATCAAAAATAAGGCTTAATGATCACGCTTGGTCTGTATCGAAGAAAATATTTAAAAATTCGATTTCTAAGGGCAATATCTCCGCACGAGTTGTTTTGCTATTTGAAACTATCAGGGAAATCTATACTTCCTATTGTGTTCAGTCAAATTTGTATATAACCTTTTAAACGAATTGAATAATAATTTTTAATAGGATAATGATTCATCGATTATGCTTGTACCTTCCCAGGATCTGGCTCCTAATTCGACGGTACAAATTCATTGTGGGTCTTATTTTTTGTGTGCTATTCTTGATCTACGAGGCTAGCTTACTGAATTATATGGACAATCATGATCGAGAGGGTAAGTAAACGAGGATTTTATAACATTCAATTATGTAAGTCGTATGGATTTTTGCAGTTGAACTGCCAGGATGGGAACGTGTAAAGCGCCTAAGAATAAGCGAATACTTGGACCAAACGAAAATAACAGCACTTAAAGTTCCCCAGGACTTTTGCAAGACCAAAGCTTTTCTGATTATTGCCGTTTGCTCCAGCCTGAATCATTTTGCTCATCGAAAGGCTATCCGGGAAACCTGGGGAAATACCAAGGTATTTAACTATGAAGAATTTCATAAGCTACATGGTCACCTCGATGGGAATTACCTGCCAATACTGCCAGAACGTTTGAAGCTTTACGCCGATTACCTGAGTGTTCTGCCTAACTCCCTGATCGCCAATATACGGATTGTTTTTATCGTGGGTCGATCTAGTAAAGGTAACAGACAGAAGGATGATAGGTTATCAAGAGAATCGAATCATTACAATGATATCATTCAGGAGAACTTTATAGACAGTTACCACAACCTTACCCTAAAGTCAGTAATGGCTCTAAAGCACATCAGCCAAAGTTGCGCAGAAACCACCGCCTTCTTCCTCAAATGTGACGATGACACCTTTGTTAATGTGCCAAATCTACTACATTTCCTGTTGGGCGGTACAATTCCACTGTACAAGGATACGGTGGGATATCACTACCGCACCAACTACAAAGTGAAGTCGCCCTGGAATCGTATGAACTCCAGCAGGGAAGTGATGTATGGCAATAAGTTCTGTAATATGTATGCTGACAACAATGTAAGGAGTCCCTGGTACATGCCGAAATATATGTTTGAAGGCAAAAGGTACCCGAGCTATCTTTCTGGGTCAGGATATCTCTTATCAATCGACGTCGTTCAGCGGTTGTACAAGGAAGCTCTCACAACATCTCTTGTGCACTTGGAAGACGTCTTCGTTACTGGTATTTGTGCACAGCGCGCGGGGATTCAGCGGCGACTCCATCCACTCTTCAACTATGTTCATGGAAAGTCAAAATGTATTTTTAAGGGAACTATTACTATGCATCCGATGTATGGAAACACAATGTTGGAGGCTTGGAATTTTGTATCAAACTATAGCATAAAATGTCCATCGCCAGCTAAGAACACCATCAAATATCAACTAATAATGAAATCGCACTGTTAACATGTTAACAACATTAACGCTAGTTATTTAGATTTATTTATTTGTCATAAGATAAGCTTAAAATTACACATTTATACCAATATAAATTTTAAGCGTAAGTACTTATTTATTTTCAATCAGCTGCCTTTGTGTACTTCTAGTTACTCAATCAAGAATAAACATAGAGAGGCTATAAAATATTTCTCAAATTGCTTAATACTTTCCGTGGGGTGACTGGCTTCTTAAGCGGTTCAAAACATAACGATGCATTGTAAAATGCTATACTTAACCCTATATTCTATGCACACGTAAAAAAAGTTATTTTACCTCCATTTTTTTTTAAATTTAAATTTATCCGAAAGAAGTCGGCTTATAAATTTAACTGAGCATCGTGTTTGTTTATATTGACAAGAATATAAAGACCTGGAGTTTATTAAAATATTTAAATTAATTTTTACATGTCAATACGCGATTTCTAAAAATATTCACAAAACAATTTGAAAAGCTTGAGTTATAAAAAGTATTTACATAAAACATGTTTAAATGATCTACATTTGTTTGTTTTCCATTCGTTTAAATTCTGTTCGAAATCCTAGAAGGAAGTTTTTGAGGTCCCCTGCTATGTATCCTCGTCGACGGGACCTCGAATTATCACCACAAACTAGCCAACAATTTGCCCCGTGATGGGCTCGTCTTGTGCAGAATCAACAGCACGCTCAATATCCTCCTGATTGGATACGATTTCGGGATCACCATTTTCACTGGTACTTGCCAATGGTGTATCCGACTTACTTGATGTTTCGCTCTCATTCTCTTTCAAGAGAATCTCAGGTGGCTCCGAAGTTTCCAGTTGAAGAGTTTCAATTAAGCTATTTGAATCCAATTCAGTCTCATTTTCAATTACGTTTTCGGAAGCTGGGCCGCTGGAACTATTCAAAGCTTTCATCAGCTCTTCAGTGGCTGCACTAAGTTCAGCACCATCCATGGCAATGACTTCGTCTAAAGCGCATTCTAGTAATTCTTTGGGATGCTCGTCTAGTTCAGCTGCAGCGGTCTTGTCAACTTCATTGGAAATGTCCATGGGTTCAACTACGTTAGGTGAGTCATGGTCTGTAAGTTCGTTTTCTAGTGGTGTTTTCTCCTCCTCTACGTTATCCCGAATTTCTTCTGTCTCTGCTTTTGTATTATCACCGTCTTCTGTCACTTCTTCATTTTCTATTAGTTGTTCAATCTGTTCCTCTTGCTTATTTTCAGATTTCTGTGTTTCCAGCTTTTTATCTACGCCTTCTTCTATTTCAATAGTTGTTGCATCTAAACAGTTTTCTTCGACAATGTTATTTTCTTCGTTTTCAACTATTTCTTCTACCTCTTTTTGATTAGCCTTTTCTTTTTCCGAAACTTCTTCGGACTCTAATTCCTTTTCTGTAGTATCAAACTGTTCTTTTTCTGTTATATTTTCGGAATCAGACACTACTTCCGTTCCTGTAGATTCGGTTACTGTATTTTCCGAAACTTCTTTGCTATCGTCATTCTCCTCTCTTTCGGCTTTATTTGTACTTTCTTCCTTTTCAATATTTTCCTTTGTTGAATCTGTTTCCTTGTCTGCTACTTTTGCATTGATCTTTTCAGCATTTTTTTCCTTTTCTATTTCTAATATTTTTTTGGATAGTTTTGAAACTAATGTTTGTTTACCAATTTTTTCATTTCGTTCTTTAATCAACTCCTTTTCTTTCTCAACTTCATCCTTTGCAAGGTTTTCTTCCTCTATGTTATTATCCATTTCCCCAAGTTTTGCTTTTATAGGCGCTTTAAAAACTTCTCCAAATGTTTCCTTAGTTTTCACAAGTTCTTTGTCATCTGTGACTTTTTTCTCGCTTTCTCCTTCTTCGTTATCCGAGTTGGCTTGGATTAAGTCCATTTTCGCTCCACTTGGAACTATGGCTGACTTTTTGGTATCATTTGAATAAACTTCCGCTGCAATCTCAGTATCCTCCTCCTGATTTCTCAATTTTTGTTCCCGCTTTCTGCAATCCTCTACCCACTTGCGTGCCACTTCAAACTCATCCTCAGCTCGCTTTAACTTAACTACGACTTTCTTTTTCAACTTAGCATCAGACTTTTTCAGATCTTCCATGCGCTGGCGTTCCAGTTGCAAAAGTGCCGGATTCGGCTTATTTGTCATTTTTTTGCGCGGCTGCTTCTTTTGGCCCGGAGAAATGGACTTGGGCTCATTGGCGGCTTCGTTGACTTCCACTTCCAGCAGGCTGGCCAATATCGTGGAACTGAAGGCAGCCACATCGATGTCGGCTTGGTTCTCCATTTGTTCGCTTTTCGGTGCGGCCGATGTCACAGAGGTTATCTTCATCATAGCCCCCTGTTGGGGTTGTTGCATAGGTGTGGAGGTCGAGGTGGAAGGCGTGTTATCCTCATTGTCCGAATCGATGGTAATGGTATCTGTTTTCGGCTCCACAATCTCAATTTCGTTGTCCTCGTCATCGCTGGCTTGTTTTTCTGCAGAAGTGAAAGTTAAAAAGTTTATTAATATTTAAATAATAACAAGTTTTAATTTAAAATAATGTAAATACCCTTAAAGTTATCAAGCACACGGGTGATTTATATGGCAAAATTGGCAAACAGGATTTATTTGAGCTTAAACTATAATCTCAAAGTAAAAAATCTTAGCCTAGAAAATTAATGGAATGTTAAGTCTAAATGTTGAGAAAACGCATCTCCTCGAGCGGAAAATTACTGCGCAGTTTTTGCAGCTTCTTTTCATTGACCCGCGGATGTCGCTCCATCTCACGACAATAGCACTCGTAGGCAAACTTGGCAATCTGCCAGCGCAGTTTACAGGCCTGAGCATCCCGCTTAAATCGAGGTAACCGCTTGGCCACTTCCGGCCATAAACGCTCCCTGGCTCCCACATCACTGTAGTCCACATGACGTGGATTCCATAGGGTGGGGTAAGCCCTCATGGCCAAAACCAGCTGCTGAGAGAACTGCTTGTCATCGGGCATATCTTTTAGCTTTCCAGCTGCATCTGCGCTGTTGGGGAAACAATCCTGCAGCGGTTCGAATTCGTCACGCAGATCCTGTTCATCGATCTTATACAGGAAATACAAGCTGGCCAAATACTTAGAATACTTCAGTTCTAGATTAGCAAATACGCCCTTGTCTTTAATACTCTTGAGGCGGAAGGACTTGTACATCTCGTACATTTGCTGCCAGCGCTCCACAAGATACTCGCAGGCATAATCTGCAAAGATAAAAGGTTCAAATAGAATTAAAAAGACCATAGAACACAAGTCCAAATTTCAACTTACTTGGCGCTGACTTCCAAAAGTTCTGCCACAAGGACTTCCGTGTCTGTTCGTCAATACTGTTAAATTCGGGATCAGATGACTTACGCCAGAGCACTGGATGACTTTTAGCGAATGTTATGATCCGCTGATCAATTGGACGCACTTCAAGTGGACGCATGGGCACACGAGCACCTCCTTTTGCTTTTATTTTCATTGCTGGATGCTGAAATGGTTTTCGATCCATTGTATTTTCGATTACGTCGAGATGCTTGCGCTCGAAGCCGTCACCATCATCTTCGCCACAATCCACCGCCAGCCATTCGCTTCTCGGCCGATCCCTATTTTCCAAATAGTTAGTTGCCTTGTCAAAATAGCCCTTGAAACGTTTTCCTTGCTTCAATCGTCTCTCAATACGAACGTAACGTTTCCTCACGTTCTTCCAGCGTAACTTAATGTCATCGCCACGGGGAAAGTGAGTGGCTATCACCCTCCATTGTTTGTTGGTGACCTCCTTCTTGCCGTAATCAGGATGACGGGTGCACCATAAGGATGGATACTCGCGGAGGAGCCGCGTCAACTTGCGATCATAGGCGTGAGCCTGTTCGTTTCGATTCATGCTCTCCTCGGTGCCAAGTTCACCGCAGTCTTCGTTGTCCAAGTCATCGTCGTCCAAATCATCATCCAAATCGTCCGGTTCATCGTAATCAATATCATCCACTTCTTCATTGTCCTTTTCTTCTTCATCTTCCTGATGTTCTAGCTTCATTTCTGATTCCTCCGGTTCATCAATTGGATCGCCTTCGGCTCGAACTCCCAATGGCATCAGCGGAGGCAATGGCTCGCAATCTTCTCCCTCCTTGAGATTGGCATGTAAACTCTTGCGATATTCGTAAACCTGATTATGGAAACTATTGCAACCTGTGTTGAAGAGATCCACATCGTCCAATTGACCATAACACACGTAATCCACAGCTGCAATAAGTAAGATATTTTAAGCATTAGCTTTAGAGGAAAAACTGCTGCTGGGTTCTATTCCATTGCCTGTTCTTGATGGTATCTTGCAAACACATGGACCAAGCTAAAATTAAAATCTTTTCATCGCAGCCAATGAAATGGAACTCGCAGTTTTTCTTAAACACAGCATACTTACATGCTCCCTTTTAAATCTTCTTCACCATTTGAACAAAATAAACGCACACGCGATACGAAACCCGAAAATAAAATGTGAACGACCGTCCATGTGTCGAAAATACGCACCAAAGACAGGAAATGGTTAGTCTGAATGATGCCCACCAAAAAAAGAGTTAACATTTCACAATGCCCTCTAAAATCTATTCTAGACTCATTCTAATCTTTAGTCACATGCTAATAAACGATTACTTAGCATTTATCCAATTATGGATTTTAGATTTAAATGCCTCGGCACAATTTAAAGTATGCACAGTTATTCGAATTATATATTGTTTGAACTTACCGGCTGCCAATTGACCGTTCTCCAGGCTGTTCGCATCGTTCTTGAAGCCTTTTTCCCGCATATCACTTAGGCACTTCTCTTGCAAATTCTTAAAACGCCCTATTGCGTAAGTCGTTAAGTAGGACATGTGGATGTATAGCTGCTTGAGATCCATATAGTTGTGCACCTGATTGTACGCGTTCGAGTGGGTAAGAGAGACCACTTTTCCGGTGAGATGTGTGCAGATATCCATGGCGCTGAATATCTGTTCTTGCAGCTGGGCGCGCGCTTGTCCCATCGCCGTATTGGGAAAGTTGTGACGAACCAAAGTTGGTACCTTTGCTTGTGGAGGCGGTGCTGGAGTAATCATGAGGGTTCCTCCATTGGTGTTTGGTGGTGGTCCTTGTAAAGGCGGAGGCCCTTGATTAGCGTTTGCCACACCACGCACATGTGGGGCCCTTTGCTGCTGGTTTGTCTGGGGATTGTAGATTCCCATGTTGCTGCCGAAGGAGTTCAGCTGCAGTGAGGGCCTATTAGTTGGATTTGGAGGTCGGGGACGGATAACTACCCCAGAACTCGCTGGAGGAATGGCCAAAGCTGGAGGTTGTGGCGGTGGCGACCCTTGATTGGCTTGAGGCATTTGTCGTTTCACTTGAATCAAACGTCCATTGGGCAGGCGGTACGATTCCTGTTGCGCAGCACTATTCAAGTCCACACGGAAACCATTAATTGTGTGAAAGACTGGACCAGAACTTTTAACCAAGTTGGGAACTACGGTACGCCGCACAACGCCGGAGGTACCACCGGGCGAATTCTGACGGTAACGAATTCCCGAACCAGTAAGTACTAGAGGTGGTGGAAGATTGCTACGCGGCGATGGCGTCGAAGGCGAGCCACTTGCAGAGGGGCCATTACTGCTGCTTTTGTTGGAACTTGGTCCAGGTTGGTAATTCTGCTGGACGGTGACAATCCTCGGGGTAGTTGTTATACTCGCCGGTGGAGCCACCTGGCGGCCTGCAGGTTTAGGTGTCACTGACAGCTGGCAATCCGGCTCCAACATGCTGAGTAGATCAGGAGTGCAAACTACCTCGTCATTGGAAGATTTTGGACGTTTGGTCGGCGGTGCCGAAGGAGCGGCTTTAGACACAGATCCTCGTTTAGTTGAGCTTACTGAACTGCCTTGGCTGCGCCTGGAGACATTGGACTCCAAGCTCTCCATGGAGTCTGATAAACTACTAGCTTTCGATTTGGCTAGGCGGCAGCAGTTGCTGTTATCCTGAAGCATCTGGCGTCTTGCCTCCACCTCGGGCAACTGCAAACTCTGAAGGGCTCTGTAAAAGTTATATAAGCCTTTAAGATTCCAAATAAAAATAAGAAAGCATGACAAACCTTTTCTTCGTTTGGATGTAGTTGACCAGCGCCCAGTGCTGAGCACGCAGTGGCCAGAGGATCTTCGAGGTGCAGCTAAAGCAGTTCCAGTGCTCGTTTTGCTCGATGTCTACTATGACGCCCCTAGAGAGATTTTTTACAATGCAGGATTTGCAGAAAACATATGGGCACGTAGAGCAGCAGTAGACCTCGCCACCCTGTCCGCACCAGCGGCAATACAGCTCGGATCCATCCTCGCCCTTAGAGAACTCGCCGCTGTTGTAGAAATCGTGGCATTTGACGCAGTGCGTAACTCGTAAGATAGGATGCATCTTGATGTTGTTTTCGGATGCGGGAGCTGTGCCCAGATGCAGCTTGCAAACGGTGCAGTGCACCTTTCGCTGGTTCACCACATCCACGGTGGGGTACATCTTCATGTAGAAACGGCGCTCCTCGTCCGAAAGCGAGGAATGTATTTCATACTTGGAACCTAGAGTGAGAGGTTACTGAGCAAAGGGCCACATGGTTGTTCTCCAGCAAGTATCACTTACCCGTAAAATCCACATCAATTTTGGCAAGCGCCGATGGGGACGGCGTCGCTACCTTCACCAGGGCGTTTGAATTGCCCGGAGTACTGCTGCTCATGATTGCTGTTCAATATCCTACTCCTGGGACAACGATCCGCTACAATTTTCGCACTAAGATCCTACAAGATTCACAATTTGCAGCTGCCGCCACAGAAAAAAGAAACGGCGCGCTAAACACACTCTTTTGTTGTTTGACAACAGCAACAACAAGCATGCAACCGGCGCTTGTTTATTTATTGATTCTCTGCGGCAACCGGCAAATTATAATTTATTTTTGTGAGATTCTTATTTCGACTAACGCACATCAAATATCATTGAAAATGAGAATGAAAAGATTTTTCACCCGAGAATGACAGCCTGACATTCGGTAGAAATTTCAACATGGCTGCCCCTTCGGTTCCGAGCCGAAGTTGCCATCTACGAACTGTACATATCAAGTTTGGACTGATACTCTGTATCCCTTTTGTAAAAGAAACTGTTTAAAAATTGGATCACAAGACTTTAAAATCCTCTGGAATGTTAAATATTCCAAATACTTCCGAAAAACTACATTCTTTCAGTCAAAAACCCAAAAATATTCATTTTTTTTTATTTTATGTAATTATACTTAATTTGTATTATAATATTAACAGGACATTCTATTAACTTTTTTGTTAAAATAAATAATTTTTGAAATCTTTGCATATCTTGACAACCCTGAAGAAAATAGTCGTCTCTTTCGCACTTGTGGCTAAATCATTAGAACCCGACCACATATAAAAAGAGAAGACAATGTTTTCCCAACTTGGTTGGCGTATATCTTGTAATTGAGTATTAAAATTAATGGACTGAAATATTCGACTTTTTTCTCTAGTTTCTAAATATAATAGTTTTGGAAATTTGCTTAATTCTTCGGATTTTGCGAACCAGATCCGAGCAACCGGCTTAAGTGTGACCTTAAAAATGTATCGATACATTATGTGCCATTATTGAAATACCACATGACTCAACAAAATAACATTTGAACGAGTCCGGATTTCGGATCTTATAAATTATATTCAGTTCTATTACAAATTTACAAATATCAAATTATTCAGGTAAGATATGTAAAAATATTGTATTCAGATTTTCATCATAAACCGAATAATTTTCATGAAATGTCAGCGGAAATGAAATGTATATGAACCATAGTAGTGTTTGTACAATTGTATATATGTATATTGCACTAGCTGAAGTATTGTGAAATGTATTTTTAATAAATATTTATTTTTTCTAAGATTATTCGATTTTATTACTATATTAATATGGGAAAGCCAGTTAGAATTAAGCTTATAATAGCATAGATATTGATAGAACCATTAAATATTTATTGAACTAAACTATATAATTACATATTTGAAATACATCGATAGCATTGTATCGATATAAGGATCGATGTATATTATCGATAATTATCTGTTTCCCATTTTCATAATTAATTTTCAGCTTAATTTAATTTTTTTGAAAATTAACTCAAAATTTAAAGTTCGGCCCACTGAACTTTAAAAATTACAAAAAAACCTTATCAATTTTTTTCAGAAAAACAGTTTGTTATCGATTAAGTTGAAGCTCTAAGAATCAGCTGTTACCAAAGATGTGGTACATCTTTAGAAATATACTAGATATCTGATCTGAAAAGTTTCAAAAGAAAAACAACATAGAACTTTTATAATCATTGTATTAGTCGTTTCAGTAAGTAAGGTCGGAAAGCAATATTTAAGTAAAACTGGTTAAATATTCTTGAAATATAAATAAACAACTGAAATAATATTAATGAACCAAGTATTTTTGTATTATTTTGTAGAGATCGAAAGGAGTCTGTAGACTGTCATCGAAACGAACTAGCAAATGTGAGCACATTTATTTCCACCTGAGTATAAATTAGAACGTTCCGTTCGTTCTGCTTAATCCTGTCCAGAAATTGTAAAGGATTTCCATAAGCCACCATGGACAGTGGGTCGGTTGCCAAGACGGGTGACTTTTTCTATGGTTGGGATCTGCTCTATAAGACCGTCCAGTCGGATGTCGTCAAGAAGTCGGACCTACTGATAGCTCTCGTACACTTTTTGCTGACCAAACACTATAATTTTCGCTGCGTTGGCATCGGCGATGATGTGAGTAGGATTCTGACGAAATGAAAATTTTTGGAAACATCCAGACTTTTTCAGAAAACCTTGCCGGAGGAGGATGGCAGTGAGCTGCTACCGGACAATTGGAACGATGACGATACAAAATACTCACTGCGTTACGTGCACGATAAGATGCTTTATTTGCTTTTGGGCCACATCACCGAGGATGCCCTGCTCATTAATTTGATGGACATCAACACAAAGAAGGTATCCAACATTTGCGTGGAACCAGAAACCCTAGTGGCTGCCGTTAAAGGTGGTATTACCACTCTGATGCCGAGCGCCTCTGAGATTGTAGAACGCTATCGCAGGGAGCTTTTGGACCCGGTCTTTACCGGCAACTCGCGTGAGGTCACCACCCAAACGACAACCTCTCCACGTCCCCTCGGATCGGATCCGGATCCATTACGCATTGGTGAACCTAGGCGTGGCGGGTAAGGCATTGGCACAACGTTTTACTTGTGTGTTAAATTTACTTTGTTGCTCAGATCTGATTCGGTCTTGTATTGGTGAGACCAAAAAACAGTACGATCGGAACTTTATAAAGGTTAAAAGTTACTACAAGATCAAATTTTAATTCCGTACTAACATATTCGGACCAAATAGATGAGCTTACTAAGTAAACATAACAACTTAAGCAGAAAATAAACCATCAAGTAAAATATTATAGCCATTTGACTGCATAATTGTTGATGGTTTCCCTTTTAGAAAAAAATTGTACTATTAAATTCACCGCCTTTCTTTTAGATCCTTTATTCCGGGTGGATTCGAGCCGCGCCCTTTTGGCTTTCCGGACATCGGACGCGGGGATCTGGATCCACTGGGTCGCGGTGGTCCTGGTAATCTGTTTGCTTTTCCATCACGCCCAAATATGGGACCGGGTCCGTTGCCCCGCTTCGATCCGTTCAGTCCTCTCAATCCAAATAATCCGGGTCAAGGTGGAGTCAATCCGGATCATATGCGCCCACCAAATTGGGGACCCGATTATTACATGTGATTACCAGGATTGCAATGAACAGTGAGCAATTTAAATCTTTAGTTTATAGTTATAAGGCCAGGAAATAAATGTTTTCAAGTTTGAAAACGGAAATCGGAATCTCTTTTTTTTTTTAAAGATTATTTTATTGTTTTTCATACACAATACAGAATATTTCGATATAAAATAAAAGGAAGCAGCCTGTCTGACCATTTAGAAAATGGCAGGCGGACGGCTGCCCAAGAAAAATTTACAATAAACTTAAAACTTAACTGAACTCGTAATGTAATGGCTATTCATTCAATTCGTACAACAGGGTAAAGAAAATTGGATCAAGTGCGTAATCTCAAAACTGCTAGGGGAAAAGCGCGAAATATTATCGTACCACTAAATATTAGATTGGTCTTTTTCTTTTTTCTTTCTTATGCCTAGCCTAATATTATTTTACCATAATATTTTGCTAAATTAATATAATGTAAATAATATTTCAAGCTGTGTGCAGCCGTTTGACTTAAATTAGCTTTGCACGGGCAACATTTCCTCACGCCGGGATGTGCAAGTGTTGTTTCTTTTGTTTTTGTGCCTTGGCCGCTCAAAATCCGGCTAAAAGCTTGCCCAAGTGCAGTGTGATTTCAGCTCAGTCCCATTCCCCGATGAACATGCGTGGTGTGGGCACGTAGCCGCGCGTTGGCAGCGGTAAATGGCGTCCGTAGATGTGATTGTAAGGTGATTCAACAAGCTCCGAATCTACAAGAAGCACAGAGATTGATAGTTACAAAACGGGTGCGGATTTATATATATATATATTTTAAGATTATGAATGCTAAAATATGTATACCGGGGTGGGCCGATTTCAATGGTAGATCTAAGCAGTGGTATAGTAATCTTAGGTGAAGATCTATTGGTTTTATTTTACAATATTCAAATATCTCTCTTTTTTTCGATACTACTTTTTCTTCATTTTAAAGACATAAAATAGTATATCATACAGAGATAAAATGCCTCGGAACCTTCCATAGATTATGTCCCACTCCTTAGATTTGTAACTACCATTTTAATCAATCAACCCACTCCCAATATTGTGTATGTACAATTGCGTTTCGTGACTGTCCAGGCTAGAGGAGTCCAAGGTGCTAAAAGTTAGTAGACATTTCGTACAGTTTAGTGGTTCTGTTCACCGGGTAATAAGGTAACCATTATGCGTTTGTAGGTATATAGTATGTACATCCACCCATCATCCGACCCAAAAACAGGGGTAAGGCAACCAAAAACAATAACTAATATCGATGTCTGGGCCATATAACCTCGTTTCAATTTAGAGCAGGCCCCATACAAATTCACGTGTCCGCTCAGTAGTCGAGTATTTGAATTTTCTTCAGGCTAAGGCTGCGCGGCTTGCGGGGCTTTAGGTAGCCATAAATGGATTCCATGTCGCTGATGTCAAGGCGACTGGCACTGCGTCCGGTTCTGGTGGCCGTCGGAGGTGGAGCCGAACTTATTCCACTGGCCGAAGTTGCATTGTTTGTTGCAGGGATGGCGGCTAATGTTGGAGACATTGTTGGACCGCCAACTCCTCTGGCCTTTCCCCCAGCAACTCCTGTTGCTAGTGCGACTGCTCCTCCTCCTCCACTTCCTCCAGATGTAGCTGCTGTATTGGCTGATGTTGCTGTCGCTTTCGCTGCTGTTGCCGCCGCTGTTGCTATACTTTTGTTTTTACTATTGAAATAATTTTTGTTTTTCAACATGTCGTCATTGTCTTGCTTGGCGTTCGTTAGCTGTCTTTTGTGCTGGTTGTTGCTGTTGCTATTGGTGGCATTGTCATATCTTTGTCTTTTGTCAGCGTTTTGAGCCTGCTCCTGTCGCTTGCCGCCTCGCCAACTAGGCGCAGGCAGTTGGGGCTTCTTCTGGCATTGGCCCCTTTTTGGTCCTGCCGCACTGCGTCCCTGCCTGTCCGTGGAATCGATAGAGCCGCGCACCCGATCATAGATGTTGGCCGCTGACGGCGCCTTTACAGCAATCCGCTTTCTACCGCCATACATGTACAGTGAGCCCTCCTCGTTGGGCTGCTCGAAAAAGCTTTCAGTGGACTGAGACTTGGTGCGCAGTACTGCTGGCGTCTGCAGCTGGCGGAGATGGGCGCGATCCACGTACATGTCCACCGTCTCGGTCCCTTTGCGCCGTCCTATGTTCTCTGTCATCAAACCTAGGTCATCGTCTATGTCGAAATCCAAGTCGAAGTCATCGTATTGGTAGCAGTCGTCGTAGCGTTCGTTTACCGTAGGTTCCAGCTCCAGCACCGAGACATCGCTCTCGCTGCACCACTTGACCACCCCTGGCCGGAGTTCCGGCTCCACCAGACTCCCACTTAGCCGCTGATGACGCCTCAATTGCCGTTGACTTAGGCTCCTTTGTGGACGAGGCGGTGGAACCGCACCACAGAGGGGAGCCAAAGCATAGCAGCTAACACAATTGCAGGACGAGCTATCCTCCGGCATAGAACGACGGGTGGATAGTCGCCGGGTAACCTGGCGACCCACTGAATCCTCCAAATTGTCATAATACGGTTGCTGCGGTTGCACATGTTGCTGCGGTGCAGAATGTTGTTGCTGCAAGTGGGCGTGCCTTTCGCAGTGGTGGCCATGACGGTGGTGTCTGTGGTGCGGATGTGCGTGCGGATACGAGTGCTGATGCAGATGCGGATGTGGCTGGTGGCTACGTGCTTTGTTAGCTGTGCTTTGTGTCTTGGTGGTAGCTGTGGTTGCTGTTGCATTGATTGCTGTTAAGTCCGTTGGCAGTGACTGTGGTTGTTGTTGTTGTTGATGATGATGTTGCAGTTGCAGTTGCTGTTGCATTTGCATTTGCAGTGCGTGCGATTTGTGTGTTTGGTTGGCCGTGTTAGACCCACCCTGTTTATAAATACCTATGCCACTCTCATAGCTGCGAGTCTGCCAAATCTGATGGTGTTGCTGCTGCTCCCGCTGGTGTCCCGCATGATGGTGCTGTGCCGCATGCGCAGCCGCCGCCGCTGCCATCAGTTGCTGCTGCTGTTGTTGAATGTGATGCGAATGCATGCCACCCAGGTGATTATGTATCATCGAAGTCTTCTTCTGGCTAAGCGTACTGATGCCACCGTTTCCAATGTTGTTTCCATTTCCATCCCTCTGATCCTTGGCCACCTGGCCGGACATCGGCTTACCGGATTTTACAAAGTTCGGCACTCGGGCACGCAATCCGCAGTAGTAGGGATCATCTGTGGAGCACAAATTAGGGTTTATCATTGTATTAGTATTCTATTAGACCTTCTAAAAAAGTTCTAACAGCCAGCTACTTAAGAATGTTCCAGAAAGATAGCGGCATGCCATAAATACTGTATTTAGTATTTGGGTCAAAGACATTTCGGAAACACCGCTGTGCTCCATTCCCATCGAGCATTGAGTGATCTTGTTCTTACCATATTTCTTGTTATCTTTGCCCTTGTCCGACTTGCCACGCGACAGTTTGATGCGAGTTTCCAAGTCAATGTCATCGTAATCCGGCTGAAAGAAATCAAATAGAAAAATGCGAAACGAAATTAGAAGGAAAGTGGCTACATAGGTGATGGGATTTTTCGATAATAATTTTCCATTGGCCATTGCGCAAGGTGTGTCCACCAGTTCGGCACAATGGAGCAAACCAAGAGGCACTGACTCGGTCGTTGGGCCCAATTGGCAATCGAGCTGCAAAGCAATCCAGCGGCATTCCGCGCATATTAATTACACGCGATTCGTTTGCAGTTATTTGCGGCCTGTCCGCTGCTGAAATTCGAATATTATTGAATGCAATGCAATGCCAATTGCTCATTGAGGCTCAACGGCGAAATCTTCGCAAGCATTGGAGTTCCAAGAGGGAGACCTATTTTTTTTTTTTCATTTTGCAAGTGGCCGCATTGCTCATGTGACCAAGCATGGGCAGTCGTAGTAACTAACTAACTCGCCAACTGGCTCCATGGAGCACATAAAGTAACTCAACCCAACGAGTCGAGTCGACAGGTTGCCACACTTCTTCTGCGCCGGCGTGGCTTGTATTACTCGTGTTTTAGCGCTGCCAAATTTGTTCCGACACTTTGCCAGCAAATGAACTGCTCTTGGGCAATCTCCCACACTTCGTTTGTTTCACGGTATTCCATAATAAATATATAACAAGTGCTCAAAGAGCACACCGATATGTCGTGGGATCAATAAATCTCTTGGGGATCACTTTTGGGGATTAATTTTAAAAACATTTTCCTCTTACCTTTGGAATCAGATCGTGCGAGTAGATATTATCCCTGGGCGGTAGTTTTGGAGGTTTCTCGCTGCGCTTGTGGGCCAGTTGCTGCGTCTGCAGCAGCAACTGTTCCCTTGTGGCAGCCACATGACCACCTCCGTTGCCATTAAGGTGCTTGCCCAGCTGTTGCTGTTGCTGTGGATGCAGCTGGGCCTGGTGGCCGCTGCCAAATCCAGAGCTGCCAGAGCTTCCTCCACTACCATTGCCCGCAACGCTGTAGGGATCCTCATCGGGAATCGGAATGCGCGGGCGGTTCTTGATGTCCACAATGGGACGTTGCACTGAGAGAAAAACGAAATAAATATATAAAAAAATTTTTTAAAAATATAAAATAGAAGACAAATTTAAAGAAAAATTGTACTCACCTGGCGGCAGCTTGCTTTTTAGCATATCCATGGCCACCACATTGACGATGAGCACCCAGATGGGGCACTCCAAGACATCGTTCTCCGACTTAACAAACGCCACCGACGAGAGACACTGCGTCTCCAAACGCCGGCGATCCGGATAGGCGCGTCGCAATTCGCGATTCACATTCGACTGGAACTTCTTCATGTCGAAGAGCTAGAGGAGAACAATGGAACGCTTATTAGCATTTGGAATGGATGTGGGATCTCTCTAGTTGATCGCGATAAATGGCAACCGTGTTAGTCCCACTCACCTTGACTATTTTTTCGGATTCGAGCGCCTGATTGGGCAGCTTTAAGATCTCGGCACCGATGGAGGTCTCCTCGTTGGGACTGCTGGCGGTGCTCTTTACATAGACATTGCTTTTGGCATACCGCCGGATGAGTATGTTACCAGCATCATCCATTTTGATTTTAACACCCTAAAAATGAGGATATAAATTAATAATATTCTACTACTAAAAACTACATTTTATACCCTGATTTACACTGATTAAAAAATAAAGTCTGAATTTCGTATACAACATAAAATAATTTAATTTATTTTTCGCATTAGAGAAAAATCTTTAAGTAGTCCGTAATCTTCACGCCATCTCCCCCGTTAATGGAGATTTCTCGTCAACATTTTTTGGGGTTTATTGTCCAAGTTAATTAAACCGTTGTCACTTTGATTGTTTGCCATAAATTGGAAACTTACCTGTCCGATGACGCGCTTCATCTCGTCGGTCTTCTGATCCCTCATCGGATTGTCGAAGCCGCACAGCCCGATTCTGCAAATGAGCAAATAGACACCATTAGAGAGTCTCATAACGAGCGTTTTATTAATTGCAAATCAATCTGCCGCATTTAAAATCGATAAGCCCAGCATGCCCAAAATGAAAAACAAAAAATGTTGCCAAAATGATTTGCCACTTGGCGCCATTCACTTTCTGGAATCGAGGTTGCTGCCACAATGGGTGAGTCACTCGCTCGCTACTAGGTTTCTTGGCCCGTGTGTGCCGCATTTTGTTACACTAAACGTTTGACAAAAAACATTTGCCATGGGTTTTTGGTCTGGGACTTTGGTTTGGCCCATGGATTTTGCGTTTTCTTAGTTTGGCTTTAAAGCCCCGAAAAGAACTGTTCAATCGACTGGCTCAAATGCAAACTGACAGTGATTTATACCCCATGCGGCAGAGTGTGGCAGCTGCAGCCCAAAATTTATTAAATAAACATGTCATATTTCGGCACCAAGGCCTTAATTTTTCACTTAATTGTTTTAGGCAAAGAGCTGAGTCATTTACTAGATAGAATTTTGCGGTCTAAACCGTTAAAAACCATTTAAGTTAACTGAGACCTTTTTTTGTTACCACTTTTTCTTAACCTCAACTAAATAAATTTTATGAAAAGTAAATGTTGATTAGGATAATATCATAAAATTTGTATTTACCAAAAAAGGGTTTATTTTCATGGCTTATAATAAATCTGGCCAACCAAAGATGGGCTTAAACAATCCACCAAAACTGCAGCTTAGCCTTAACGGAATGATGAATGTTTAGTTTTTTTTGTCTTGATTTTTTCTTTGATTTTTTGGTTTTTCCTTCGCTGCTAAGGTCGCCGAAAATGTCGGCAGAAATGCTAACTAGAAGCGGCAAGAGGAAGCCGCAGAGCCAAGACAATGAAGCCAAGCTAATTGTAATTGTCGTTTGCATAAAAGGCCACGGCAAGAGGCTGAATCTGAATCTTTGGCTGAAGATGAAGATGATGCTGATGTGCTGCCAGTGGAAGCTCCTGCCGTTGGAGAATCTTCACCTGACGCCGCTCTCTGTCACTATTATGTTTTATGTTAATTTGTATAATGAAGCGCTGCCAGTGCAGCAAAGCGCAACAGAGCAGCCAGAACAAGAACACCAACAGCAACTAGCAACATCAGCTAGCACTACAAACTAGCAACTTGCAACAATCGCCGTTAGCATCGCTTTGGCATTTGGCCATGTGCTTCAGTTCTGCGCGTAACGTCTGCCGCTCGGTGCTGATTTATTGGCTAAACGCTTGTAAAAACCGTTGAAATGTGTGTCAAAGTTTTCCATGAAATGAAATCGACATGGACGGGGCTGTCTGGTGGTGTGCCCGTCGATGTGATGTGTGCCCCCCAAGGTTGAACGCTGGCTGCCGAAAGCGGATTTGCAGTTCTTTGTTCGGTAAATGCTTCGTTAAATTCGAGCCATCAAAAGCGAAATGTTATTAAACCTGAATGCCAACAGCTGGATAGTAGAAGGGTGTAAGAAGTACAGGTTGCCTTCGCTAAATAGAATCTTTCCTAAATCTATGAGTGACTTATTATTATCATCTACAGATTTTGGCCAAAAAAAGTCTCATAAAGCATTATTTTTAAAATTCCAAGAGTTTAATCAAGGAATACCTAAAAACCGTTGGTTTCACTGTTTAAACCAGTTAATGATACTGTTTCTGTATGCTTGTTCATTAGTTTTTAGATAACAAACACTAGTGTTCTATGGTGTTGGGCTATTAAGCTAAATATCAAGAATCAGAAGCCCAACCCACTGACAGTTTAATACATACTTATTCAGAGCATGTCTTGTGGACATTCACTTCGTTGTGGCCCAGCCATTATCGCACTTATGTATGATATCTATATAGTGGATATATAATATATATATATATATTCGTATATTGGTTGCAAGGTCGTCTGGTCTCAGGACTGGACTCGACTTGACACGCCTAAATGAGCTGGAAAAAATATTAAATATTAAATATTAAATATTAAATATTAAATATTAAATATTAAATATTAAATATTAAATATTAAATATTAAATATTAAATATTAAATATTAAATATTATGTTGGTTATATGATATTTTATTTATTGTGGAACTCGGATAAGAAGCTGTATGTTTAACATGAGTAACTTATAAGTTTATATGTTTAATAAGGCTGCGCGACAATATGTGGTGACGTCTTCAAAAGCAGATACAAGAAGAAAGAATACATAAGAAAATATCGCATAAAGCAATAAAAGGGTAGCTTAAGAGTGACCAAAGTTTGTATATCGATTGTTGCCCGACAAATCATATTTCAACACTCCTTCTCAACAATCATATACTTTATACATATTAATAACAATTCATTTCATTAATACATTTTACATGTTTGTTCTTTTGCAAGTTTTTAGTTAACACATCTGAGACCATATCATTAGTACTTATATACTTAACATCTATTTCATTTTTAGTATATAACTCTCGTACATGATGAAACTTAATATCAATATGTTTACTACGTTTATGCAAAATCGGATTCTTAGCTAAACATTGTGCGCTTTGATTATCGCAATACAACAAAACGGACTTGGTTTCTAAGAAACCCATTTCATACAATAGTTTCTTCAGATATATCGCCTCTCTAGCTGCCGTGGATAAGGCAATGTACTCGGCTTCGGTGCTGCTAAGTGCCACCGAACTTTGCTTTTTGGATTCCCACGAAATTGCCCCGCCAGCAGCAATGAAGACGTACCCGCTATACGATTTGCGATCTGTAGTATCGTTAGCCCAGTCAGCGTCCACGTATCCATGTATCTCCTTTCCAGTAGCCTGATAGTGAAGCTTCATGTTAGCCGTGCCTTTAAGATATCTCAGCACGCGCTTTGCCGAAACTTCATGCTCCTTGTGAGGATTGGCGTTGCGCTGCGCCAGTTTCACTACCGAGTGTAGTATGTCTGGCCTAGTTGTTATAGCCAAATACATCAGGGTGCCTATTAACGATTGATAGCCTTTCTCGTCAATGGCCTTGCATTTGGCGTCATCACATTTGACTTGATGACCCGCCTCCAGTGGTGTAGCTACAGGTTTGCATGTTGACATGCCCCAGGCATGAAGCATCTGCTCGACATACTGCTTATGGCCGATAGCTATGCTGCCAGTTTCGCCATCGCGCTCAACTTCGATGCCCAAAAAGTGATTGAGCTGGCCGCCATCCACAACATCAAACTTATTAGCGATTGATGCTTTGATGCCCAAAAGTTCATCTTTATTTGAGCTGGCAAGTAAAAGATCGTCAACATAAACTGCTATTATATTTATACTACCTTGTCCATTGCGTACATATACGCACGGCTCGCTGACACACGGTGTAAAACCAAGTTTTTTCAATACTGCGTCGAGCTTAGTATTCCATTCTCTGCCGCTTTGTTTAAGCCCGTACAGAGACTTCTTTAGCTTTAGGACCTTCTCGGGAAACTCTTCGCTTACGAACCCATCTGGTTGCCGCATGTACACGTCCTCCGATAGCTCGCTGTTCAAGTAAGCAGTAGATACGTCCATCTGATGCAAATGCAGCTTCTTCTCAACCGCCAATGCCATGATCATTCTAACGGACGGGTATCTGACCACAGGTGAGAATGTTTCCCAGAAGTCAACACCATAGCGCTGAGCACATCCTTTGGCAACTAGTCTTGACTTAAAGCGCTCTACATAGCCTTCCTTGTCAACCTTTACGCCAAATACCCACTTGCAGCCTATAGCCCTTTTATCTTGTGGCAGATCCACTAGATCCCACGTGTTATTGGCCTCTAGCGCATCCATCTCCTTCTGAATCGATGCTGACCATTCCTGCTTCATTCCTGACTGATTAACCTCACCCAAATTTGCTGGAATGTGTATATCCTCTGCCTTCAGCATATTCAGACAGTTGTATTGCTTACGTGGTCGCCCCGGCTTGCCAGTTTTAACGAGTCTTGGACGCCCTGGTCCACGGGTTTCAGATACAGCAGGCTGCTCTGCCTCATCGCTGATAGCACTCTCGTATTCATCACTGTTCTGATCATCTCCTGTGTCCAAGTCATCCTCTCCGACGTCCAAATCATCCTCTGCCTGAAGCTGCTCATCATTGTTGTCTTGTGCCTGCTGATTATCTGCTACAAAATCATCAAACAATGCCATTTCCATTTTATCGCTTGGAGATCCACCTACATTATTTTCCATGAAAATAACATCTCTGCTTTCAATAACTTTCCTTGATTTAGGACAAAACAAACGATATGCTTTTGCCGTTGCTGAATAGCCAATCATAACGTATTCATTACCTTTTTGGCTAAACTTCTTTTTATGGGCTTTATTCAATACGATTGCCTTTGAGCCAAAAACCTTGAGGTGCGACACATACGGTTTCTTGCCAACCCACGCCTCATATGGTGTCATGTTGCACAACGCTTTTGTTTCTGACCTATTGCGCAGATATGCTGCAGTCTGTACTGCCTCAGCCCACAGGCTCTCATCTGCGCTTGAATGAATCAACATACTCCTGGCCATTTCTACCAGAGTGCGATTTGCTCTTTCGGCAACTCCATTTTGCTGTGGAGTATAGGGTACTGTCAGCTGTCTTACTATACCGTTTTCAGTAAGAAATTGTCCAAATGCGTGGCTCACGTACTCGCGCCCGTTATCGCTTCGAATTGCTTTTACTTTCTTTCCGCGTTGTTTTTCTGCAAACACAACATAGTCTTTGAATGCGCTTAGTATTTCATCACGAGATTTTAAAAAATAAACAGCTGTATAACGCGAGTGATCGTCAATGAACGTTGCAAAATAACGCGCACCCCCGACAGACGGTTTGTTCATTGGTCCACATATGTCCGAATGAATCAAATTCAACACTTCTTCTGAACGACTTTCAGATTTCTTTGGAAATGGTTTCACACTAATTTTACTTTTGGCGCAAGTCTCACACGCATTGCTGTTTGAGTCAATTTTTGTATTAACTGTTTTTAAACCATTCACCATTCCACCACTCGCCATTTTAGTTAAGCTTGACAAATTTATATGGCCAAAACGATAATGCCATTTCCACATTGCACTGCTGTTTGTATTAGAATACATACACTGCTTCATTTTTATGTCAATCATAAACAAGTCACCATATCTGCACGCTTTCAATATGTCCACATTTTGTTTATCCCTAATCACTGCTTTGTGGTTATCAAAAATGACTTTATATCCATTTTCAACTGCTTTAGCCACCGATATAAAGTTTGTCTGTAACTCTTTTGCATACAACACATTTTTCAGTTCTATTGTGAAACTTTTTACACTAACACACACAGTGCCAATGCCATCGGCCAACACAAAATTGGCGCCAGCAAGAAATATTTTTTCTTTGTGCTCTCTCATTTCTACGAACCACGACTTATCACAACACATGTGTACAGTCGCGCCACTGTCCAGACACCACATTGATTTGCTCAAATTGTCAGTTTTCTTCACATTCGCCAGAATAGCAAGGGCTCTCTTCTTCTCAGTGCTTGTGTCTTTGTCATTTTTTAATTCTTCTTTGCACTGAGCTATAAAATGACCTTCGCGTCCGCACCTATAGCACTTCTTTTTCTTTTTTATTACCCTTTTGGTATACATTCTTCGCGCGCGACATAAATGCTTGCTGCACACTGCTGTCCGCAACTTCACTTTTCACTTGTTGTCTCTGTCCTTCTTCAATAATTTTTATTTTCAAGTCAGATAAGGACGGCAACATTTCTCGCGTCTCGATTGCCACAACGAAATTTTCAAATGATTTGCCTAAGCCGGTTAGCAACAAAATTGTAAGCATGTCTTCACTTATGTTCATTCCTATTTCGTTTAACTTTTCCACTATGTCCGAGAATTCACTTATATAGCTTTGCACACTTGTACTTTCTAGCAAGCTCATTCGCAGCAATCTTTTAAACAATGCTATTTTTCTAGCTGGTCCGCGCGGCTGGTACACACTCATTAATTTCTCCCATGCCTCTTTTGACGACGTGCAATTCTTTATGAAGTTAATTTGCGACGACTTTACACCCAGCAATATGCTTGCTAATGCCTTTTCGTCCCGTGTATCAAACAATGCGTTTTGTTCTTGGCTATCCCCTTCATTTTTCACAGTTCTCCCGCACACAATTGGCCACAGATCACTTTGCACCAGAATGCTTTTCATCTGTACCGACCATACCGCGTAATTTTCCTCATCCAACTTTTCGATGGAACATAACCCGTGTCCACTCATGTTCATTAATTTTTTTTCGCAATCACACACAGTAATTTAAATTAATGTCACAGTTTTTTATCCACACGAGCCCTGGGCCCATAACCTGTTGGTTATATGATATTTTATTTATTGTGGAACTCGGATAAGAAGCTGTATGTTTAACATGAGTAACTTATAAGTTTATATGTTTAATAAGGCTGCGCGACAATATGTGGTGACGTCTTCAAAAGCAGATACAAGAAGAAAGAATACATAAGAAAATATCGCATAAAGCAATAAAAGGGTAGCTTAAGAGTGACCAAAGTTTGTATATCGATTGTTGCCCGACAAATCATATTTCAAGTCGTAGATTTCAATATTTGAACTGAATAATCGCCACATCCATGCCTATACCCATGTACTTAGCCTAATGCATTATGCATAGATCCATTGAATTCTGTTTTTTATTTTTATTTTTATTTTTCGCTTAGCTTTGAAAACTTCTTGACATTTGGGCTCTAGCAAATTGCCACAGCAATTGAGAGCGTAAAGCGCTTGGCATTTGGCAATTGCCAATTTCTGGCACGCAACAGCAATATTTTTGAGGCGGAATATGTTAATTAGGGCCTAGCTGCAATCGCAGCCACCCAAAAAAAAAAAATACCAAGAACCACTTGAGAGACCTCCAAAAAAATAACAGAAATAAGACAAGCCGAATTCTTGGCTCAAATTGCTTTGGCAAAACGGAAATCGCTCATTTCATAGAAATAAGCGCAATTATTAAAGCATTTTCACTCGCTTTTCGGTTCTTTTTATTTTGAGTTCAGCCCATGGGTTTTCACATGCCACAAATTGTTTCCACTCTTAAGGTCAGCATTTTGCAATGCCCCTAGCCGAAGGTTCTCCACATCTCTTACATCTCTTGCGTATTGAAGTTCAGTGGGGGAATTAAATTTTAATGGCATGCCCATCAATTTGATGGGCGTTTCATACATTGCCCATTCGAGAGCACATCGCCGGGTATTTATTATTACAGCAAAAAGCCAGCAAAAGACGACGACGAGATGAAGGTTACAGCCATTCGCATCGAAGTTGGCGATACACTTGTCATGGAAATTACAGACACGTTTTTGGAAATAATCAAGAACTTGAAATCTTTGAAATCTTAAAAGGAAGCTGTAAGCTGTCTTTAAGTTTTGAAACTTCAAATCTTAAATTTAAAGTATATCTTTAAAGAAACTAAATGGTTTAAAGATTATGTTAAAATTTAGAAATAAGATTAATTATTTAATTGATTTTGAAAGCTTGAGTTGCAATATCTGAACATAATCCTCTAAAATATATACTATCAACAATGAACTTGATAATCCCATAACATTAATAACCACTTTTATTTCAAATGCCTCAAATTATAGACACAAACTAATGATATTTTGCCCATGTCCATGGCAAACTGTCCATCAAATTGATGATACCCCCTTTGAGTTTTCAATTCGCAGAAGAGAGAAAGACCATGATGAGCCCAGCTCCTGCTGGTTATTTTCTTTGCCAGTGGGTCAAGGGCACATTATTTTGCTAGTGCTCAAGCTCCGACTGACATTAATATTTATGTTTTTATTTTGTTTTTTTTTTCTTCTGTGTCTCATTTTGTTTTGTTTTAGCAAAGTTCAAAGGCATTGTTTGCTCATGTTTAATGTGTTTTGCCTCTGTCCCTCTGTTTGTTTGTTTACTTGGCATCTCGGGCTTGCAATGACCGATAATTATGGTGGGTGAAGGGACTGGGACCTGGGAGGACTGGGTCAGCTGCTACTCACCGCATGCCGTCGAAGCCATCGTCGGATCCATTAATGGTCAGCACCGGAGCACGTGCGTATGCCTTGGCCACGCGACGATTCCGCTCGAAGACGATCACTTTGGCCCAGATCTCGTCATCGATTTGGGTCCATTTGTCCAGCACTTCCTGAATGTGTTCCTGAAAGTTAAGAGAAAAGGGAGTGTTTTGTTTTAGAAATGGTTGATATTAAGGAAACTTTTTTGCTTTTATATAACTTTTTTTAATTTCTAAAAAGCTGATTAAGTATTTTTTCATATTTTTGAAAGCAAGAAAATCTTAAGACAAATAAAAAAGGAAAAGTGCAGAGTGTAATAGTAGTGTGTATACTTTTAATTGGAGTAATAAGGAACCCTGATCATATCATTTTTTTCGTTGGCCAACAAACTTAACGATCCTTTCAAAACCCATTAAATTCCAAGCCCAACAAAAATAGCTGCAAAATTCGCCTGAAAAATCAATCGAATCGATCCTAAAAGATTTCAAACATGTTTCGGGGCATCTAAAAACGAAAGAAAAAAAAAACTAAGGCAGAGAAAAACGAAAGAAAAACCAAGTGACTGCAGCTAATGCTAGCAATTTTCACTTTCCATCGTGTTTGAGTGTTTGTGCCAAAGTGAACGGCCTTGTTGGGCGCTTGCGTTTTAAGTTTAAGTTTTAGTTTTTTTTTTTCTTCATTCATTTTTTACTTTTACTTATTTGTGTGTTGGCTGCCATTACAAGCAGCAGTCTGTGTTTGCGTTTGTGTGTTGTTTTTGCAGTTTGTTAAATAAAAGTTAAAATCAAATCGGAGCAAATGCTGACACGAACACAGCCAGACGAGAAAAGACCAGGCCCGCGTTTTCGCAGGGAGGTTTTTCCACGGGAGGGAGGCGCGAGGGAGTTTTCGGCTCGCTGCTCGGTTCGTGGTGCAGTGAGACATATAAAATTATAGACAACGATATCTGTTGCTGTCGTTGGTGCTGTGCCTTTGCCTATGCCTTTGCTTTAGCTGCCAGCCTGAGCATTTGTGTTGCTCTGCTTGAAGTCTTTTTTATATCTAACAATATACTTATATGCATAGATATTTGAAGTGCTGCAAGGCTTTTGATTGCAGCTTTTTGTCTGCGAGGCTTGCACTGCTCGACTCTCGACTTGCGTCATGGCTAAGTGCACTCTGAAAATATTTTAGATTTCTGCCTTATATAAACCGGCTTAGACATAAACTGGATTACTATAAAGCATATACAAAGTGTGTGTCTATGTCTGAATTCCAGGGCTATTAATCGATTACTGGATCAGCGTTTCAAGAGATTAGTTAGTAGCTTTTGAATATAGAAAATGTAGATCAGCGGAACTGGTAATTCCTAAAAGTATGTTCCCAACAACTTACCACTAAATGCCACTCCTAAAAACGTAATTTATTTCATGTTAATATGCCTTTAAAAACAATCTATGAGCTCTAAAAACTCCAGATGTTATGTGTTTTTCATGGTTTCCATTTATTACCTTAAAACCATTTCATTTTCCTACACATATGCACAATCTAGGGAAACCTCAACAGCTGGTCTGTTTTACCTCCGTACCCGGCTTACTCAATTAACCCGAACAAAGAACGTCATAAACAAAGCCATTAGCCCAGTAACCAACATGCCCACAATTTGAGCCACTTTTTTGGGTTATAATAAAAGTAAAATATGAAAAATATGAACAGCCAGCAACCAAAGGAAAAAAAAACCACTAGCAAACATCAAATGTTGGCTTGGCTTTTGGCCACAATTCTACAGACGGGCGGACTGACAGAGCATTTTGGCCGAAAACTCGTCTAGGCAAGCTCAGTCAGCTCAGTCAGCTCAGTCAGCCCATTCAGCGGCTGGCACACACATTAAAAATGCAAATAAATCATGTAGTAAAACTTGTTAACCTTTTCGGATGATGCCTTGCGTTTGCGCACTCGGCCTGCGAGATCGAGAGTCTGGGAGTTGGAAGCACTTTTGATTTCATTCCGTTTGGATTCTTTGGGCAGATTCACTTCAGGTTTGTTTCTTTTTTTTTTCCCCCCAGTTTCAAGAATCTTGTAGGCTCAAAATGTTCGAGTGTCGAGTGCCGAGAAACTGGTTACAACCTGTGGCTTGTTGTTTTCTCATATTTCTAGGTCGTGCAGAGTTAGAGACGACCTCAAAATGCCGAAGTTCACCGAGTGGTTTCTATGCTTTTTGACTGACTTTTAATTAGTCTCTCCCCAGAAAATGTTGCAACACAAGAAGCTGTTGCAGCCAGTTGAAGTGCCACACCGTAAGCGCGTGTTCTCCCTGGCGTATACGTAATCTTATTTGTGCATGAAATTAGTTCGAACGAGTTTTTCGGAACGAGTTTCGATTAGCATATGAACAACATTATATCAACCAAAAATTAAAAAAAAAAAATGATATACTATACGGATTTGGCCAGACAAGTAGTTGTGACGTCAGGCGACAAACCACATTTTTGTGGGCGCAATTAAAGTCCATTATTCTGTTGCAAGATCCGTAATGGAGCCAGCAATGGTTTAAGCTAAGCTTGCAACACGTGCACCACTGAAGATGAGACGCCGGAGAATCTCTAGGTGCCTAGGTGCTGGTGCGCTGCACTTTTTCGTGTAAAATGTAAAATGTTGTTGAACTTTTGCAGTCACGACTTGTTAAAAAAAAAATAAAAAGAAAAATAAGAAAAACCGAGCACAACAGATGCTCGCAACGCTCCAAGTTGACATTTAATAAAATGATTTTTATTTGGGATCCGGCGGCTGCAGCGGCAGCGTCGGCGTTTCTCTTTGTGTCTGCCAGGTCAATAGATACAATCACCGCAAATTATTACGGTCTTGATAAATTCATCTTGTGACAGGTTGCATCAGCAGTAGTTATGTACAAAAGTTCATTGATATGTTCATTTTCAATTTGTTTTTTCCAATCTTTTGGGTAATGGCAAGTGGGCTTAACCGAAAAATACCATAATTTCGATATATAATCTATGCAAATTTAAGGCTGACATATGATAATAATAGCCCAGAGCGCCGTCTTCCGCTATTGGGTAAATCAATCAAGCCATGAGCAGGAAACTCAATTGATCCTGGGACGTTGATGAAGTGGCAGGCCGCACAAAGTTTTTTTCCATTGAATTTGTCGTATAATTTTTGGGCTTAAAAGCCAGCCCACATGTGTGTGGCTGTGTGTGTGTGTGTGTCTGTCTCGTTTTAGTGGTTTTTCCTGCTTATTTTTTGCTTATTTTGCGCCAACGCCAAATCCTGTTGCTGGGGCCAGGCCAAAAAGCGATACCGAAACCAGGTGAACGGGTGCCAAAAGAGCCGCCGCAAGACAACAAATCCCGAGGAAAAGGAAAACAAAGGAAAATGCTAAAGAGACAAAAACAACAACAAAATGCGACTGAAAAGCCTGCGCATGGAAGTGGAAAAAAAGCGAAGACTCTACAGACCAGCGAGAAAAACTTTCATTTTCACGAAAAACGACTGCGAAAAGTGGTTGTCTGTTCGTTTCGTTGGGTTTTTTTTTTCGTTGGGTTTTGTCTTTTTCTTACGCTAGAATTCTGGTTCGATGCATGCAAGTTCGTTGCCTAAGTCTTTTGTTTGCAAGTCAATTTTTTTTTTGTCGCTCCGTTCCCAGATAATAAATTTGTAAACAATATTGAAAATAGCACAACGGCAGCCAGAGCAACCGAAATTGCTCAATAAGCGCCCCGAGCCAGCGAGTCAGAGACAAGTCGAATCAAAAAAGGGCTAACAAAACTAACAACCCTCCGACGACAAAAGGAAAATTCAGACATCATTTGCGGCCGTTTCCATCATGGGAAATACAGTTTTTCGTTTTTATTTTGTGAACGCCTTTGTGTGAGGCCACCAGACTAAACGGAATTATATAGATGCCACGCTCACGCTAATTGCAACATAACCATAGACGGAAAAAGAAAACAACAACAAGTCAGATACTGAAAATCCAGCGAATGCTGCACGCTTTTCACTTTGGGTGAGGCCATTGCTTCCACCGAATCTTGGAATCGCTCAATTCGCTGAATGTTAACGAAATTTATGCAAATCTCCATTAGAAATAAAACATCAATTTAATGGCCAGCAGTTTTGATGGCGTTTTTTTTTTTTTTTTTTGGGTGTTGCTGCCGCGCGTTGTTGCTGAATGAATTGCAGTTAACCCAGTTGACTGTGTGGGCAGCACCAGCTACGCCTGCCAGAAAGTGAACTGAAAAAGTCATTGGAGGTACGCAACCAGCTGGTTAATGGCCAAAAATTAAGCTAAAATTATTCATACAGCTATAAATAAAGGGATTTCTAAAAAGATTTCAAGTTAAGTACAGCTTTATGGCTAAGTTAAGTCAAAGTCTTAACATTTTTTAGTTCCCTTTTCTAGACTTTTCCCAAAAAACTTTACCCATTTAGTGCTCTTGCATGCTTTTGTCTTTAAAAACAATTACCTAAGCATACCCAACCATCCTAAACGCTCTTAAGAGTTGAAAGGTTAGCCTAAAACCACAGTTTAGAGAGCTCCAACGCAGCTGACTTGCATTATATACCACTCCATGTAGCCATAAAATACCCCACACACACCCATTGAGTTAAGTCAGTTTGGCCCACTAACACTCCTTGATAAAAAGCCAAAAGCGTTAGCAGTTTGCAGTTCACAGTTAGTAGCTTCGTCAATGGAATTCCCACACATAAACAACGCGTGTGTATGTGTACTAAAAAAAGAGAAACGGCCCAAAAAAAAAAAAAAAAAATAATAATATCGTAATCGAAGATGGGCGAATGGAAACCGATCGTTGAGCTCGTGCTGGGCTTGTCTTAACATTAGGGTTACCAATGGCGTTTTTATGGCTGTAGTTTCTGCCGCTGCTGCCTAATGCCGTTGGCCATTTGCCTTACGCTTTTGGCCATACCCAGACTCAGACTTTAGTGCCTTTTGGCCCGAAGGCAAATTAAAAATGCACAACGCAATGCGATGGCCTAACGGTAATTAATGCAATTGGTCAATACAACAAACACCAGAAACCCAAGCCAAGCCAAACTGAAAACCAACAAAAAAATTACAAAAAAAAAAAAAAAAAACAATGAAATAAAACGGAAAAACAGTAGAAAAAAAAACAGTGCGTCTCATGGTGACCTCAATGCGGTGGACCCGACGCCGCGTTTAGCGCACGTGTTGAGAATGAGCGACAGGAAAATAGCCACAAATCATAGAAGCCGACCGTCCAGCTCAAGCGGAAGTCGGTCGACGATGGTCGATGGGCCAGGGCCAGTTCTTCATGGTACTCTGCAATTTTAGCAAGGCATTTTTTTTTGGAGGTGCCGCGGAAATCTGTTTAAGGTAATTTGCCAAATTATAAGTTATCTAATGTAAGTGCTAAGATCAAGCTGTAAAGGTTTGTTCTAAAAAGCTAAAAGGTCGAAGAATATAGATTTTAAAGTCTTATTTTCCAGTGACACATAAAACTGAGACAACATTTCTTGTAACAACTCACTCACCTTGTATAGTTTATCCTTCTGATACCAGATATCCTCTTCCTCCTCCTGTTGGGTAAATGTCTGGTCGAGATTAAGATCGTCGCGGGAACGTGATAGAATTTTTCGACGCGACACCATCTTGTGTGATTTCTGGGGTCTCTGTCCTCTGCAAAGAACAAAAGATAAGGTCGTAAAGGGTTGGTTGTGTGAATCTTCGAGTTATAAACCAAATACATAATATGCTCAGGGAGATCTTAAGGAAGGCCGCCGCATAACGGTATACAAAAATACAGTAAACACATCAAATTTCCTCACTTTTTCGCTGACAGGCATCAAAAACGCAAAAAAAAACAACTCTCTTCGAAACGCTAAACAAACAGAATTATGGCATCCCTCTGTGTGAGTTCAATGCTCTTGGGACTGGGATATACTTATTGTTTATGACCTGGAATCCCTTTTCACAAGTCATTCAGCATGCAGAAAGGCCCCAAAAACATACTCGTAATGCCAATGCAATTTTCTTTCCTGCTTCTTTTCGAACCTTCAGCTTTTGGTTTCTAAGTTCTCAAATTAATGTTCCTTTCGAGCACAAGAATTTATGTGTAAAACATGCAATTCTTATGGAAATGGCTTGTTATGATGATCATGTTGTGCGAGCTACGCATCGCAGATTCGGATTTGAGATCCCCGCCAGCGATTCGGGGCTGTGAATCAGACAGTGCGGGTGAGATATCATCCAAGGCACGTTGACAACGAACATAATAAAAGTAAATAAAGTAGAAATCACCTGTAAGTTTAAAGGGGGAAATAAGTACTTAAAGGTGAATAAGGAATACCCTTTCAAAGTGAGTGCCTAATGAAAAATATTTGAAGATTTTACTTCTATCTATCAGATCTACAGATTGATTTTTCTACAAGAATAATTTCAAAAAAATTTAAACCTAATAAATCTCTTTTCATACGTTTTCCTATCTTTTTACATATTAACCCCTGATATCTAAGAGTATTTCGATTGATGTCTTTTGTTTTTTTTTCACAGCTCAGTTTGTCAAGTCGATGAAAAAACGTTCATTGCATAATAAACATTTATGGGGGCTTGGGGCTTCGGGGTTTCCAAGCGTGTAGCGGCAAGAAAGTGCCCTATCTGCCTCCCTCGCACTCACCAATCTCTTTCTCCCAAATACTATCCATCTCTATTGCTCTTTCGAGGGAAAAAGAGACATGCAAATGTGCGAGGTTCGCTAACCTGTTGTCATATATATTTAGCTGTCTTTATTATTAGTCTCTATAATTGTGATGTCTGTTGGTATTTTTAATGTTTGTTGGCTTTCTTTTTGCAGAAACTGTGCCCTGTGTGTGTGATTGAGTGAGTTACTGACTGAGTGATCGACGGCTTTTGGCTGAAAAATTCCGACATTTTGGATGCTGCAAGGGCTGCCCATAAATATTCATCGCCTTTTGCACAATCTTTAGTCTGCCGACCATATTGTCAACGATCAACGCCATTTTTTCTTTTGCCAGCTATATAAGCCATAGATCGCAATCGCATAACAAATGTTGCCGCTGTTGCAGCCCGATTTATGCAACAAAAGCCGTTAAATTGTACAAGTCTCGGTGTGTCTCAGTGCCATTTGTTGTCGCTTTATTGAGTTGCATTTTCCTTTGTGCATTGTCGTTATTTATGATCAACAAAAGGGTCTGCGACACAAAAACGAGCCCACGAAAGAAAAAAAAAAAACCATCGTTGTTCAAGTATATAGAACATATGTACCATATGTATATAGACCAACAAAAAGAGCTTCCTCAGGCTCAGCACGTACAGAACAGACGTGTTCTAGTTTGACTCTCGAGTCGAGTAATTACGTGAATTGCATTCTGAGTGTCATTTATGGGCGAAGAGATTTACTGGATTAGCCACACGGATATGTCTGTCTACGATGGGGTTTGGGGTATCATTCATAGAAGGAACGAAGGGAGGTTGGGGTAAAATAAGGGCAGGATAAGCCAAGATTTGCTATATGTCCAAAGATATAATTTTATTTCGAATTTACAGACTTGAAAATGCTTAACATTTAAGGTAAAAATTACATTTTCTCTGTTTTAAGTTCATATTTTATTTAGTGACATTTTCATGTTCTATAATCAAACCCTTTTAAATAATCTTTTTTATGCGAATAATCCCAAAGCTTTTATCCAATTATCCACCGAAAAAAAACGGCAAAAAGCAACTTTAATTTCGCCGCATTCTTTATGGGGCACGTCAAATTAAAACACTTAAACGGCATCTGCATGTGTTCTCGGAACAATTCTGGCCAAATAACGCTGACATATCAAGAAAGTTTCTTTTTCTTAAAAACGTATACAATATGACGGACAATTAACGGCCCACAAGCTGCATCTGGCGGAGTATGGAGTCGAGTGGATTTAAGTGGTGGCCAAGTGGTGCTCGAGTATCCTGCATACTCACAGTATGCCAGCCACAGTCCATGTGGTTAGCCTGTTTTCGTTACTGGACTTTTGTAAACAGAACAACTGTGCTTGCCACTTGATGCCATAAAATAAAGTCATCAGAGCCTTGGATTTTTCTCTCTCTTCATTTATTATTTTTATTTTTTTTTATAGTATCTCCATCTGAGTTTGTGTGCGTGTTGACTTTGCTGATTTGGCTGCTTGATAATTTCCCTGATCTTTTACAGTTACGAATCTCTTGAAGCTCAGGAATTGGGAAAATGTGTGCGTCCATTTGGCTGGCAATTTTTCAGACATCAGCCATAAGCCATCAGCATTCACTTTTCGCTTGAAAATAATACATTTTTCCTATTGCACACGCAAAAATGTGAAGGAAACTTTCACAAAAATAACAAACGAAAAAAAAAAGCTATTTGAAATCATTTAAATAATGCCAATTGATGATTATTTCTTAATTCACTGCAATCTGGCGTATCATCATCCAAGTTCAAGCCGCGCCAATCGAACTCGGATTTAAATTTCAAATTCGTTGAACTTTCACAATTGTCCAACGAAATGATATTCAATTATTATGAGCAGACATGTTCCGCACATTTTCGATGGGTTCAATAGCACTGCCCGGCGTATTGCAAAATGAGGAAAAATAAATAAATATAAACAATAATCTTCTTGCACATTTATAATAATGTGTTGAAAAGTACATTTAAGTTTGTTTACTTATTAAAGAGTTTTGTTCATTATGCTGTTGTCATTAGTTTTTTTTAATTCCCACAACAAAGGTGGCTTCTTTTCTTTGAGATTTTTCAACAGCTGACATTGAGGCTGCCCACACGGCATTATTCTAAAAAGATGACGCCATATGTTTTAGGTTTTTGTTTTTCAAAGATGGTGGGCTTATATATTCAAGTTCTCAGGTAGGTTATGTGTATATTTCTTATTAATAACTTGGTTAACTAAAGAAGATTTTGTGGATTTTTTAGATTAGTTTTATAGCTAAAATTGCTATCAAAAATCAATTTTTAAAGATTTTATCAAGCAACAAAATCTCTTCAAAATATAACAACATTTCCCTCAGGTCAAAGTTATGAGAATATCTTCCCTTTGAGAATTTCCCCACATTCCATAACTTAACGACGCACTTCAAACCCTATGATTGACAAGCGGAAAACTCGTTTCTCTCTCTCTTAACTTTCTACAGAACTTTCCACCGCCATGGAGGGATGGAGGTTTCATTTGAATCTATGCATAATTTAATGACAACATTCACTGCATATTCAACTACCAGACAGCAAACACTTTATGAATGAAAGTCAACGTCATGAATTATTGTGGATTTTACGAGTGGAAAGAGCGACGAGACACCGCGACTCTAGGCAATCAATAAAGAATTTTGATGATGACAATCGTGCTGACAAACACTAGTTGCATATCAATTAAGTCGGTGAATGTAAATGATTCTAATGCAATTGCACCTGGTGAGCTAGGGTAGAGGGGGTAGAGTGGTGGTATCACTGTGCCTAGTCAAGAGGTCATTAGCAGCTGTGCTTCACTATAAACGAGACGTCGTCGTCGTCGTCAGAGTGCAAATAGCTTGCAGTTCATTTACCCGTCGAGATGATTGCATTGTTCGAGTGCGTCACGAGATGGCAAAGATTAGACGTACCTACTTAACTGGAAACCAGTTGAAAATCCAAAACAGTAACCATCAATTTTCGAAGATTCATTTACCAGAAACTCTGCTGGCCAACACCAAAATGTTAAGGTCAATCGTGATGAGTATTGGTTTTTGGTTTTATTTCTTTCTTTTAGCTAGAAAGTATTTTTGGCACTCTTAATGGATTCATTATGTAACCAGAGACCACATGAAAGTTGGGATCTGGACTCTAATGAAGCGTAGAAAAAAACATTTGATACTTTCGCAGGCCGCGAAGAAGATATGTTTAGTGAAGAATTTCTGGTTTCAGCTTCCCGCATGATTGATTGGCCGAAAAGAACTTCAGAATAGCCCATAACGAAATTGCTTTCACAGGGGTCAAGCGAAATGTTTCCCAAAAACAACACACAAAAACAGAAAAGTCAGCGGGAAAAAAAGCAGATACATGTGGCCATTGATTTGTGGCCAAATTAAATTAAGCAGTCATTGACTTGTGGAAAGGAAAGAAAAGAAAGAAAGAGCCGGCTGTGCTGATAGTGCTGTTGAAATAATAGGCGTGCTGAGAAGGTCTCAACAACATTCTCATAATCCGTTTAATTTTCTATTTAAAAATGTTCGCAGGTCGATAGACAAATTATCGATTTGTTGGAACAACCTCAGAGCTTTATGGCTAAGATTTTAGTGGGTATCTAATTGAGAGGTGTGAATATTGAGGTAATAAAGGACTGTGACTGAGCCTAAGAAGATTTTCAGGTGAAAAATTAACTTTATATATAATATTCCGCTTACGAATTTGCATGCTTGTTTTCCTCTTTGAAAATATTATAATTTCAAGCTAACCGCCAACTTCCCTTCATTGTGACTTTCCCTTTGGCCACCCACAATATCTTGAACCCTTGAAATTAAATAATGAAATTAGTGTGTGGGTGGGGGGGAAGGGCGAGTGGATCATATTTTCTTAACACTTGTCTGCGGTCTGCATTGTCTGCAAATGCTTCAATTTGCATAGCGTGAAAGTGGCGTGTAGTCGTAGTCGTAGTAGT